ATTAGTCATTAAACATATCATCCAAGTAGTATGGATTAGTCATTAACCACATCATCCATGTAGGATGGATTAGTCATTAACCATATCATTCATGTAGTATGGATTAGTCATTATCCATATCATCCATGAAGTATCGATTAGTCATTAACCATATCATCCATGTAGGATGGATTAGCCATTAGCCATATCATCCATGTAAGATGGATTAGTCATTAACCATATCATCCATGTAGGATGGATTAGTCATAAAACATATCATCCATGTAGGATGGATGAGTCATTAACCATATCATCCATGAAGTATCGATTAGTCATTAACCATATCATCCATGTAGGATGGATTAGCCATTAGCCATATCATCCATGTAAGATGGATTAGTCATTAACCATATCATCCATGTAGGATGGATTAGTCATAAAACATATCATCCATGTAGGATGGATGAGTCATTAACCATATCATCCATGTAGGATGGATGAGTCATTAACCATATCATCCATGTAGGATGGATTAGTCATTAACCATATCATCCATGTAGGATGGATTAGTCATTAACCATATCATCCATGAAGTATGGATAAGTCATTAACCATATCATCCATGTAAGATGGATTAGTCATAAAACATATCATCCATGTAGGATGGATTAGTCATTAACCAAATCATCCATGTAGGATGGATGAGTCATTAACCATATCATCCATGTAGGATGGATTAGTCATAAACCATATCATCCATGTAGGATGGATTAGTCATTAACCATATCATCCATGAAGTATGGATAAGTCATTAACCATATCATCCATGTAAGATGGATTAGTCATAAAACATATCATCCATGTAGGATGGATTAGTCATTAACCAAATCATCCATGTAGTATGGATTAGTCATTAACCATATCATCCATGTAGTATGGATTAGTCATTAAACATATCATCCAAGTAGTATGGATTAGTCATTAACCAAATCATCCATGAAGTATGGATAAGTCATTAACCATATCATCCATGTAAGATGGATTAGTCATAAAACATATCATCCATGTAGGATGGATTAGTCATTAACCACATCATCCATGTAGTATGGATTAGTCATTAAACATATCATGTCAGACCCACCCATGCCCTAGTCCTACAAGCTGTACAATCTCAGACCACTGACCCTACAATGCCCTCGCCCTACAAGCTGTACCATCTCAGACCACTGACCCACCCATGTCCTCGTCCTACACGCTGTACCATCTCAGACCACTGAGCCACCCATGCCCTAGTTCTACAAGCTGTACCATCTCAGACCACTGACCCTACCATGCCCTCGCCCTACAAGCTGTACCATCTCAGACCACTGACCCTACCATGCCCTCGCCCTACAAGCTGTACCATCTCAGACCACTCACCCACCCATGCCCTAGTTCTACAAGCTGTACCATCTCAGACCACTGACCCACCCATGCCCTAGTCCTACAAGCTGTACAATCTCAGACCACTGACCCTACCATGCCCTAGTTCTACAAGCTGTACCATCTCAGACCACTGACCCTACCATGCCCTCGCCCTAAAAGCTGTACCATCTCAGACCACTGACCCACCCATGCCCTCGTCCTACAAGCTGTACCATCTCAGACCACTGACCCTACCATGCCCTCGTCCTACAAGCTGTACCATCTCAGACCACTGACCCTACCATGCCCTCGTCCTACAAGCTGTACAATCTCAGACCACTGACCCTACCATGCCTTCGTCCTACAAGCTGTACCATCTCAGACCACTGACCCACCCATGCCCTCGTCCTACAAGCTGTACCATCTCAGACCACTGACCCACCCATGCCCTCGTCCTACAAGCTGTACCATCTCAGACCACTGACCCTACTATGCCCTCGTCCTACAAGCTGTACCATCTCAGACCACTGACTCACCCATGCCCTCGTCCTACAAGCTGTACCATCTCAGACCACTGACCCTACCATGCCCTCGTCCTACAAGCTGTACCATCTCAGACCACTGACCCACCCATGCCCTAGTCCTACAAGCTGTACAATCTCAGACCACTGACCCACCCATGCCCTAGTTCTGCAAGCTGTACCATCTCAGACCACTGACCCTACCATGCCCTCGCCCTACAAGCTGTACCATCTAAGACCACTGACCCACCCATGCCCTCGTCCTACAAGCTGTACCATCTCAGACTACTGACCCACCCATGCCCTCGTCCTACAAGCTGTACAATCTCAAACCACTGACCCACCCATGCCTTTGTCCTACAAGCTGTACCATCTCAGACCACTGACCCTACCATGCCCTCGTCCTACAAGCTGTACCATCTCAGACCACTGACCTACCCATGCCCTAGTTCTACAAGCTGTACCATCTCAGACCACTGACCCACCCATGCCCTCGTCCTACAAGCTGTACCATCTCAGACCACTGACCCACCCATGCCCTCGTCCTACAAGCTGTACCATCTCAGACCACTGACCCACCCATGCCCTAGTCCTACAAGCAAATTTTTTTTTGGGCCAGAGTGAATATTTTTCTCAAAGCATCACAACACTTGAAAGCAGCAATAATTTGGCCCTGAAAATGTCCCCGTTGTGAAGGGTGGAGGGATACATCATGTTATCTTACAAGTGTCACAGTGGTACAAGAAACACCTACTGCTCAGTCCCAGATCTTGTCACAACAACAATAAAAACACTTCCCCATCTAGATCGGAAGTTCCACAACATAGGGCAGCCTATCTGGAACATCAGCCTGTGTTTATACACCACAAATCAAGTTGAGATAAGTATGGTGTAAAGAAAACAATCTGTTGATGGCAGATCTGGTATCACCTCTTGTCATCCACTGATGGCAGATCTGTTATCACCTCTTGGCATCAAGTGAAGGCTGATGCTGCCAGCAGGTCCTGCACACCGGCTCCTGGCCTACAGGAGTGAACCACTTTACTCCCTTTCAATTTCCAGGAATGAAAACAATGATTGCAGAAGGTAGGAAACACCAAGTGTGTCTTAAAATCATGCCTATTAACTGTGTATTGCACACTTCAAGCTCCTGACTTTCTGTTCAGTGACATGGTAATGACTGAGGCTTGGGTGTATGGCGGTGATGGATGTCAACGGCTTGCTGACCCCGTTTACCCATATCCTGGTATTACAGACTGGATCTAGTTGAGACCAAAACATTATAAATGGTTGAGGTATCTTTAACACTAGTAGATGTTACTTCGAATATCAACTCATCTGTGGCATCACGAGGACTAGTGAGTGAAATGATTGAGTTTCTATTTTGTCAGATATTGTCTAGATGCAAAAGTGGTGAAGCAGTTTGTTTTGATAAAAAAAACATGCAGATATTACACAGTTGAACAACTGTCTATATTTTTCATTTCCATTCCCAAAATATGTCTTTCCATCCTCTGCAAGACTTGCATGTTTCTTCTTTCCTGTCATGGATAAACTTCAGACACATGTCTCACTTATACTCACTGTTATACAACATTTTTATTTATTACCTATGAGGGCAAACATATCAGGGTTTATAAAGATCATATGTGCCCTAGGGTCATATCACATTACGAGATGTGTATTGTTTCCTTCATCCGGATGGCATTGTTGACGTCATTCGAATCATATTGTGACGTGAGGTCGGAATGACGTCACACTAGAAACGACGTCATAGCTGAAGATCTTTTATTTCATTCGATAATTTATGGTTTTGCTGCTGTTGCGACTTGCTGTCCTTATATAGGTAAACACTAAAATTCGTCTCTGTATGTAGACATCTCCTTCGGTAATAAATAGAACATTATATGATTGTTCATGTCATACTGTTTAAGACACTCATGTTGTAAACATAGTATGACATGAACACTCATTTAATATCTTCTATTCAACATGCAAAAGAAAATGATATGTATATAATTGTACCACAATGGCCTTGCAGTGCTCAAGAAGGTAAAACAAGTCAGGAATGACATGGCAAACTATAATCACAGGAAGTGTTTTACTCGCTGAAGGATGGTTTTAAACTATGACTGATATTTAAAATGCCAAGGACAATTTCTGCATAGCATTCATGCTTTTAGTAGAGATTGTACATTAGCTCTTAACTGTTTGATTGGCATTCTAGAAGTCGGTGAGCAGGTAAGAAAACGTACAGCTTTATGGATAACAGCTTCTGGTTTATTGCATATAGCGACATTTAGCTGGAGTGATAACATTTGCTTTTTTTGACATCATATACCTTCTAAAAGATGCCGCCAATGTTCATAAGGATTTTACTGTAGCTTCAAAATATTTCTACTCTATGCATGGTCCAAGGGGGGTAATCTATCGTGGCTAAATAAAACCATTTCCCAACATCATATCAATATCGTCCTTAAATACCTCAACTGTTGTCAGTAAACAAATTGATTAAATTTATAAAAGTAAAATAGGCAAACTGAAAAATAAATGTTTCTAAATACATTCTTACCTTGATCTTCACGGGGAGAATGTGGGATGTGATATGGGAGGTGACAGAGAACAACAGGGCTCATAATTAAATAAATTTATACTGCTCTTGGCATAAAAGGTGGATATAAATCAACGCTTCGTATTGCTGGGATCTTAACACAAAATGAACAGTGAATTGGCTGAATCCAAAGTTCATTGATTCAGGAAAATGCTTTTCTCTGGTCAGCTATACACTTAGAACATGGTATGCTAATTTGTTTCAAAGTTCCAACTTCTAAGCTGGTAACCAAACCAAATGTTTAAATTGAAAATGAAATTTTATAAGATTTCTTTAGTATGAATAGAGTTTACCTCAAAACTAGTTCAGAGATAGTTGGTAGTGAAGAGTAGTCTGTTGAAACGCTAACAGGTTTTATAGTCTGACGACAGCCAGTATGGACATTTACAGCTATGATGTAAGAGAGGTAGGGTATTCAATGCAATTAGGAATCATATTATTTCTCAAGGACAACAATGGATTCTTGATCATTATAGCAGCCCTACCTGAACTTGAAGGTGGAACTTGTTGATATCTTTGAACTGCTTCCTGGCATAAGTCTGTAGGACCGCATCAAGGAATCGGTCTGGACGCAGGAAGTGAGACAGGTTGCACATTGCAGGAGTCTTCTTCAGATACGCCACTACACCTGCCATCCGCACAGGAAGCTCCCGCAGCCACTGCTTCAGACTGGAGCATGATGGGAAGGTTTCCTTCAGCCAGGCAGAAGGTACCCGATCGTTACAGACATCATCAAACAACTGTGTGACTTGTTCTGTCAAGGCCACCTCGCCTCGAGCTTTCTTCAGCAACAGATTGAGGTCCGACTGGACTTGGGAGACCAGATCCCGGAAGCCTGTAATCTCATAGTGTAGGAATATGTCTATGGGGTAGATCTGCTCCCTGCTGGTCTCTGGGAGGGTGGGACAGTTCTGTGTGAGGGCAATGAGCTGTGGGATGAGAGGGTCGGTGGACACGGTGGTGGACTTGGGGGGGTGGAGCACCTGCAGGAGCAGCTCGGGGGCCCCGGTCGCCTGCACCATGTCCTTCCCTATGATCCTGGAACACAACAACAGCATGGAGTGAGTGAGTGAGTGAGTGAGTGAGTGAGTGAGTGAGTGAGTGAGTGAGTGAGTGAGTGAGTGAGTGAGTGAGTGAATCAGTCAGTCAACCAGTCAGTCAATCAGTCAGTGAGAGTGAGTGAGTATGTGAGTCTCCCGCTGCTTGGAACAGTTTCAGTTAAATTACATCACATGTCAGTTCAGAGCAAGACTATGCTACTTGTTCTAGTGCCCACCCAACTCCGTGCCTTGTGCCCTGCTGGAGCTCCATCTCAGTTTATAAAGTGGTATCTGGGCCAAGCAAACCATCCTAGCATCAACAACGATCAAAGTTGTTGGAATGTGATGACAAATTATTAGTAAGGTCACACATTGTAACCACCAAATCCTTGCTTTAATCACCATTAGGGGAAATAGTGTCACAATTTTCCTATTCACTCAATGAGAACCTTCAGATGATGGCCAACTGTGCCTCATCAACCGGTACACTACAACAAATTTGTGCACCAGCAGCAGACATCCAACAACATGTGATGGCAATATTCAGGCATAATGTAAACTGCTACAGACAGGACTTGATATTTCTTCTGAAGGTAAAGATTGTGCAATTAAATATCCCCAATTCACAAAAATCACATTTGTTCTGAATATATCCCATTTGCATGATATATAAGCACACATCATATTGCCCGTCAGTCACAATAACTCCTGACACTTGTGGCTATGATAAACGCTACAAAGGAAAATCCCTGTCATTTGCAGCAGCAGTTGCATGGAAAAAGTTACCATTTGAACTCCTAACTTGTCCTGTCTATGCTTTGTTCAAAGTACTTATCAAGATGTCTTTCTTCCACCAAGCATATCTCCAGAAACCTTCCAGTGTGAGCTCTGAGCACATCATAGTGCATGGAGATTACCATGTTAAAAATGAATTATTATTGTGTCTGTTGTTGTTGCTGTTGTTGTTGCTGTTGTTGTTGTTGTTATCATGTGAAGTGTTGCAGCCCCCACCTGCTCTTGCCAGCGAGGAGATGCTGCTCTGCTGCGTGACTGAGACTGAATGTCCGGGCTGAGTGGTCCTCGATGGCATCCAGAGCCTTCTTGAGACTGGGTGGGTCATCTCTACTGGCCAGGAGCTTGTGTAGCAGTGACACAACGCCCTTCCCATTGGCTGTCTCCTTCTCTGCCTACACACAACAGGACAACATGGGCAAACATTGGCATACATATATCACCCAAATCACTTCTCATGTTCTTATTCATGTAAGGATTGACTTTGGATTTTTTTTGGTTCATTGAGGTATGAACCGAAAAACCGATGTGCAAACTGTATGAATCCACACTCAATCCTATTGATTAAATTTGACAATGAAAACATGTGCAATCTACAAACGTTTAACCAAAAAGTTGTATATTTCAAAGTAGACAAAAATGACGAGATTGATAAACACTCTTTGTGTAGGAAAAAGTACTGTGGTGCGACATGAATCAGGTGATTGTTTAATTTATGCACATAACTTGACATGCCCACAAAGTCAGTAGCCAATCAACGGAGAGTAGGATCAAAACAAATTTCATAGGACCTGTCAATCAAGGCAAGAGGCGAGTCTGACTGCAACAGTCAGACTGTAACAAACCAGAACAAATATGTCTGGGAGAAGTTGGCTGTTTCAAACAACATGGTCAGATACTGCCAGATTCAAACATTAGTTCACTGAGAACGCGAAGACACAGTTGGAAAAATGTTGGTTAGAAATGAAACCCAAAGACATAAACTTTTGTTTCAAAGGGTAGTTTAGACAATGAATATGCATGAGTTTTGCTAAATGTCCTGTGCATGACAATACTTGTGAGCAGAATGGGAATTCCCTTGACTGTAATATTGGGATTGCCTGACATTCTAGAGTAATAAAAGTCTGCTTCAGTGGGCGTGGCTTAATATATTACATTCATTGGGAAATGAATGCAATAACACGTGACCAATTCAGCTAATCAGAATGCAGGAATTTCATTGAACACAATTAAAATGTAATTATCATACTGTGAATATATAAAAGTGCATATTTCAAAATTCCTCTTGGTTTCTTTGTGGTTTTAAAGAGTACTTTTTGGCCTACTGCTGAAGATGGACCTGATAGGCTTTCGAAAACATCACATTGAATTGAGCATCAATATATCACTTTGTGATCGAACATTCTATTGTTCAAATATCCAGATATATAGATGTTATTATTAATAATAATATAATGACTCCTCACCCGCTTCCCATCACTGGCATATTTGGCAAGACAAGAGACCAGCTCTTGTACAAGTTGGGAATCACACATATCGGTACAGTGATCGGAATACACTCGACCAATCAGATCCTTGGCATGGGCGGAGCTGCTGGTGCGATGAACCAGCCTCTTGAAGATGTCCACCGCCATGGCTAGGTCCATAAGGTTCCAACTGTGATGGTTGACAAATGCATGGTTGCCATAGTAACTGTGTTGTAACAACAACGAGTGCATAAGGGCAAGCGGCATTGTCCGTCCAAACTTCTCTTCAGCCTGAAAACAGAACTATGTATTCAGTCATGTGTTCATTTAGTACAAGAGTGTGAATGTTGGGTTATATGGTAGCAGCATCCCCGTTGGAACTATAGATGTTGGGGACATGGCTGGCAGAGGTAATACAAGATTTTACCTTAGGTAGGAAACCAGGTCCAATTCCGAAATATGTACCTCTAAATCAAAGTCTTGCCCCCTTTAAGATCCTCAAGGTCATAGCGGTAAATTACTGTAAATCTGGAAATTAATGCATCTCCAAATTAATGTGACTGTTGACCCCTACCCCAAAAGCGACTCAACATCAATGCGACTCCCCCCACCCCACCACATCCCCAGTGTATGATACATATCCTTACTTTAATCCAATCAAAGAGCATATAGTGCCGCTTATTAGCACTGAATAAAGCACTTCCGTAAAAATAATAAACAGTGTATTCCCCCAAACAACACACGGTTCATATGTTCCTTCTGTTGACTGGCATTAAGGATGTTCAAAGGCAATAAAATAATTGAACCAACAACAGTTTACTGATTGGTATGCGAAGGTGTCAACAAGCTTGACACGAGTGGGTAGAACTCTTGACGCCAGCAGTGATAACTCACTGGGTGCCCATTGTGTAATCCCTATTCTTTGAATGACATTGGTATATACTTATTACAACTGCTGCTCAATAAACCTTGTTTGTGTTTATGTTCAAGTTGGTATTTCCGCTATCCAACGTGTGCAGTGAGGCCATCTTATTGTTGATAGTCATTTGGAGACATAAATGCGAAGTTAATTAATGCGAGCAAAGACATTTCATTCACGCTTGCGTTAATTACAAGATTTACAGTATATGTTAGGGTGAGCCACAAGTTATTTCCTTTACCATATAGCAACAAGTCAATACAAGATGCAGTGTTACTCCACATCTCTGCTGTGTTGGTGTCAGTTTATACTCACATCGTCCTCAGCTCGGTGCCAGTGCTTCAGAAGGAAGGCAACAGATCTGTATGACTTCTGGAGACAACTGCGGAAATTGGCCTTGGCCTCACACGTCACCCTCAACCCATGCTGGATCAGAACCCCTGCAACACAAGCAGACAGTCAGCCAGTGATTAGCCACGACAAGCATGGACAGACTACAGGAAACAGACAGAAGGATAGACAGACACAGACACAGACACAGACACACACACACACACACAGACACAGGCACACACACAGAGACACACACACACAGACACACACAGAGACACACACACACAGACACACACACAGACACACACACACACACACACATTTGTGGACATACTACAACATCCAAGTTTACTAGCCCATACTGATTCTTGGTAACATTTACAAAGATACCCCACCCACTCAGACACATTATACAAACTGGCCAGTCCTTGTTGTATCCCCTTATGCTGCACACCAGGCAGTCTAACAACAGGTACCAACTTGTGATGAGGCCAATCCACCCACATTCCACGTTCCAGGCAGATGCTCTATCCACAACACCATGGAGGCAGTTTAAGTCACGTGGACATTTTTCTGCACAGTTCTTTCCTGACATCAGTAGAAGTTATATTCCCATCTGAACTACCAGAATAAAGGAAGCTTGCAAGCATAGTATTACCAGGTATGACACGTGGGCCGTCTGCCAGAGTTGTGATCCATAAGCGGAATTGCGGGTGTATTTTCTGGTCATGTATCTGAGTGGATGGCCTTGATCTTGCTATCAGACTGCGACCTTCATCACTGATGTCTGTGTTCTCCCGCTGTCTGTCCTCGGCAATCCACTTACTGTAGATGATGTCCTGTGTGAAAACAATTGCCTCCATTTCCATCATACTCAACATGTCAACAAATATTTGCTTAAAGTAGCTGCCTAAATGAACTTTGGAGGGAGTGTTTCATTCCACAGCCGGCACTATTAGAGCTGCAGCACAGTAACCATACATGAGAGAAACTGGACCAGCCAACCACACAATGCTCATTGTAGACAGCTCATATGGAAAACATGGCGTATAAGGGCCCAGAAGTCACTATGGGGAGACAAGCATGGATACTAGGCCCAGAAGTTACTATGGGGAGACAAGCATGGATACTAAGCCCAAAGTCACTATGGGGAGACAAGCATGGATACTAGGCCCAGAAGTTACTATGGGGAGACAAGCATGGATACTAGGCCCAGAAGTCACAATGGGGAGACAAGCATGGATACTAGGCCCAGAAGTCACTATGGGGAGACAAGCATGGATACTAGGCCCAGAAGTCACAATGGGGAGACAAGCATGGATACTAGGCCCAGAAGTCACTATGGGGAGACAAGCATGGATACTAGGCCCAGAAGTTACTATGGGGAGACAAGCATGGATACTAAGCCCAAAGTCACTATGGGGAGACAAGCATGGATACTAGGCCCAGAAGTTACTATGGGGAGACAAGCATGGATACTAGGCCCAGAAGTCACAATGGGGAGACAAGCATGGATACTAGGCCCAGAAGTCACTATGGGGAGACAAGCATGGATACTAGGCCCAGAAGTCACAATGGGGAGACAAGCATGGATACTAGGCCCAGAAGTCACTATGGGGAGACAAGCATGGATACTAAGCCCAGAAGTTACTATGGGGAGACAAGCATGGATACTAGGCCCAGAAGTCACTATGGGAAGACAAGCATGGATACTCGTGCCCAGAAGTTACAATGGGGAGACAAGCATGGATACTAGGCCCAGAAGTTACTATGGGGAGACAAGCATGGATACTAGGCCCAGAAGTCACTATGGGAAGACAAGCATGGATACTCGAGCCCAGAAGTTACTATGGGGAGACAAGCATGGATACTAGGCCCAGAAGTCACTATGGGGAGACAAGCATGGATACTAGGCCCACAAGTTACTATGGGGAGACAAGCATGGATACTAGGCCCAGAAGTCACTATGGGGAGACAAGCATGGATACTAGGCCCAGAAGTTACTATGGGGAGACAAGCATGGATACTAGGCCCAGAAGTTACTATGGGGAGACAAGCATGGATACTAGGCCCAGAAGTTACTATGGGGAGACAAGCATGGATACTAGGCCCAGAAGTTACTATGATGAGACAAGCATGGATACTAGGCCCAAAGTCACTATCGGGAGACAAGCATAGATACTAGGCCCAGAAGTCACTACGGGGAGACAAGCATGGATACTAAGCCCAAGTCACTATGGGAAGACAAGCATGGATACTAGGCCCAGAAGTTACTATGGGGAGACAAGCATGGATACTAAGCCCAAAGTCACTATCGGGAGACAAGCATGGATACTAGGCCCAGAAGTTACTATGAGGAGACAAGCATGGATACTAGGCCCAGAAGTCACTATGGGGAGACAAGCATGGATACTCGTCCCCAGAAGTCACTATGGGGAGACAAGCATGGATACTAGGCCTAGAAGTTACTATGGGGAGACAAGCATGGATACTAAGCCCAAGTCACTATGGGAAGACAAGCATGGATACTAGGCCCAGAAGTTACTATGGGGAGACAAGCATGGATACTAGGCCCAGAAGTTACTATGGGGAGACAAGCATGGATACTAGGCCCACAAGTTACTATGGGGAGACAAGCATGGATACTAGGCCCAGAAGTCACTATGGGGAGACAAGCATGGATACTAGGCCCAGAAGTTACTATGGGGAGACAAGCATGGATACTAGGCCCAGAAGTTACTATGGGGAGACAAGCATGGATACTAGGCCCAGAAGTTACTATGGGGAGACAAGCATGGATACTAGGCCCAGAAGTCACTATGGGGAGACAAGCATGGATACTCGTCCCCAGAAGTCACTATGGGGAGACAAGCATGGATACTAGGCCCAGAAATTACTATGGGGAGACAAGCATGGATACTAAGCCGTAAGGCACTTTCGGGAGACAAGCATGGATACTAGGCCCAGAAGTTACTATGAGGAGACAAGCATGGATACTAGGCCCAGAACTTACTATGGGGAGATAAGCATGGATACTAGGCCCAGAAGTTACTATGGGGAGACAAGCATGGATACAAGGCCCAGAAGTTACTATGGGGAGACAAGCATGGATACTAGGCCCAGAAGTCACTATGGGGAGACAAGCATGGATACTAGGCCCAGAAGTCACTATGGGGAGACAAGCATGGATATGAGGCCCTAAGTCACTATGGGGAGACAAGCATGGATACTAGGCCCAGAAGTCACTTTGGGGAGACAAGCATGGATACTAGGCCCAGAAGTCACTATTGGGAGACAAGCATGGATACTAGGCCCAGAAGTCACTATGGGGAGACAAGCATGGATACTAGGCCCAGAAGTCACTATGGGAAGACAAGCATGGATACTAGGCCCAGAAGTCACTATGGGGAGACAAGCATGGATACTAGGCCCAGAAGTCACTATGGGGAGACAAGCATGGGTACTAGGCCCAGAAGTTACTATGAGGAGACAGGCATGGATACTAGGCCCAGACGTCACTATGGGAAGACAAGCATGGGTACTAGGCCCAGAAGTTACTACGAGGAGACTGGCATGGATACAAGGCCCAGAAGTCACTATGGGGAGACAAGCATGGATACTAGGCCCAGAAGTCACTATGGGGAGACAAGCATGGATACTAGGCCCAGAAGTCACTATTGGGAGACAAGCATGGATACTAGGCCCAGAAGTCACTATGGGGAGACAAGCATGAATACTAGGCCCAGAAGTCACTATGGGAAGACAAGCATGGATACTAGGCCCAGAAGTCACTATGGGGAGACAAGCATGGGTACAAGGCCCAAAGTCACTATGGGGAGACAAGCATGGATACTAGGCCCAGAAGTCACTATGGGAAGACAAGCATGGATACTAGGCCCAAAGTCACTATGGGAAGACAAGCATGGATACTAAGCCCAGAAGTCACTATGGGAAGACAAGCATGGATACTAGGCCCAGAAGTCACTATGGGGAGACAAGCATGGGTACTAGGCCCAGAAGTTACTACGAGGAGACTAGCATGGATACTAGGCCCAGAAGTCACTATGGGAAGACAAGCATGGATACTAGGCCCAGAAGTTACTATGGGAAGACAAGCATGGGTACTAGGCCCAGAAGTTACTACGAGGAGACAAGCATGGATACTAGGCCCAGAAGTCACTATGGGGAGACAAGCATGGATACTAGGCCCAGAAGTCACTATGGGGAGACAAGCATGGATACTAGGCCCAGAAGTCACTATGGGGAGACAAGCATGGATACGAGGCCCTAAGTCACTATGGGGAGACAAGCATGGATACTAGGCCCAGAAGTCACTATTGGGAGACAAGCATGGATACTAGGCCCAGAAGTCACTATGGGGAGACAAGCATGAATACTAGGCCCAGAAGTCACTATGGGAAGACAAGCATGGATACTAGGCCCAGAAGTCACTATGGGGAGACAAGCATGAATACTAGGCCCAGAAGTCACTATGGGAAGACAAGCATGGATACAAGGCCCAGAAGTCACTATGGGGAGACAAGCATGGGTACTAGGCCCAGAAGTTACTACGAAGAGACTAGCATGGATATTAGGCCCAGAAGTCACTATGGGGAGACAAGCATGGATACTAGGCCCAGAAGTCACAATGGGGAGACAAGCATGGATACTAGGCCCAGAAGTCACTATGGGGAGACAAGCATGGATACAAGGCCCTAAGACACTATGGGGAGACAAGCATGGATACTAGGCCCAGAAGTCACTATTTGGAGACAAGCATGGATACTAGGCCCAGAAGTCACTATGGGGAGACAAGCATGAATACTAGGCCCAGAAGTCACTATGGGAAGACAAGCATGGATACTAGGCCCAGAAGTCACTATGGGAAGACAAGCATGGATACTAGGCCCAGAAGTCACTATGGGGAGACAAGCATGGGTACTAGGCCCAGAAGTTACTACGAGGAGACAAGCATGGATACTAGACCCAGAAGTCACTATGGGAAGACAAGCATGGATACTAGGCCCAGAAGTTACTATGAGAAGACAAGCATGGGTACTAGGCCCAGAAGTTACTACGAGGAGACTAGCATGGATACTAGGCCCAGAAGTCACTATGGGAAGACAAGCATGGATACTAGGCCCAGAAGTTAGTATGGGAAGACAAGCATGGATACTAGGCCCAAAGTCACTATGGGGAGACAAGCATGGGGTACTGAGGAAATTTTCTTCACTTGAATGCCTAACAATCGTACCTTGAGGAGAGAGAAGAAGTGTGAGTCAGGGTCACCAGCCAGGTGGTAGTTCTGCAGCAGCAGCCAGTACCCGGATTGGAGGCAGTCTTCAATGGCATGCTTCACCTCTGTTATCTGGGACTCCACCCCGAAGTTCATCACCCTCAGCTTGCCATCCATCCCCACCTCCCGTGCCAGACGCTTGACTTCATGAGCTGGGCTGACGTACGGGTAACCTGTGTAGCATGGAACAGGCAGAGAGTAAAGGTTTGTAATATAATATAATATAATGAAGAACTGTGTTCTCCTATTCTGTTAAACAGGGCTGATGTTAAGACTTATACAGAAGTTGCATCAAAGCATGGTTGAAGAGGCCATTGTTGGCATCCTAGCCAAAAACAGAATACAAAACAGTACTACCCTGGGATGAGTTCATTCTACATTGCAGTCCCCTGACTCTGAACATGGAAGATTTACTTCAGGTTCTGGATGAGAAGTGTCATACTGCTGTATGAGATGCATTCAAGAGTGCTATATAAACAACAAGCATACACTGTGACGTACGTACAGTACTCCAGGTTCTGCCATGCACAACATTGCACTGGTAATCAGGCGAACTGGAACTACAACATGAACTGGACTCGTCCACCATCTAGGGTACTGGGTACTACCGGTATTCTCTGTTTTTGGCTAGGGTACATTACTGTGTACTGGGGTACATTACTGTGTACTAGGGTACATTACAGTGTACTGGGGTACATTACTGTGTACTAGGGTACATGTCTGTGTACTGGGGTACATTACTGTGTACTAGGGTACATTACAGTGTACTGGGGTACATTACTGTGTACTAGGGTACATGTCTGTGTACTGGGGTACATTACTGTGTACTAGGGTACATTACTGTGTACTGGGGTACATTACTGTGTACTGGGGTACATGTCTGTGTACTGGGGTACATTACTGTGTACTAGGGTACATGTCTGTGTACTGGGGTACATTACTGTGTACTGGGGTACATGTCTGTGTACTAGGGTACATAACAGTGTACTGGGGTACATTACTGTGTACTAGGGTACATTACTGTGTACTAGGGTACATGTCTGTGTACTGGGGTACATGTCTGTGTACTGGGGTACATTACTGTGTACTAGGGTACATGTCTGTGTACAAGGGTACATTACAGTGTACTGGGGTACATTACTGTGTACTAAGGTACATTACTGTGTACTAGGGTACATGTCTGTGTGCTGGGGTACATGTCTGTGTACTGGGGTACATGTCTGTGTACTGGGGTACATGTCTGTGTACTGGGGTACATTACTGTGTACTGGGGTACATGTCTACGTACTGGGGTACATTACTGTGTACTGGGGTACATGTCTGTGTACTAGGGTACATGTCTGTGTACTAGGGTACATGTCTGCGTACTGGGGTACATTACCGGGTACTGGGGAACATGTCTGTGTAATGGGGTGCATGTCTGTGCACTGGGGTACATTACTGTGTACTGGGGTACATTACTGTGTACTGGGGTACATGTCTGTGTACTAGGGTACATTACTGGGTACTGGGGTACATGTCTGTGTAATGGGGTACATGTCTGTGTACTGGGGTACATTACTGTGTACTGGGGTACATTACTGTGTACTGGGGTACATGTCTGTGTACTGGGGTACATGTCTGTGTACTGGGGCACATTACTGTGTACTGGGGTACAATACTGTGTACTGGGGTACATGTCTGTGTACTAGGGTACATTACTGTGTACTGGGGTACATTACTGTGTACTGGGGTACATTACTGGGTACTAGGGTACATTACTGGGTACTGGGGTACATGTCTGTGTAATGGGGTACATGTCTGTGTACTGGGGTACATTACTGTGTACTTGGTTACATGTCTGTGTACTGGGGTACATGTCTGTGTACTGGGGTACATGTCTGTGTACTGGGGTACATAACTGTGTACTGGGGTACATGTCTGTGTACTAGGGTACATGTCTGTGTACTGGGGTACATTACTGTGTACTGGGGTACATGTCTGTGTACTAGGGTACATGTCTGTGTACTAGGGTACATGTCTGCGTACTGGGGGTACATTACTGTGTACTTGGGTACATTACTGTGTACTGGGGTACATGTCTGTGTACTAGGGTACATGTCTGTGTACTAGGGTACATGTCTGTGTACTAGGGTATATTACAGTGTACTGGGGTACATTACTGTGTACTAAGGTACATTACTGTGTACTAGGGTACATGTCTGTGTGCTGGGGTACATGTCTGTGTACTAGGGTACATGTCTGCGTACTGGGGTACATTACCGGGTACTGGGGAACATGTCTGTGTAATGGGGTGCATGTCTGTGCACTGGGGTACATTACTGTGTACTGGGGTACATGTCTGTGTACTAGGGTACATGTCTGTGTACTGGGGTACATTACTGTGTACTGGGGTACATGTCTGTGTACTAGGGTACATGTCTGTGTACTAGGGTACATGTCTGCGTACTGGGGGTACATTACTGTGTACTTGGGTACATTACTGTGTACTGGGGTACATGTCTGTGTACTAGGGTACATGTCTGTGTACTAGGGTACATGTCTGTGTACTAGGGTACATTACAGTGTACTGGGGTACATGTCTGTGTACTGGGGTACATTACTGTGTACTGGGGTACATGTCTGTGTGCTGGGGTACATGTCTGTGTACTGGGGTACATAACTGTGTACTGGGGTACATGTCTGTTTACTGGGGTACATGTCTGTGTACTAGGGTACATGTCTGTGTACTGGGGTACATGTCTGTGTACTGGGGTACATGTCTGTGTACTGGGGTACATGTCTGTGTGCAGACAATGACCCCTCCTGCCAAAGCAGAAGCAGGTATCAGTGAGCATGTACAATCCCCATCACTGATGAAGCTTGTACTCACCTCCTGTGCCCTCCCACTCGGGGATCTTGGGTGTTGTTGGCAGGAGGAAGACAGTGGGGGTGAACTGATTGGTGAGGTTGTACACATCGCGGATGTTGTAGTGGTCAGCAGACCCCACCACGCTGCCCAGCTCGTACGTAACAACAGCTCGCGACAGCTCTGCTATCTGGGAGGGAACAACATACAGCTTGTCCATCAGGCAGAAAATACAATCCAAAGCTTGGAACATCACAAACTGTTACATGTAAGGCACAACAAAATGTTCTTCCTTTCTGCAGTCAAAGCATGGATAAAGAATATTTTCAGAAATAAAATAAACATTCTCGATGTTAAAATTACTCTTTAAGTAGATTATTATATATTGACATATTTCACAACAAATGTGAGAAGGATTGAAATTTTATGCCAGTGTTTGTTCAAGAATGAACCCATGTGGGGAATTAAACCTGGTCTTTGGTGTGATGAGTAAATGCTTCATCCACTTGACTAACATACTACTCTGAAAATACAAGAGTGAGCGGTGAACAATCTAACCCTGTGGGGACAACAGAACTTCCACAGCAGACACTTCTGGAAGAGGGAGAGCTCCTGTAGTGTGCGGCCCGGCACAGGGTTCACCAGGGAGATCGGCAGCTGCAAATCACAGAATGTGGTTGTATGCTTCAGACTGCAATGTTCCAGCTACAGAGGTCTGTTTCTATTGTGCCTCAATAAGGTACATAGCAGTATGAGGACACACAATGTACCAGTCCCACATTGTAACCATACAATCCCCATGCTGGTCTGGGGATCTATAACTGGAGGGGAAGATTAACACTAATGCTTAGTCAATAAATATATAAGCATGAAAATATACAACTTGGATAGTAACAAATAACACCATTTAAATTAAAAAGGAGCCTCATACCAGTGAAATGTGAGATTCAGATATAGACTTACTTCATTCAGGGCTTTTGTATAAACAGGAAGGGCTGGGCCAAAGGAAAAGTACTATGGTTGAGGGACTGTGAGATTGACTAGGGAAGGTTGAACATACATGTGTAAGTCAATTAAGAGCAACAGTTAGATATAGCACTTAACTTCAACTCTTTTATTCAAAAGTAATTACACAAAATAAACAAATCAACACCATACTGTTCAATGTTAATATTATAAAGGCTTATCTTGAGCCAGACATATCTTTTGGGGATTGAAGATGAAGATGTTAGGGTTAGCAAATACAAAAACTGCAGTGATTTCTGGAACTCAGTTTCTTAAAGTCTACATAATGTACATCTCTATGGGGTTTTGCTGAAATGGCACTCCCCAACAACAGAAGCAGTGGTACATACAGTGATGTGTTTTACACAAGGAAACTCTAAAGTGCACAAAGTCCTCAAGCAGACAGAAGGGGCCTAGTTTAGGAAGACACTACATCAGCATCGATTGTAGCCATGGGATCCCATTTATTGTTACATCTATGTCAAGCATCAGTTAATGTCAGAAATATTCTCAGTGAACTTCATGCCGGTCACTCAGCTGTGTACTTACAGTGAAATACTCCTCCCACTGGCTGGGGTTGTCTAGGAGGGAGTGACACAGGCCGTGGAATGGGTGATGCAGAGATTCCAAGACATTGCAGTCTACCCAACTCTGAAATAGTCAGTCATAAAGTATGTCTATCACCAATACTGAGACCACGGATGTCAAAACTTGGGGAATTAAGAGAGCAAAATGCAAAAGAAAATCACAACATTTTACAGAAAAATAAAAAAATCTTGCAAAACATCAAGACAAAAGCAGTCTTGATGGCATTAGTGACAAACCTTATCAGCAATCCAAGATGGTTTCTGTGCAGCCAGACTGTGTTCATCCAAGCCAAACTTTTCAAATCCGTTGATGAAGAGACTGATCTCCTTGCTCGAGGCTTTCCTTGCCCGCAGCATCCTCTCCAGAGACACCAGCAGGCACAGCAGGTTGTAGTGCTGCTCAAACATCATCATGGATGCGTGGTGAAATATCTCAGACATCGTCGCATTTGACAGCTCCAGTGCTCGAACTCTCGGATCACCTGAAACAGAAGAGATTTATGGGTTCACAGAGGGACCTTAGCCCTATGAGTTTTGTAAATTCCACATCTTAACATAGTTTCATGGCATTTGTAGCACAACAGTAGAGTCCTGGGTCTCAGTACATGAACACATTTGAAAGGTGGACTGGACTACTGTTGGACTCACAGTACAGAGTTTAATTTGATTTTCCTCGAAGAGAAAATGTAAAACATCCACATTTCACATAGGGTTTCCATCAGGAGGTGACGACCTATTTGTCATAGAGACAGTGAGTCTTTGATCTTTTCCACTGTCCTTGTTTCAATATTTTCAGAACCTGCATGCATTAGCAGGCATAACCATCACACATCTCCCTCACATACGGACTCCCTGCAGCCTGGAGAGGGAAGACGTATGTCCATACCGTGACTGCCCTTCCCGCGGTCCCGGCTCCTGATCATCGAGGAGAAGATGTCCACGAACTTGTAGAAGGGGATGTAGTAGCAGGAGTGGAGGACGCTCATCTTCTGCAGGGTGTTGTAGATCATCGTCGACTGACGCATCATCGGGATGTACTCGGCAAACTTGCCCTCCAGGTGGTCTCCCATGTAGCGGGTTTCCTCCAGGATGATCCTGTTCTTCTCCACGTTACTCTGGCAGGCCAGGAGGGAATCCAGCATAGTCTTGTCTTCCAGCAGGGGGCCATCTAGGTTCAATGTCTTCTCTCGTATAGCTTCCTGTCAGGATGAGAGTGTAAACCATTGATTAGTGGAAACAACAGGAATGTGGGGATGTTAATAAATATCTTGTCAGCCATCTTGAACCAATTTCAAGGGGGACAACTACACCTAATTTGTTTTAATTTGGCAACACCGAGTCACCTTATGTCAAATTCTTTGTCATATATATTATTAAGTCAACAAAATTAGGATAATTTGGTGGGTACTTCTAAAGAAAATGATCCCTGTGAAACTCACATGTTCCTTGGCCAGCTGCTGTCTGTGCAGAATGATGTCATTTTCATTGGAGCGCTTCTGGCCTTCATACTCCTTGCGTTCTATCTTCATGGTCTCAAACAAGAGACGATTGATAATGGCTTCATCACTGACGGCCATGTTGATGCAGCACAGACGATGGACTGGGAAGCTGTGCAGGCCATCCCCTTCAACACAAGGAAATGTTTACAACATGGATTTCAAACAAGAAATGGCTTTGCTTTACTTAGCTTACCACAGAAACACTTGTCACATGGACCAATTTTTGTGAAACAAATGTCATGCCTGGAATTAGTATTTAGGGAATAAACTATCACCTAGGAGAAACTACAGAATATCTGTCCCCAGGGAATTAATGTTGTAAGTCTTTTAGCCCTGGTGAATTGTTTTTAAGGTTCAGGCACTTGGGACAGATATTTCGTAATTCATAGGTTGCAAGTGGAGACACAGACTGTTGTTCGAAAAGGTTCACATAAAACTGTTTATAACATCATAAACAATGGATGATGTCATCTTTAATTATTTTCAACATTCTGTTCACGTGGTGTCACATTGCTATGGGCCTCTTCACAAACAATGGAACAATGACCAGTGAACACAACGGAACGACAAGTGAACACAATGGAACAATGGCCAGCAAACACAATGGAACAATGGCCAGTGAACACAATGGAACAACCAGTGAACACAATGGAACAATGGCCAGCAAACACAATGGAACAATGGCCAGTAAACACAATGGAACAATTGGAACAAAGCTTAGTAGAGTGTGTCCATTGAGATTTACTTAAACAATTTCACCAATATCATTGATAGATTAAAATTGATTGATTATTGAGTAAAATTCTGATATTAGCATTCTATTTTACCCAATCATTCATTCTCAGAAGGAAAGCCAAAAGGGATACAAGTCTGACCTTCGGAGAGGTTTATAGTGTTGACAAACCAAGATTTATTATCAGGGTGAAATCTGGGTTTCTTAGGACTCTTGGATGACATTGGGATGCAGCTCAGCACAAACAAATTGTTGCACATCCGACAACCAGGTCACTTGTGCCCCCTAGGGTTCAATGAAATGAGCCTACCTTTCAGGAAAAGAGGAACAGTTGTACTGAGATACAGACAGAAGTTTGGATGGTAGTTGAAGATCATGTCGCCCACACGGACCACCTTGTTGCCATCCTTGTCCACATAGAAGTGTTTGAGCAGCAGTCCACGGAACAGAGGGTCAAGTGGCTTCCTCTCCAGGTGGGTCACCAGCACAGTCACGCCTGTCAAACAGATAGCATGGTGTCATGCAACACAATCTCACTGAGGGAGAAGAAGGAAATTAAAGGTTGACATTAAAGGTAAACTTGGAAGCAGGGCTGGCAGGGATAAGAAACAGCGACTGCTAAGCCATATACCATGGTCGTATTCCCTGACATCTGATATTCACAATGCCTCATCAACAATATTCCCATCTCAGATGTTTAAATTGCCTTAGTGGACCTCAAGGGAACACCTTGAAATTACTTGTAACAGGGCTGTTTGGGGGGCCATAGTAGATCATTTTTCTAGATCAGATGACATCATTATTCCTGTCTATAGGTCACAGTACAGCAGCCTGCCCTAGGTCCTCTACTCACCATGCACAATAGCATTGATGAGTCGACTGTTGAGGTGAGGGTCATCCGCTTCGATGATCCACAGATTGTGTTCAGGATGGTCGATGGAGTTGTCGGCCTGTAGACTGAATGTCTCCCAGCTGTTGGTGACCGAGGTGACCGGGCGGAGTTCCTCGCTGTCGCCCGTCCCGTGTGACTGCCATCCCGCACTGCCAACAACACAACAGGCATCCTCACAGTCAATCAGTAATATCAGTCCTACCCTTCACAGATAACAATAGACTGATCCACACATGTAAGCCAATCAGAGCAATGTTTCTCATGTGCGACCTTGACTGGGGGATCTAGATTATGTACAAAATGTATCTGTGTGTGACGACTATGTTGATCCAAATCTCACCAAATAATACCAAATGAAAATACCTGTTCTGAGTCCTTGCTGTGTAGACAGTGGACGTGTCAGGTAGTGTGAACTCTGTGACATCAGAGAAGGTCAAGGCTGTCCCTCGACTCGGTGGTGGCTCCATCTGTCCGCTGGAGTCCTCTGAAGTGTCTGCAGCTGACTCAAATGCTGCTTCTATGGGCATACCTGTCACAGACAAATACACACCTAATGGATGCTGGAATCAGATAAACACAATCACACTTCCCATCAGGCTGTACCATGGTACAAATCAGGTTTTAAAAGAAGCACAGCAGTTTATTCTGAAATTGTTCATTGAACCAAACAGATAGTGTAGCAATATTTCCATCAGGTTAAAACATCCCCTACATACCCCCATGGAAGTATGTGAAAATAATACCTCTGGTATTGAAATACACACAGATTCAGAAGTATTCATAAATTGATGCCATCTTGTTAAAAATCCTGGATCTGCCCCTGTATTTGTATTAATAAACATCTGTGTCCTATCTGGCTTTGAATGGCTTGTCAGTCATGGTTATATTCCTAAGTCATTTAATAGGGCTGTATCAAAGGCAACTGACCATCCATGTAGTTGTCTCCCTCGACCGAGTCCGCCTCCCCGAACAACATCCTGGTCCTCTGCAGCACCTTGACCCACATCTCGGCCTGGTTGTCGGGATCCACCAGCAGTGGCCAGCAGTGCTTGCGCTTGTAGCAACTGACCCTCATGAGGAGGGCGTTCTGCACGCTGTGCAGGTCTGTTGGCAGGTTTGTCATTCGCCACCCACTCAACTCATCAAAGTCACTGAGGATGTCTTGCAGCGTGTAGCTGGACCTGGTCAACAGGGGGCTCTGTTCCTCCTCATCATCAGAATCATCAAACTCAATGTTAGGAACCACAGACTCCATAGTGTCCTGTTTCTTGAGTTCTGACTTGTAGTACTTGCTACTGTCATACACGGCTGGCATGTATTTGAACGTCCGCACCTGTGGTGTTGTAGTGAAGGTGGCAGTGATGTCACTGCTGATGCTGTCTGAGTCTGAGAAGTCGCTGAGACTGCTGACATGGCGGATGTTGTGACTTGACTGGAGAAGGAACTCCAGACGTGCTGTGACAGAGTATGGATCGCGATCATGGAAGGATGTGGCATCAAACGTTCCCTGACGACACCGACTCAGCCAGTCCTCCATCAGCTCAGAGCGGTACTTGTCATCTAGGGGGCCATGGTAGCACACACAGGCAGCAGTAATCAGGGCATCCCCTGGAGCAGAGCGCACATGTCGCTTTGCCTTCTTCAGCTCAGATCGCCACAGGAAGTGCTGCATAGACATGTTCTCCATCAGGTTGCTGGCTCGGGCTATCTTCTTCTCTATACCCTGGGGAGGAAACAGTCGGCATTGATAAGTCTGTCCTGTCACTGGTACTTTGAAAAACATCATTATAAACAGTCATTAATCAAAGTAATGTGCAATGAACATTAAATGTTTTTTCTGCCTATTATTACTGAACATGTAGACATTGCTTATGTCAAATTGTTTGCACATTGAAAGTCCTCAACAACAGATGTCTAAATGGAGCTGAAGTTGTTAGTGCCACGTCCAAGCTCACCATGATGTGTTTCTCGATGGTCTTGGCCTTCTTGAGGGCAGCTCTGTGCAGCGTGATCTTCCTCTCCAGGCCTGACTTGATTCTGTTGGCCTCCACACGCAGATGGCCCAGTCGAGCTTGGGCCTGAAACAGTTCATACCATGAACAGCTACTCTCAACTCATGGACTGTATCTCAATGATAGGCTACTGAAACTTCTGCTCCAGGACAGAATATGTTTCAGCAACATTTAAACAGGCATTCTCGTATGTGCTCTAATGACATTTGTGGATTCTAGGACAGAATGTGTCCACTTCAACATTCACTCGGGCATACTTCTTTATTTTAATCTGGTAACAATTTTAAATCCAGATAGATGGTATGGATCACTGTGAATTTTCAATTGGCAATGAACATGTAATTGATTGGAAAGGTGTTGATAAAAACATTTTGCCTTCCAATACATATTGGAGGTATCTGCCAGAATGTTCGTTTGTTTAGGCCTTGAACATGCAAAACATTTATCAATATTGACCGCCACACTAACCTTTGTAAAGCGCTCTTCAGCAACATGGAGGTTATGGAGATGAGGTTGCATGCTGCGATGAATGGCCGAGTAACGATACACAGCATGTACCCACAAGCAAATGGATTCACCAGCTTTGCTCACTTTTGTCACATTTACTGGCACAAACAAGGGGTGCTCGATGAAGAAGCGCAGATCTTTGAAAATGTCATCTGGGACATGGTCCTTGTCATAAAAGATGAGCTCCTGCAGGAAGTTGTCTCGGATCAGCAGCAGCTTGCCCTCCTCCCAGCTGCAACAGGCAGGTCTATGTTTCACAATACGGTAGTACTAGCCAGTGAGAAGTAGGGTTTAACAATAACCCAGCCATTCCCTGCTGGGGAAGAGCAAGAATATCCCATGTCTTTAAGAATACCCAGTCTTTAATGACCCAACACTTTAACCACTAGGCTATCCATCCCACTGACATAAAAAGGATACTTAGGGCAACCGAGTTTCCTTTTTGTTTTCCAAATGTTCCTTGGCAATATACCAAATTAAAAAATGTTGTCAGGGTAAGGCTAATTTAAAAAACAACAACTCTTTACTAAAATTTCTGCTCAATTCTGGTTGGATCCAAGACATGACATTGGTCTGAACTAAGAAGACGTTGTGTTTGACACAATTCTAGGAGCAACAAGCTGATTTACCTGCCATCATATCATAGCAGACATTTGTCATTTACTTTGTCTACACGTTCTGGTCAGTGATTACTAAAATGCACATGTGAAGACAACAAGAACACAATATGTCTCCTATGTCTGTATCAACGCTAACAAGGCTAGCTACCAAAGCTACTCGACCCGTGAAGATTCCGGGGTAGAATAGGTCTTCAGCAACCCATGCTTACCGTAAAAGACAACTATGCTTGTCGTAATAGGTGACTAACGGGATCGGGTGGTCAGGCTTGCTGACTCTGTTGATGCATGTCATTGATCCCAATTGCGTGGATCGATGCTCATGATATTAATCACTGGATTGTCTGGTCCAGACTCGATTATTTACAGACTGCCGTCATACAGCTGGAATATTGCTGAGTGTGGTGTTAAACAACAAACCAACCAACCAAAGCTACTCACTCGTGTTTTTTCCTAAAGAGCAGGCAGAGTGCGTTGATGACAAACTTGATGACATCAGGTGGTTCCCGATAACTCTTGAGTTCATCAATGTCATTCTTGCTGAGGGCACACAGAGCAGCCTGGGCCGCCTGGTAGCTGGGGTTCACCTGTAGCATACACACACATATACAACACTAAACGACCTCCCATGTAATACCAATTAAAGAAACAAATGAATAATTCGGGTATCTGACGAGCAAGATTCACGAGGTTCATAAAATTGGTATAGAAGAGTAGTGAGTTTAGTATTTTATTTATTACTTGCCGTTAATAACTTGTTTCAGAATTTCACTGACATATGTGAATAGGCAGACTACAATGCAATCCATAGCATAATACAATTGAGTAATATTTCAAACCCATCAAAAGTTGACACTTTTAATATTTTAGTATTAATACAATACCATACAAGGGCCCAGCTTCAGAATACAGGGATCCGTTCCACAAAGCTATTGTAGTACTACGGTTATTCATAATTCCTATATATACATAGATGTACGAGTGTCGATGCGCTACGATCGCCTTGTGAAACGGGACCCAACACCACAAAGTTTACAATCATGTCACAATACCCTTTGACATATTTTGCGGAATTTTGTTACAAGATCCATCAGTGAAACAATGCCATGTGACGTCAGCCGTCAGCAACAGGGTTGTTGGGGGTCATCGAGTGTGCATAAGCTCCTCTCAGTGATCTATCATGTCTATAAGCAATGTCTTGAATTAGCCCAGCGATGTTGAGAGTTTTAAATATCTGTTAATGAAACTTGTTCCCGCAGTACATAAGCACATGCTTTGGTATTATACGATGTGAATTACAGCTGTATGTTTATTAAACAAGTGATCTCTTCATTTCAACACATGCATGTGTAAAAGTCAGGCTACAATGTGTTCAGGAAGCATTTTGTTAATACTTGAACATGAGCAAGTCTTTGACACAGGGATAAGGAAATGCTCACAGATTTTCTCTTGAAGTTGGTAAAATCATGCTTTGTTTGCACATTTTAGTGATTCCTGTGAACTTCAAACATGTGAGAAGTAAAATAACTTGTAAGCGTGAGAAGGAAACATGGCTAGTAGCGACCACTGGAACATGACAGTTTGACATTCGAGCCTGCTTATCCTACCTCCTCTTGTCTCCCTCGGTGTGGCATGGGAGGGAACTGACCTTGTCAAACTCTGTCTGTGCGGACCTCCTCATGGTCTCCAGCGGGCCCTGCAGTGACATGATCTCCTCCTCCTGCTCCTTGCACTTGTCCAGGGACTGCAACATCGTCAGCGTCACACAATCAAGACATGCTGTACTGTACACTCAGTGATAAATGTCATAGAAGTTACTTTTGTCAAATTGTAGTATCTCAATGATCCTCAATTAGAAACATGACGTTTAAGATTCTTAAGATAATCGATATGAACTATGGAATGATATCCTCTAGGTAATGAATGTGTATTTATATTGACATATCATTACAATAGTAACTTGGATAGGGTCACCTTGTATTTGATCTAATGATGTTTGCATGGTTCATCACCGTAAAATCTGTCAATCTGATCGGCGAATTACTGTAAAATTATATACAAGATGGCTTGTACTGAGTGAGTTGGTTTTAACACCACTTTGAACAATATTTCAGCAAAATCATAGCATGAATGGAAGGAGAGCACAAATCAACTCAGATGTTTACCACTTTGCAGTATACACAGCAAATTGTGGTGCCTTGACAATTGTGTCCTATGCTCGGACTATTTGGTACCACGTGACCTATGTCCACTGCTGGTACTACCCACCTGTATGTACCATCCACCCACCTGTATGTACCCTCCACCTACCTGTATGTACCATCCACCCACCTGTATGTACCCTCCATCTACCTGTATGTACCCTCAACCCACCTGTATGTACCCTCCAACCACCTGTATGTACCTTCCAACCACCTGTATGTACCCTCCACCTACCTGTATGTACCCTCCATCTACCTGTATGTACCCTCCAACCACCTGTATGTACCCTCCACCTACCTGTAAGCACCCTCCACCCACCTGTATGTACCCTCGCCCCACCTGTATGTACCCTCCATCTACCTGGATGTACCCTCAACCAACCTGGATGTACCCTCACTACACCTGTATGTACCCTCCACCTACCTGTAAGTACCCTCCAACCACCTGTATGTACCTTCCAACCACCTGTATGTACCCTCCACCTACCTGTATGTACCCTCCATCTACCTGTATGTACCCTCAACCAACTTGGATGTACCCTCACTACACCTGTATGTACCCTCCACCTACCTGTATGTACCCTCCACCTACCTGTATGTACCTTCCACCTACCTGTATGTACCTTCCACTCACCTGTATGTACCCTCACCCCCCCTGTATGTACCCTCCACCCACCTGTATGTACCCTCCACCTACCTGGATGTACCCTCCACCCACCTGTAAGTACCCTCCACCCACCTGTAAGTACCCTCCACTCACCTGTATGTACCATCCACCGACCTGTATGTACCCTCCACTCACCTGTATGTACCATCCACCGACCTGTATGTACCCTCACCACACCTGGATATACCCTCACCCAACCTGTATGTACCCTCACCCAACCCGTATGTACCCTCCACCCACCTGTAAGTACCCTCCACCCTCCTGGATGTACCCTCCACCTACCTGTATGTACCCTCCATCTACCTGTATGTACCTGTATGTACCCTCCATCTACCTGTATGTACCTGTATGTACCCTCCATCTACCTGTATGTACCCTCCACCCACTTGTATGTACCCTCCACCCTCCTGGATGTACCCTCCACCCACCTGTATGTACCCTCCATCTACCTGTATGTACCTGTATGTACCCTCCATCTACCTGTAAGTACCCTCCACCCACTTGTATGTACCCTCCACCCACCTGTATGTATCCTCCACCCACCTGTATGTATCCTCCACCCACCTGTATGTACCCTCCATCTACCTGTATGTACCCTCCATCTACCGGTATGTACCCTCCATCTACCTGTAAGTACCCTCCACCCACTTGTATGTACCCTCCACCCACCTGTATGTATCCTCCACCCACCTGTATGTATCCTCCACCCACCTGTATGTATCCTCCACCCACCTGTATGTACCCTCCACCCACCTGTATGTACCCTCCACCCACCTGTATGTATCCTCCACCCACCTGTATGTATCCTCCACCCACCTGTATGTACCCTCCACCCACCTGTATGTACCCTCCACCCACCTGTATGTATCCTCCACCCACCTGTATGTACCCTCCACCCACTTGTATGTACCCTCCACCCACCTGTATGTACCCTCCACCCACCTGTATGTATCCTCCACCCACCTGTATGTACCCTCCACCCACTTGTATGTACCCTCCACCCACCTGTATGTATCCTCCACCCACCTGTATGTATCCTCCACCCACCTGTATGTACCCTCCACCCACTTGTATGTACCCTCCACCCACCTGTATGTACCCTCCACCCACCTGTATGTATCCTCCACCCACCTGTATGTATCCTCCACCCACCTGTATGTATCCTCCACCCACCTGTATGTATCCTCCACCCACTTGTATGTATCCTCCACCCACCTGTATGTACCCTCCACCCACCTGTATGTATCCTCCACCCACCTGTATGTATCCTCCACCCACCTGTATGTACCCTCCACTCACCTGTATGTACCATCCACCGACCTGTATGTACCCTCCACCCACCTGTATGTATCCTCCACCCACCTGTATGTATCCTCCACCCACCTGTATGTACCCTCCACCCACCTGTATGTACCCTCCACCCACCTGTATGTATCCTCCACCCACCTGTAAGTACCCTCCACCCACCTGTATGTATCCTCCACCCACCTGTATGTATCCTCCACCCACCTGTATGTATCCTCCACCCACCTGTATGTATCCTCCACCCACCTGTATGTATTCCTCCTTGTGCTGTTCCACCTGCTCCACCAACTCACGGATGGTCTCCATAGACAACTTGTGTTGTGGTGTGAGGTCCGACACTTCACGCTTGTACTCTGCGATGCTGCCAAACGCCTCGTCTATCTTCCCCAGGGCCTTCTCATACTTTACAATATTCACCTGAAACACACAACTACTATGTTCAAGACAACACCTCATGAACGACCACATGAACAACTGAAAAGTCCACAGCACAATAGGCAGCCTCAAAGGGAATGACATCATTACTCTGGTCCTTGGTATTCTTTGTTCACTGGGAAGCATATTCACCACCCACAAGTTTTTGGCATGACATTACAATTTCAGCGTTCCTTTGGGTACCCACCCGCTCTCGTTTGACGACATAAGCTGCAACAACCTTGAAGAGATGAACAAACTCCATGAAGGTGAGCGGCGTGTAGAACCTGAGTGGCTCCCTCTGGTGACAGAAGTGTCTTTCCACCGCTGACTTGGCCGAGAGGTGGATGTAGGCCATGGCATTACTTGCCATTGTAATTTGCTCCTCGCGTCGAGCTGGGTTCCATGGAATGACGATCTGAGAGAAAATATGTTGTATTGTAACCAAACTTTTACACAGCCACCTTAATGATTTTCTGAAACTTCAGCTTATTTTGCAATGTATTAATGGGTTCACTTCCTAAATTCATCGAGGTTTTCAGGGAGTGAAAATCTAAAAAATGATTATTTTTATTTTAACATAACTCCTACCATCAGTTACAATAAAAAGATAATTCCTAACATGCCTAGGAAAGAAGACACGGTTGGATGACCACATAGAACAAAAAGCACAGAGATCATTTACATCTCAGTTACACCATTTCTAAATAACAAATCTTTATTTTCAGCGAAACAATAGCTTCAATTTCCAAAGACCTCCATACAGAGCCTATGTCTTGATGCTGCTTGGAGTCACAAAGTAAATGACTACCACAAGGTCAATGATGTCTACACCAAAGGTCAATGGTTACCACAAGGTCAAGGACTATTCATTGACCACCACAAGGTCAAGGATGACCACAATGTCAAAGACTACCACAAAGTTAATGACTACCCTAAGGTCAAAGAATATTCAATGACTACCTACCACAAGGTCAGTGACTAGCATAAGGTCAAAGACTATCTTATGGTCAAGGACCACCACAAGGTCAAGGACTATCACAAGGTCAATGAGTACTGGTCACAAGTTACCTTTGATTTCTCGTCCTCCAGCCACGACCAGGCGACGGTTGTGAAGGCTTGGTAGGACCAGGGGAGGAACAGGTCGATACTGACACAGTGCTTCAGGAGCCCCGGGTACCTGTTCACTTTCTCATGCAGGGAGTGGAAGTCAGTGGAGTAGCTGTTCCCTAGAGGCGCATGGAGAATCATGTTGAGTGAGTGAGTGAGGTTTAACGCCGCTTTTAGCAATATTCCAGCAATATCACAGCGGGGGACACCAGAAATGGCCTTCACACATTGTACCCATCGAACCCGGGTCTTCCCACCGCCCCTAGAATCATGTTGAAGTTAATGCTGTATGAGACTGGTTTACGATGGATGTCATGTTTGGAAAATGGATGGTTTGTTTTTACACCACAGTGAGGAATTTTCAGGCATTATCACTGATAATATTGACAGAAATATGTGCTCAAAACGTCATATTCAGCATTTGATTGGAGTAAAGTTAAGAGTTTGTTTTGAATGTTTAATGCTGCATTCAGCAATATTCCAGCTATATGACAACAGACAATCCAGTGATTGATTATATGAGCAAAGATCCATGGGGTTGAGGTACGTTGATCTGCTGTCAACCAAATCACCAATCCATTTAGTCTCTAAATAGGACAAGCATAGCCGTTTGGGAATCAATACATAACATGAAATATGTGATAAGTCTGACCCAGCAATTTACAAAATACAGCCACAAGGCTTTGCAGTTCACTTGAATTATGAAGAAATAATGGCGGCCATGTCAAAATTTAGATTTGACTTTTTAGTTAAATGCTTAGAGACACCACAACTGGGATCTTTCTTACAAAGTTTCAAAGAACTTTCAGTTTCCGTTGTTTCAGAGCTGATGTCAAAACATGACAGTGACACCAGAAAATGGGGTTAGGTGAAGGTCAGGGGAAAACATATGGCTGCCTTGTTTGGAGTCGGATCAGAATTCTGTGAGCACTTTTTAGAGATATCATTTGTACACAGTTTCAGCTACGTAGGCCTTGTAGTTTCAGCGGAGTCATCAACAATGTATAAAGTTCACTTGATTTTCAGTCAGGTGAGAGAGAAAGTGGTATTGACCACAAAATTGATTGCCAAATTTAGTCCATTCTTCAGTGAAGCTATACAGAGCGCCTTATCTCACCCTTGTAGTTGAGACAGACAATGATGTGTAGATTCTGTTTGATCCTCTTGATGTAGCGATCAAACGCCTGCTCAATCTTATCGACCCTCTTGGTCTGTACACCCCCCGGCATCATCTGGCTGACTATCTTCTGAACCTCAGCATCTGAGTACAGTCCCGGAGATGTTCCTGGCACACACAACACTTCGGTTAGTCTGATATAGTAAATAGAACATCAGATAATCAAGCATAATTACCCTACACATCATGCTGGATAACAAGCTAACATCAAATATCGCCATTCAACTATGATAAATATTCAAGACCCATACCTTCATTAGAAAAGTGACATCAGTCTCTTACATAATATACGCCTGTAATTTAATTGGACAGCAATTTTTAGGGTTACATGTCATTTTTAACAGGCTCAAATTGAAACATTCCTAATGAACAGGTCTTCGGTATTCGTCATAGGACACTCAAGGATGAGTGACAATGCAATGTTCAGAAAGAGACAGGAACTCCTGCTGACACCGTGGCCCACCTTCTGCCATGAGGGTGCTGATGTCCTGGAGACAGGCGGTGCCCAGATCCTCGTGGATCAGCAGCACTGCAGGTTTCCCCACCACCCCGGCGTGCTGGCAGGAGCGCTTGATGTGCTCCCTCACGATGGTCAGGTTGTACCCCCGGTCTGTCTGGGGCTTCGGCTCGTACACCTGGGAAGTCACATGATGATGTTCAACACATGTCTTACTGCATTATCTTTGCCAAACCATCTCGTACTACTGCTGGAATGTGTTATAACCTGATTGAATATATGAAAATTTGAACTGTTTGATAAAAAAGTTTTTGGTCAACAAAACCAGGACAATTACTGGTCCGAAAAGAAATTCAGGAGACAACAAACTTTGCTATTTAATCAGAAACACTTTCATAATTCAACTAATTTGCCATCGTTTTGCCATTTGTTCAGGTAAAGAAAATCAGGAGATTGACATTGCATATTTCTTCACAGTAGATGTGTGGTGTTGGGGTGAACAATCAACCGGGTTCAAGTCTTGGTCAGAGTACCATGGAGTGTAAGCAGCCACTTGATGACATGGCCTTGTGTCTGGTACGTCAAACTCATACTCAATACAGAACTGTCTCCACCTGTTGTCTCTAATAATAAACATAACAAGGTAAAAGGAATCCAACATACAATACATCAGTGCCTGTTTAATCATCCTTACCTTGCAGTGTGCAATGTAGGCAGCCAGTCTGGCCAGTGTGGCTCTCCCAGTACAGTAGCTCATGCCTAGCAGTAGGCCGTGGCCGCCAGGGTGCGCCTGAAAGTACATTAACATGGATTCATAAAAGAACCATAATGTGAGTAATGGAATTTTATGTTAGGTCTCACTATGAAATATTACAACAAATACTTGGCCTCTATTCTGAATGAAAGGAGACATCGGCATGAAGTTGTGACACTCTCTGTATGACATCAACCCCATGGAGAGTCACAGTGGACCCTATCACCCCATTCTTTCTGACAGCTGTCATCCTAATCAATGGCATGGATTGTTCATGCTACTAATCACTGACTTGCCTGATGACCTACACAGGTCACCATGATATAGCTGCAATATTATACTATATATCTGTAGGGTAATGAATGTTCTCACCAGTATCCGGCTGAGTCTGGCAGCATGGTTGATGGCCTCAGTGAAGAACACCACCTCGAGTCTCTGCCAAGTTCCTGTGTTGTACTCCGCCAGACAGGTGGCCAGGGCCTCTCTCAGACCCTCTTCTGTACTCTCCATATACCCTGCACATATACAGCAACAGCGTTCATTGAGCATGGGACATTGGCTTGTACACATCAACAGCTTTCATGGAGCATGGGACATGCGCTTGTACACAGCAACAGCTTTCATGGAGCATGGGACATTGGCTTGTACACATCAACAGCTTTCATGGAGCATGGGACATGCTCTTGTACACAGCAACAGCTTTCATGGAGCATGGGACATGCGCTTGTACACATCAACAGCTTTCATGGAGCATGGGACATGCACTTGTACACAGCAACAGCTTTCATGGAGCATGGGACATTGGCTTGTACACAGCAACAGCTTTCATGGAGCATGGGACATACACTTGTACACAGCAACAGCTTTCATGGAGCATGGGACATACACTTGTACACATCAACAGCTTTCATGGAGCATGGGACATGCTCTTGTACACAGCAACAGCTTTCATGGAGCATGGGACATGCGCTTGTACACATCAACAGCTTTCATGGAGCATGGGACATTGGCTTGTACACATCAACAGCTTTCATGGAGCATGGGACATGCGCTTGTACACAGCAACAGCTTTCATGGAGCATGGGACATGCGCTTGTACACAGCAACAGATTTCATGGAGCATGGGACATGCTCTTGTACACAGCAACAGCTTTCATGGAGCATGGGACATGCTCTTGTACACAGCAACAGCTTTCATGGAGCATGGGACATGCGCTTGTACACATCAACAGCTTTCATGGAGCATGGGACATGCGCTTGTACACAGCAACAGCTTTCATGGAGCATGGGACATGCGCTTGTACACATCAACAGCTTTCATGGAGCATGGGACATGCTCTTGTACACAGCAACAGCTTTCATGGAGCATGGGACATGCGCTTGTACACATCAACAGCTTTCATGGAGCATGGGACATGCACTTGTACACAGCAACAGCTTTCATGGAGCATGGGACATGCACTTGTTTCAGACACAGGGGAACTATAGGCTTGCATAAATTACACAAACTGTTTCAGACACAGGGGAACTATAGGCTTGTACAAATCAGACAAACTGTTTCAGATACAGGGGAACTATAGGCTTGTACAAATCAGACAAACTGTTTCAGACACAGGGGAACTATAGGCTTGTACAAATCAGACAAACTGTTTCAGACACAGGGGAACTATAGGCATGTACAAATCAGACAAAATGTTTCAGACACAGGGGAACTATAGGCTTGTACAAATCAGACAAACTGTTTCAGACACAGGGGAACTATAGGCTTGCACATATCAAGTTTTGACCAAAACTAAAACAATATCTGTCTACAGAATATGACAGCTGACAGAAAGGCTGATTACACTGAGCTGAATATGTAACCTATTTGAGTTAAACAACGATGTGCCAATAACTATGAAACATTTTTTGTTTGCTATTTTGATTGAAGTAAAACATAATAGATCAAGTCCTGTACCTTTCTCCACAGGCTGGCCCTGAGCTTCTGTGTGACACGACATGAAGAACTTGCTGAAGATGAAATCGGTGACGTTGCTGCAGCCGCCCTTAATCTGAAACATGTCACATGAAACAATACTAATAGAATTTCTACTTATTTACATTACTCTCAAAGATTGTCAGGTTCTTTTTGCTATTACATCAGTAGAAGAATAAATCGGCTCTGATAATTTAGGCCATGGCTTTAAGATGGTGTGGTCATTAATAGGAATTAATTCTGGTTCGACCGTGCCTTAGAATTTGTCGTTAAAGAGTGACTGACTGCTGTATTAACATACACATCATTTTCGCAGTCAAACCAAAGTGGGTTTTGAAAGTCTTGACTGCCCATTCCCCAAGTCTAGCCCTATTCACAACACTCACCTCCTCCAGGGACATGAGAGCCCCATAGAATGCTTCATATTCCTTGTCTGCAATGAGCCCCGCCTTAAAGGTGACCCCTCTCTTGGTGATGCCAGTCCGGGACACCTGCCTCCGGAGACTTGGCGTGCGGCCCCCTGTCACACTGCCTGCTTAGATGAAAGAAGGACTGGGAGATCAGATCTTCATTAATAACTCACTAAAAAACAGGCACAGTTTCAGGCCAACATTTCTTTCCATCTTCTAAAACTGCTACAAACTTTCTCTTTAAAACAGAAATTCATTGTGAAAGTCTCCTAGAAATCAGGTACAACTGGACTACCTGACAGTCCAGGTGACGGAGAATATGCAATATCGGAATGTGAACAGAATTAGTGGTGAACATTCATACAGTGAGTGACAGTGCAACCTACCAACGCTGGACCTCCCGGAGGTCACCTGTCCCATGGGATCACTTCTTGTTTCCGGCTGGGGTGCAGGGCCATCTGGGTGCTCGTGATCCGGGCTGATCCTACCCAGTTCTAGCAGAGACAAGGTGGGTGCAAAACACAACATCTTAGTTAGGTGAACTCACACTACAGGAGGCTGAACCAGGCAAATGTCTCCTTGTTCCAAATTTGTCCACATTATTGCTTGACAGTTGTATGCTAATCATACACAAAACATATATTCCAACCATCTGACATGTACCGGAACTTTGTAATATGTTAAGCCCCCAATCCCTATCAACAGCAACTCTCTGTAGCCGGGCTCCCAGTGTCGTCTAGATCCTTGCAATATGTCTCCATGGAATGTGAGATCACATAATGTGTGGTTTCAACAAGGTTAGTAAATGCAACACAAATTTGAGATGTTGTTTAGTGCACAACTCTAAAATAATCTGTAACACTAGCATATTATAAACTCTGACTCAGTTTGACTGAAATTAATTAAGTTTATAGTCACATGACATAGTCAACAGTTTACAACAACAAAACAAATTACAAAGGTGCAATAACAGCTATACTGTCAGACTGTTTGATTAAAAAGAAAGATCCATAACTATGCAAGTCTAACCCAAGAATATGATACAAAACCCCAAACAAGAGTGAAATAACCAGAAGAGAAAGCACTCATGAGAGAAGAGCAACAGCGACAACTAAGCTTCACTTTGTCAAAAACATGAATTGCTGCTATTCTGGATCTGACTGTGATTCCAGAGAAGCAACCCATCCTGTATGAGCAGAGTTTGCACAGGAGGTAGTGAGTGAAGGAGTGGCTACTCACCTGGAGGCTGCTGCTGCCTGTCCTGCGCTGTGTGGGCAAGTCAGGTGGTTAGATACTGTGGCATGCAGTTAATAACATCTATGGTGCTATAAGGGATGGGGGCTTTGTTCACTGCCTCCTCAGTGGAATCTTTACAAGATCTTCTTGTCTATTTATTCAGGACTTTTTAATGGATATGCTTTGCCAGCCACAGGAGGCAAATATTGAAACAGTTGTCAGGCTTGACTTGAGAATAATGTCATGAACCATCAACTCGAAATAAAAGTGTTAACTAAAAATATGAGCTTGATCTTTATTTATGAAGAATGTTGCTCCGGCCCATGTTCATACAAGTGTATGTATATCTATCATGCAAACTGCTTTAGAAAGATCCATGTTGACTGCTTATATATATTGTCATATGTACTTTATGCTGACTGACCACCAGTATAAAATACAAACTAAAGGTATATTAGGAATATTTTCATAAGAGCATTCTTAGATATTTGTTTTTTACTTTATTCATTTATACTTAAATCAGTCAACAGCCTCTCATGGATTTGTTACACTCTGAGGTTTTATATTTTTGGAAATTTACTACTGGAAACAATTGCTGCTATCTTTACAAGATTTGACACCACTGTACACTCCTACAAAGTTAACGTTTCTGTGATTCCTGGGGACACACATGTGATTGAGTTAGTGCTGAGGCTGGATACACAGTGTTAGAGGTACATGTTGAGATACAGGTACACAATATCACATGATCACGTACCTGATGTGAAGGACGACTCTCTGCTGGCCCGTCGCTGAGCTGCTGTCAGTCTCAGACCCGGAACTTTGCCCTTCGACACCAGTTCCCCAACATCTGTAGATGGACAAACAGTAACAGTTAGATAGATACAGGAGCACTCCTCCTACACTGAACATGTCAAAACATCTCACTTATCTAGCTATGAAAGAGGGACTATGAAAGGACAGAATGGAAGCTACACTCCGAAGCATTCGACATGATCTGTCAGCAGATCGAGTCCTCCAACATAGACCTATTTGCCACCAGCCAGAACTTTCGACTGCGGACCTACATCTCCCTGGTTCCAGATCCTCAAACAGTAGCTGTCAATGCCCTCAGCGTTCCCTCGGAAGGACTAAAAACGTACGCTTTTACGCCGCCAGTTCTCCTTCTCTGGGTTCTCCAAATGGTCAAGCACACTCGGAACCTAATTCTGATTTTGGTTGCACCCTGGTGGCCAGCGAGGAGTTGGTTTGTCGACTTCAGAGATCTAGCAAGAAACGAGCTTCCGGGTTGGTCAAAAATAATGCTCTACCCACCTCAGGTCACCCTGCCTGGCTCCCCAACAGATAACATTTGCATGCTTGGTACATCTGCAGAGAGCTCTCGGCACCAAGGGCCACTCATCATGGGCTGCCAAGGCCATAGCATTGGCTCATTGACCGTCCACGAGGGGTCTTTACCATGACAAATGGCAATCCTTTCAATCCTTCTGCATGGACAAGCGGCAGGATCCCACATCTACTTCCCCTCAATTCTTGGCTGAATATTTACTCTTCCTCCACTGTAATTGTCGCCTCAAGGATTCAACAATATCATCAATTCCATCAATTCCGTACTAGCCATTCCAGAAGACTGCAGAGTGACAAACACTGGAATTACAAGCTTTGCTGCGTTCTTTTCGATAAGAAGATCAGAAAGCCAAGGTCAGTTCCCCGGTCTGGGATCTGAATGTGCTTATACACAGGTACTCTGGAAGGCTCCGTTTGAGCCCCTACATTCATCATCATTTTATGACCTTACTAAGAAAATGGTTTTCCTCTTGGCACTGGCTACAACGGTGTGGGTCAGCAAACTCAATGCCTTAGAAGTCACTCAGGTCTGTTTTGAGCATGACGCTCTTGGAGCTGTTCACTTTGAACTGCGGTGGAATTTCATTGCCAAGAATCAACTCCCAGGACAGTTTTTCAATTAATCAATTATTCTTCAGGCGGCCGCCAGTTTAGACCCTCCCAAGGCCAACAACACACCTGAAATTAGAGCGGTTGCGTCGACTATGGCTCTTCATAGCAACTGCTCCCTCAAGTCTATTATAGAAGGGTGTTTCTGGCGTTCCAATACCATTTTCATCAGTCATTATTTCAGGCTGTGGCATTGGAGGATGTCGCTGGTGTTCATAGTTTCAGTCCGATGGTTTCAGTGCCCTCCTATCGCAGTGCTACCTCCTCATGAGGTCTTCAGATGTTATGTTCCAAAGCAGTAATGTGCTTTTATATGACGTCACCTCATATGTGAGTTAGGAGTCAAAGTGGTGTTTGAATGACAAGCTCGGAGTGCCAATTGACCAGGGCCGAGCGACACTTCAGCAACAGTCCTGTACACTGACCTGATGGCGTGCCATATGTGCTAGTCTCATCTGACATGTCCGACTCCTCAGTGCTGTCTTCCGTGTTGTCGGAGTCGTCTGTCACCTCGTCATGCTCCGCGCTGCCGTGATCAACCTCACCTGCTGTCTCTGTCTCAGTTACCTCCCCTGCAACAAGCCGGTGGAATACAACACTACTTCCTGCAATATTGATAAGTTATAAACATGAAAAACAACAACATACAAATATAGCAGTAAATTGCTGTGGCAAGTATCCCTGTATGTCACAAACTGTACAGTTACACTGACATTAGGACTTACTTGGTTCACTTTTTCTGCCTCCAGCCAACATTTAGAAAACAAGAAAATCACTGTGGAGTTGTGGACTGCACATTGTATGCTACAAGGTTGTATTTGCTGGGGGGAATGAAGTCCATTAAACACAGTGATGTACGATACGCAAGACAATATGATACTGAGATGTTTTCTCCAATATGGCATATTCATAAATATTACAGATCTATTAGATGTGTTTAAACATATTTATCTTACCACCATCTGTGTGTGTTTGTGTTGTCTCGAGTTCAGTTGTCACATCCATGGATGTGTCACGCGCAGAGGAGTTTGTCTGGCTGGTAGAGTCCGTCTGGGGGGACTCGGACGACTGGCCTTGACCTTGGTATCCTCGTGATGGTGACTCGGAGGATGACTGCTGCTGCACCTGACTGCCTAGGCTCATGCTGGTCATTGATATCCCATCTTCCCCAGTGTTGTCCACACCCATCATCACCTTATCTCCAGACTCATCGTCATAGGGGTCAAGGTCATCATCAATGTCAGAAGGCGTTCCAGGTGGAGGTGTGCAGTGAGGACCTCTTTTTGTCGGAGTAGATCGCCCCTGGAGTGGTGAATACTACCGCTATTACTACTACTGGAGTAGATCGCCCCTGGTGTGATGAATACTACCACTATTACTACTACTTGAGTAGATCGCCCCTGGAGTGGTGAATACTACCACTATTATTACTACTGGAGTAGATCGCTACTGGAGTGGTGAATACTACCACTATTACTACTACTGGAGTAGATCGCTACTGGAGTGGTGAATACTACCGCTATTACTACTACTGGAGTAGATCGCCCCCAGAGTGGTGAATACTACCACTATTATTACTACTGGAGTAGATCGCTACTGGAGTGGTGAATACTACTGCTATTACTACTACTGGAGTAGATCACTACTGGAGTGGTGAATACTACCACTATTACTACTACTGGTAATGATAGAGATAACTGACAGATTTTGTCTACTTGTTTCTGACACTTGCATGTGGAATTTGACATTTTGAAATCAACAAAACAAAAATTAAAAATGTTCCATACACATATACAGACTTGTTACATTTATAGAGTGTTTAAGAATATAAGGAAGTGAATGTTGTTTTGGGCCACAGTCAGCAATATTCCAGCTTTAACATGGCTACCTTTATATAACCAGGCTTCAAAGTTGCGACTAAAACGGTAGCCAATGCGACCTAAATTTCAGTTTGTCTACTGTCTAAAATTCAGAGGTAGAAAAATATCTTGACTAAATTCTATTGCTACACATCTGTAGACACAAAAATAAATAACAGCTGATATTGGAAAATATGTTTGCTAATAATTGTACTCGCAAATAATTCCTTCTAAAGTCGACAATGAACCAAAATACATAAATATTAATGTAATTAGTACTTTATTTTAGTTGACAATGCTCATTGGATGAGCAAGGATATACCTATATAATCTAGTAACATAAACTGCATCATTGTTCGAGTCACAAATAACAAAAATCAAGTAGTTTCCACTGATATACAATTTCATGACTATTGCTGTAACTTGTACATATTATGATAGTTAGTTGATAAAGATAATTTCAAATGCTTTTGGCTACCTACAATATAGGCTTGACTTTTTTATTTTACCACTGGCTAACTGGAAAAAAATACTTGTAGCCATATGGCTACTTGGTAAAAATTTAAACTTTGAGGCCTGATAACTTAGTGAAGACCAGGCTCGTAACAGGAAACATGAGCAGTGATCCACAGCATTGTGATGACACGCAATCAGTCCAAGCACAGAGCCGGACATCTCACGGCAAGCCACTCGTGCTGGAAGGCTGTTCAACAGTCATGATATTCTGGCACTCACAAACTGAGACTGGGTTTCCTCTGTGATGGCTGCCATCTCAGTGGCAGGGCTGTCCCGGGGGCTACAGAAGTGCTTCACCACCGCCTCCTCCAGGGTCCTGGAGAACCACAGCTGGTCTGGCACACACATAACATGGGATTACTCAACAAGGTTGGGTAAAGGAAAAGGGACAAAAGTTAACATCAAACATGTGCACTCCTCAATTTAATAAAGGGAGCGTACGTTACAAAACTGTTTACATCTCTACTGCCACACAATTTTAGGATCGGCAACATAACAGATGTCAATATGATTCTCATACACATCACAACCACCTACCCTCTGATGATATAAGTCTGTCAGAAAATGTGCGACAACATTCATGACACCAGAGCTGTGTGATGACCTTCATCATGGGGGCAGCGGGGGTGAGTGTGGCAATCTGTTCCCCCCGTCCACCACCGGCCAGGCTGCTTTGGCTGACAGTGTACGACTGGCTGGAATCAAATGATGTCTGCCGACCTGCAGCAGTCTTCGACTCTGAAATCATCATGTTTCAGTATCAGACGAGTTTCAACATTTGAGAGATAAACTGAGACCACCTAAAACTGAGCTGTGTATCAGAAGGAACACGAACAAGATGAGGATGTTGGCGATTGTTGGGTTGCAACTTCATTGTAAGCATTAGTACAAACAGCAGAGGACATAGGACACATAACACACTAGTTTGTCAGGGTTAGCATAAAACATTTTTTTTTTCACATCCTCATCTCTTAGTGACAGTTAACCTACTACAGTGTTGCACACTATGTTCACTTGTTCATGGTTAACATCCTACATTGTTACACACTATGTTCTCTGTTTCATGGTTAACATCCTACATTGTTACACACTATGTTCTCTGTTTCATGGTTAACTTCCTACATTATTACACACTATGTTCTCTGTTTCATGGTTAACATCCTACATTGTTACACATTATGTTCTCTGGGTCATTGTTAACATCCTACATTGTTACACACTATGTTCTCTGTTTCATGGTTAACATCCTACATTGTTACACACTATGTTCTCTGGGCCATTGATTACATGCTACATTGTTACACACTATGTTCTCTGGGCCATGGTTAACATCCTACATTGTTACACACCATGTTCCCTATTACATGGTTAACATGCTCCATTGTTACACACTATGTTCTCTGGGTCATGGTTAACATCCTACATAGTTACACATTATGTTCTCTGGGCCATTGTTAACATGCTACATTGTTACACACTATGTTCTCTGTTTCATGGTTAACATCCTACATTCTTACACACTATGTTCTTTGTTTCATGGTTAACATCCTACATTGTTACACACTATGTTCTCTGTTTCATGGTTAACATCCTACATTGTTACACACTATGTTCTCTGGGTCATGGTTAACATCCTACATTGTTACACATTATGTTCTCTTGGTCATGGTTAACATCCTACATTGTTACACACTATGTTCTCTGGGTCATGGTTAACATCCTACATTGTTACACACTATGTTCTCTGTTTCACGGTTAACATCCTACATTGTTACACACCATGTTCTCTGTTTCATGGTTAACATGCTCCATTGTTACACACTTTGTTCTCTGGGTCATGGTTAACATCCTACATTGTTACACACTAAGTTCTCTGTTTCATGGTTAACATGCTACATTGTTACACACTATGTTCTCTGTTTCATGGTTAACATCCTACATTGTTACACACTATGTTCTCTGGGTCATTGTTAACATGCTACATTGTTACACACTATGTTCCCTATTACATGGTTAACATCCTACATTGTTACACATTATGTTCTCTGGGTCATTGTTAACATCCTACATTGTTACACACTATGTTCTCTGTTTCATGGTTAACATCCTACATTGTTACACACTATGTTCTCTGTTTCATTGTTAACATGCTACATTGTTACACACTATGTTCCCTATTACATGGTTAACATCCTACATTGTATACACTATGTTCTCTTGGTCATTGTTAACATGCTACATCGTTACACACTACGTATTCTGGGTCATGGTTAACATGCAATATTTTGAAACCTACTGCTTTCTTCCTTGTCCTTCTTCTTGGTGCGAAGTTTCCTGATCCGTGACCTGGGTGACATAAGCAGGATGCCCTGCACGACACGCGAAATGTCGTGAAGAGAGAAGACGTAGTGGGCATGTGCAGGAGTCGGTCGAAGCTTGTCTCGGACTGATTGATACAGCTCCACCAGACCAACAATCATTGCCTGGGGAAAGTCAAATAATCTTACAGCAGAAGAAGAAGAAGGATTCAGTCAGCAATATTAAGCCATCACACATCATCCTCTAACTAATCTGTGCCAGTCAAACTAGTGGTTCATAACATGCTCAAGGACCCACCCTGTCAGCCAAAGTACAGACACCATCAACCCCATTTTAGTCAGCTCTAGCATTGAGTCCCCACAACATCACTAACCCACTGAGTGATACATCTGACCTACCTGTCCGAACTCATAGTGGTGCTCCACAGTATAGGTCGGGAACTCCTCTAGCCAGGGCTGTAACTGCCGAGAGTAGATCGTAACTAGGTTCTCCATCGATGGACAAAACACGCACAGGTTGATGAACAGTCGCGTCAATCGAGATGACATCACATGACATGCATGTCCCAGACCTGTACCTGAGGTTTAACACAGACAGATGGTCAAACATGTACGTATACAGGAAGTATGTCTCATGAGTCTGTACTGGCAGTGGAGAACAGAAACCAAAAGCTAACTGGGAACTTCTGGAATGTGCACATGTACAGTGTAACCGCAAGTGAATCACATTCGTGAGGACAGTCAAAAATATACCAACACTTAAGACTAGACAAGAGGAGTGCCTTGACCTCGAGTTGAAATCTGCCTTGACCATATAATCATCTTCAAAAGATTGACTTTCCTCTTTCACTGTATCTTCCATGCATTTTCATTAAAAGTAGGCACATGTATAACGAATCCGTCTTAACTTGATGATAAAGCTAACACACCATGTAAGAAAGGTTCTCTGCAAAGACCAAAAGATATTTGTGTGTGAAAGAGTGTAATTGTATCATAGTTATGCACAAAAGCTGAAATAAGCAAATAAATATAAGCCAAGAGATATTATATCTGATGTACACTCAAAAAGTCCAGAGAATACTTGTGTTAATGCTATACTTTAGGTTTATGGATCTGCATAAGCTACTTAAAAAAAGTGACAAGAACTAATTCTGAAAAGATATATTTTCTTATTCTGCCAAATATGTGTAGACCAAGTAAACATAAATGACGACTTTACAAACAATTAATTAAACACATGGCAATATTATTAGTTATGGTGTCTTTAGTTGCCATATATGGTGTCATATAAGCAGAAAGATATAGGGCGAGGCATATGCAAAAAAGTTTACACTATTTGGTATCTTTGTCAGACATGTTATGTCAAAATGAAAACTTGACACTTACAACCGGTATAAACGACAGGACCAGTATATATGTACCCCATATACAACACTTTATCAGAAAAATAAACGTCATCAAGGGAATATATAATGCACTAAATGTGAATGTTTAAAAGTATTATATCCAAAATGGATAGAATTATCATAAAAATGCCCGCATGTTAACAGAAATCTGCGGGTCACTGTTACTTGACAGCAGTCCACTTCCCCTAACGAGAGGCTGCTGTCTATTCTATTGCTATGTGACGTCATTTACGTTTCTTGTTTGTGACATCATCCTATATCATGTTCTATGACGTTGCTATTTGTAACTCCATGACCTCCATTGAAAGCTTTTTTTCTCTATAATTTTTATCAATAAAGTCATGAACTAGGTTTCTTTCATAAATAATGTCTTTGCTCATCACGATTAATGATATTAAAACACAAAGCTGTCAAATAACAAATTTCTGTACCAGAATTTCTATGTGAAATTTGTGAGGTGGGAGTTGGAAAATCCAAAATGGCTGTTATTGACAGTATACGGTCTCATATTAGGTCAGTAACAACCATCTTGGATTTTTACTGATGTATACGGGCTCATGTGGTGTTAGTAGTTCTGCTCTCTGATTGGTCAATCTCACTTTGAGACATAATAAATTCAGATACATTTTTGAATAACAGAAAAAAGATCTGAAATGACTTTCTATTCTTTGACACACAAATCTGTAAACCAAGAAATAAGTCTATGAAAGCAGAAGCAACAGAAGCTATATTTTTGTTAGGCCTTACCGGGAGATGAGGGTGTGGTGCAGGCTGCCACGAATGTCGCCTCCTCCATGCCCTGGAAGCGCTGTCTCTGTCTGTCGTACACACCGCCAGTTGTCAGGATCTGTCGCAGCACCTCAAGTGGGGGCTGGTAGGCTGTTCACAACAACAGTTACCATGGTGACAAGAATAGCGGTCAAATGGGAGCATGTTATCTTGTGTAATAAATAATGTTTAAGTTAACTAGCAACCTGAGTCTATTGTATGTAACAGATGTCAAAAGGAACAGTGCAAAATATATAGTATTGGTGACGTAGGTATGTAGAGTCATTCACAACAGTATGAAAAATCAAATCAATGATAGGCATGGCAAGAGCGAGACTTTTTCCCACAAACATCCATTCCAATAACCACCATTCATTCCCGTACCCTTCATTCACGAAGAACAGGTAATCCTTACTGGTAAGAATTGAACTGATAAGCTGGGTGATGCTCTACTTAGAGTGGAGAAGGGCTACAATATTGTGACAACACAATGAACCTACAGCCTATCCTCTGTGCCATGTTGAGAAGGGCTACAATATTGTGACAACACAATGAACCTACAGCCTATCCTCTGTGCCATGTTAAGAAGGGCTACAATATTGTGACAACACAATGAACCTACAGCCTATCCTCTGTGCCATGTTAAGAAGGGCTACAATATTGTGACAACACAATGAACCTACAGCCTATCCTCTGTGCCATGTTGAGAAGGGCTACAATATTTTTCTGTAACACAATGAACCTACAGCCTATCCTCTGTGGCATGTTGGGAAGGGCTACAATATTGTGACAACACAATGAACCTACAGCCTATCCTCTGTGCCATGTTGAGAAGGGCTACAATATTGTGACAACACAATGAACCTACAGCCTATCCTCTGTGGCATGTTCAGAAGGGCTACAATATTGTGACAACACAATGAACCTACAGCCTATCCTCTGTGGCATGTTGAGAAGGGCTACAATATTGTGACAACACAATGAACCTACAGCCTATCCTCTGTGCCATGTTGAGAAGGGCTACAATATTGTGACAACACAATGAACCTACAGCCTATCCTCTGTGGCATGTTCAGAAGGGCTACAATATTGTGACAACACAATGAACCTACAGCCTATCCTCTGTGCCATGTTAAGAAGGGCTACAATATTGTGACAACACAATGAACCTACAGCCTATCCTCTGTGGCATGTTCAGAAGGGCTACAATATTGTGACAACACAATGAACCTACAGCCTATCCTCTGTGGCATGTTCAGAAGGGCTACAATATTGTGACAACACAATGAACCTACAGCCTATCCTCTGTGCCATGTTGAGAAGGGCTACAATATTGTGACAACACAATGAACCTACAGCCTATCCTCTGTGCCATGTTGAGAAGGGCTACAATATTGTGACAACACAATGAACCTACAGCCTATCCTCTGCGCCATGTTGAGAAGGGCTACAATATTGTGACAACACAATGAACCTACAGGCTATCCTCTGTGCCATGTTAAGAAGGGCTACAATATTGTGACAACACAATGAACCTACAGCCTATCCTCTGCGCCATGTTCAGAAGGGCTACAATATTGTGACAACACAATGAACCTACAGCCTATCCTCTGTGCCATGTTCAGAAGGGCTACAATATTGTGACAACGCAATGAACCTACAGCCTATCCTCTGTGCCATGTTGAGAAGGGCTACAATATTGTGACAACACAATGAACCTACAGCCTATCCTCTGTGCCATGTTAAGAAGGGCTACAATATTGTGACAACACAATGAACCTACAGCCTATCCTCTGCGCCATGTTGAGAAGGGCTACAATATTGTGACAACAAAATGAACCTACAGCCTATCCTCTGTGCCATGTTGAGGTCATCTACAAAGAAGAGATGCCTCTGCCTGTCCGCGGCCTGCAGTGACCCAGGTGCCCCCACAACATCCATGGCCTTGTTCTTCAGCTGCACGATGTGGTCCACCATCATGTCCTGGAAGATGGCAGACGTCATCCCACGCGACATCATGGCCGTCGTTGACGTCTGCTTCGGCAGAACCAGGTGCTGCAAAAATTATTAATACTTGTGATTCGCAAGAAGATCCACAAAAGTGTAGAAACCCTTATGTATCGGCATATATAATAATTGCTACATCAGTGCACTGTTAAACTCGTCTGCCAGTCATTGTATGGTTTCTTCATTCAGTCTTCCCAACAATAGGGTCCACAATGAGAAACAAACACAGGTTTCAACATTTATATGGCAAATCTAATCTGCAAACCAAGTAATCAGAAAAAGAGGTCTTAATTTCCACCAACAACGAGTCCAAAATGAGCTGTAGAGTAGTCATCTCACACTCACTGAGCCTGTCCAACACAGGAGACAGGTGCAGACAATCTGTGTAACTGACTTCACTCCATACCTTGATGAGTGCTGTCTTGCCCACTCCGGCAGCACCAGTCAGCAGGACGGGGAGGTGGGCCGACACGAACAGCTCCAGGAGGTAGTTGTAGCGATCCACCTAACACAGACAGCTTTATGACACTCACAACTATGATCAGAGGCAAGGAATTACATATTAGAAGTATTAACTATTGACATTTTGTAATCAATGTATTCCGCAATTGTGCCATCGGGCACATCAGATTCACTTAGTGTGCATATATGTAAGTGCACATCAGATTTACCTAGTGTGCATATGTAAGTGCACATCAGATTTACCTAGTGTGCATATGTGAGTGCACGTCAGATTTACCTAGTGTGCATATGTAAGTGCACATCAGATTCACTTAGTGTGCATATGTAAGTGCACATCAGATTTACCTAGTGTGCATATGTAAGTGCACGTCAGATTTACCTAGTGTGCATATGTAAGTGCACATGAATGTCCACATCAGATTCACTTAGTGTGCATATATGTAAGTGCACATCAGATTTACCTAGTGTGCATATGTAAGTGCACATCAGATTTACCTAGTGTGCATATGTAAGTGCACATCAGATTTACCTAGTGTGCATATGTAAGTGCACATCAGATTCACTTAGTGTGCATATGTATGTGCACATCAGATTCACTTAGTGTGGATATATGTAAGTGCACATCAGATTCACTCAATACAACCAGTGCAGATTATGAGTTTCATTAATCATTGACACATGACTAGACACATTACAGCAAGTTTTCAACAGCCGTTACAAATACAGTTGAGTTACATTCCTTGATACAAGCAGGATGTGCTATGGACCAAAGTGTCCAGACCTCCGTCTGCACCAAGTTGCAATGTCTTCAACAAATAAAGCAGTGGAGGGTTCACTGTAATATTCAACCATAGACAGATTATTACTGTCCAGCCTTGTGAGGCTTTACTACCATTTGTTTGTCTTATCTGAGGTAAATAAAAACACTATCACATGTCCCACTGTTGACAAAGTACAAATATTTCTTCAGAGGTACTGACCTCTGGTGTGAAGACGAACCCTCCCAGGCTCCGAACCTTCTCCTGCTGTCTCTGCCCCCAGCGTGTAAAGGTCCCACTTGTCTCGTCCAGACAGTAGTCAAACACCTGACCCCACACAGGCAATCGGATTGGGTGGGAAGCTCGGTAAAGCACATCATGGGCAAACTTGCTGAATCGTTCTCGGAATCTAAACAGGACAAGAGAGGGAACATAACCTCCTTAGTATTCCCTTTAATGCACCTGACTACAACACATGTATTCAATGCCCATGATTCAGACAGAAAGAGCTACTAGACCTACCTATCATGCAGAGATCCCCCAAAAGACCAGATGTAGGCAAAGGCGAACATGCCCTTGACGATGGTGGTGTAGCCAGGGATGAGGACCTCGATGTGGGAGCTGGTGGTCATCCGACTTGCCATCTGCCGGGATGGAGCGCCACCTAGTGAGCTCTTGCTGCCGCCCTGTTGCTCTGCATATACGCACCCAAAATGTATAATACTGAACAGGTACAAGAGTCTGTCACGGTGTAGCACTGTAACAATCTCTGATTAATGACCAACAATTTAGGTCTGCCAATTGGAAGAGAATAATTATGACCATATTTGGAATATGATGTGAGTAGAACATGTACATAATAGGTGTCATAAGAATATTGTTTCTAAACGGTACCCGGCTATATTACAGTGTAGATTTAAGACAGAGACTATTGGAAGTCAATGTCTAGGTATGGAAGTTGTGATAGTACTAGAGCTCTGGTGCCGTTGTACAAAGCAATCTTTGCGCAAAAGGGATCGTAACTCTCTTACCTTCACATAGACTTACGACATATGTAGCGCTAAGATTGTTTTGTACAACAACACCCATATCACTGAGGGAGTGAGCTTGAAGAGTGAGACCTAGCAGTGATGCCGCACATACCATCCTCTTCCTTTAGTTCTGCCTGGACGCGGCGGTCCAGCTCTTCTCGGAGGAACATCTTGTCAAACAGCGCTTTCAGCATGTTGAGGAACATGGTGACTTCCTGGACACCGGGCACCACCTGATTGGCTCGCACCTTCTCCACCCCGACGTCAGTAAGCAGGGCAGGACAGCACTCACTGGCCAGGAACTTCACAGTGGGTGGGAACACATCCTTCACAAGGTCATCAAGGATTTTCATGCTGTAGAGAAGAAGCAATAATTTGTAACATGACAGCTAAATAAACATTTACAGAACAGGGTCTATTCATTAAACGTGAGAAAAATGTGTACAAATCAAATAAATTGTTTATACTGGCTGAGTCACTATCTTGATATTTTTGTTTATTGATTCAAGAGCATGGAGCCAAAAGCCACTTTCAGAAAATATATTGTCGGATCATATGTTTTGTGACTTCATACATTTTCGAATGGCCATGTTTATCGTGAGTACTCCCACTATAACGAGGGGGGAGGAACACAGGCATTGTAAATACTCACATAATGGCCTGGTTGTTTTAGATAAAGTTGTCTTTTATAAGAGAACGAGATGTTTTACGGTTGTTCTTGTGACTAACAAGAAAACTATGTATGTTCCTTTAGCGTCGGAAAACCCATAACACAGGGATAATATGAATAGTTTTCTGAACCCCTCCATAATTGATGCTGTAGACAAATAAATGGATACAACTAAAAATTAATACAAAATCAAAGTAACAATTAACTTTTAAAGTAGTAATTGATCAAATGTGTTGTATGTAGTCTCAGGCCACTGCAACCTTACATACACATACACATTAAGAATACAAGGCATTCTACACATCAAGTATCAGTAATTATTTTTGCCCTCTAAGCGGACCTAAACAAACTTCATGGCAAATTAAATAAAACAATATTGAGGTACACAAATATATTTATATTTCAACCTATCCAAGATAAAATATATAAACCATAAAATATAAATATTCATATGAGCCAATGTAACACTTTACACAAGACCTAGAACTGATCTGATTTCAGGATGTAGCATCTGATGACACTGTACACACAGAGCCCTGCATCAGCACAAGACATGTTTCCCAGATACAGGTAAAACTAACATGACATTTAACTCACCATGCTGATGTGAGAACCCATTTAGTTTTGGCCGTCTGCTTCCACTGGTGTATGAGACCCTCCCAGGACACAGTGACAGGGGCACAATGAACAACTGTGCACCTAGCAATCGCTCCAGGAGATGCCTCTACCAGGCTTGGGCTCTCGAAGATGAAAGCAGTTGTGTCTGAAGTTGTACAAAGAAGTTGTATTAAGGGCTTACAACATACAAGATAAACTTTTAAATGAGATTGACCCTTATGTCCAGCCATGGAAGCAACATGATTTACCAATCTTTCCCTGCTCTGGAGTTGTTGTTTACAATTTACTGTTAAGAAATTTGATTAATACACCTGTGTCAAGTAAAGCTGCAACATTTATTAATATCATTTATAAATACAATATCTTCATTTGACATGGACATGTTTTCCCCCAAACAGGAAAAGCAGGGTCCCACAGAAGGGTTCCCAATAATGAAATGTTCAGTTACAGTGACAAGAATACATATACATGAATATTCCCCCATATTGCTGCAACCCGTCTTGGGCAGGCAAACCAGTTGTTGATACAAGCAAGGATGAACACCATCAGGGTACAATGTCATCCAACCCAACCCGTCTTGGGCAGGCAAACCAGTTGTTGATACAAGCAAGGATGAACACCATCAGGGTACAATGTCATCCAACCCAACCCGTCTTGGGCAGGCAAACCAGTTGTTGATACAAGCAAGGATGAACACCATCAGGGTACAATGTCATCCAACCCAACCCGTCTTGGGTAGGCAAACCAGTTGTTAATACAAACAAGGATGAACACCATCAGGGTACAATGTCACCCAACCCAACCCGTCCTGGGCAGGCAAACCAGTTGTTAATACAAACAAGGATGAACACCATCAGGGTACAATGTCACCCAACCCAACCCGTCTTGGGCAGGCAAACCAGTTGTTGATACAAGCAAGGATGAACACCATCAGGGTACAATGTCATCCAACCCAACCCGTCTTTGGCAGGCAAACCAGTTGTTGATACAAGCAAGGATGAACACCATCAGGGTACAATGTCATCGAACCCAACCCGTCTTTGGCAGGCAAACCAGTTGTTGATACAAGCAAGGATGAACACCATCAGGGTACAATGTCATCCAACCCAACCCGTCTTGGGTAGGCAAACCAGTTGTTAATACAAACAAGGATGAACACCATCAGGGTACAATGTCACCCAACCCAACCCGTCTTGGGTAGGCAAACCAGTTGTTAATACAAACAAGGATGAACACCATCAGGGTACAATGTCACCCAACCCAACCCGTCTTGGGCAGGCAAACCAGTTGTTGATACAAGCAAGGATGAACACCATCAGGGTACAATGTCATCCAACCCAACCCGTCTTGGGCAGGCAAACCAGTTGTTGATACAAGCAAGGATGAACACCATCAGGGTACAATGTCATCCAACCCAACCCGTCTTGGGCAGGCAAACCAGTTGTTAATACAAACAAGGATGAACACCATCAGGGTACAATGTCACCCAACCCAACCCGTCTTGGGCAGGCAAACCAGTTGTTGATACAAGCAAGGATGAACACCATCAGGGTACAATGTCACCCAACCCAACCCGTCTTGGGCAGGCAAACCAGTTGTTGATACAAGCAAGGATGAACACCATCAGGATACAATGACACCCAATACTCTGCATTGTAACCACTCATTCCTCAGGTGGGTCGGCTGCTACCTGCATTAAGTACAATCCATTCTGTCACAGAATCCCAATGGCGGATGCCAGCTACTCACCTCTCAACTTGACCTGCTCTCCGTTGGCCACAGACAGTTTGTGTTCCTCGTCCAGTAGAGTCTTGAGTCCGTCTGCCCACACAGCATCCAGGTCCCCATCCATCACCAACCAGCGCAGCAGAACAGACGGCAACTCTGTCTGATGCCGATTACGCTTCTCCGCCACCTTCTGGGCATCGATGTAGGCTCGCACAGCCAGCGACATGGCGTACGAGTCACTGGCAATCTTGGACATGATGCCCCCATGCCACAGGCCATTCTCAAAATGTCCAAACATCTGGAAGAGAACAAGCTTTTAAAAACCTGACAAATGATGCACAGGAGAACCTTACATATCAGATCAAAGTGACTTGCTAAATCCAAACCATCTTGATAAACAACTTTCAAGAGTAGCAACAATACCTTTGAGATATTGTGAAATAAACAGTTTCCTGATAAAAGATTAATTGCATGCCTTTCAATGGTGATTCCCAGCTATGTGTTTGTTAGCTGGAAGGACATGTACAAGAAAACAGTATTTGTAGAAACATAGCACAGGAACAAGTGGGTAGAATAACATTAAACATCTTAATCCATTCATTGATAGTGGCCACAGGCCTAGTTTCTCATTTAACACAACTGGCTGCTGGTTGTACCCTAACTGCAAGGTAGACAGAGGCAACAAGCTTGACTCCAAGTGGCAGCCTAGTTTCTCATTTAACACAACTGACTGCTGGTTGTACTACAAGGTAGACAGAGGCAACAAGCTTGACTCCAAGTGGCAGCCTAGTTTCTCATTTAACACAACTGGCTGCTGGTTGTACCCTAACTGCAAGGTAGACAGAGGCAACAAGCTTGACTCCAAGTGGCAGCCTTGTTTCTCATTTAACACAACTGGCTGCTGGTTGTACAGCAAGGTGGACAGTGGCAACAAGTTTGACAAGAGAGAACCTGTTAGAAAGTGTGTTCACCAGTATATGGTATAGCAATGAAGTAGTAATGGGAACATGACTATTAGCTTTTAGGGCCTGCATACTGGCTGCAGCTGTTGAATACCCCAGGGAGAGAAGAGAGATCTAAATCTGTATCCAAGCCATGACCAAGTTGAAATGCAGCCCAGTGCTACTGGGCAGAGCCAGCAGTGGTGTCAGGTGGATGCCTCATGGCTGGAGAGTTGCTGATTCCATCTCACCTCACTAGGCGGCATGACAGTCGGGAGAAGGCGGATGAGGTCCACTTTGGGGAACTTGGCACAGTCCATCATCTTCTCCTTCTCCTCTTGGTTGACTCGCTTCACATCGTCAAAGATTTCTTTGGTGGCCAACAGGTTCATATGAAGCAGTCGCATCTTATGGGAACCCTTGGTCTTCTTCTGCTTGAGATCCTCATCAATGTTCTGGAGAAACTGTAAGTTTGATGGTTAGAGGAGATTAAACACTCACTTCAACAGTTACATTATTTGATTCAAACCACATGACACATGATCAAATTGCATGTCTTGATTTAGTGTTGAACAGTGTCATGTCAGTGTCTGATAGTCACAAGTCCCATACCAGTGTCTGACAGTCACATGTCCCATACCGGTGTCCGACAGTCACATGTCCCATACCGGTGTCCGACAGTCACATGTCCCATACCAGTGTCTGACAGTCACATGTCCCATACCGGTGTCCGACAGTCACATGTCCCATACCAGTGTCTGACAGTCACATGTCCCATACCAGTGTCCGACAGTCACATGTCCCATACCAGTGTCCGACAGTCACATGTCCCATACCGGTGTCTGACAGTCACATGTCCCATACCGGTGTCCGACAGTCACATGTCCCATACCGGTGTCCGACAGTCACATGTCCCATACCAGTGTCTGACAGTCACATGTCCCATACCAGTGTCCGACAGTCACATGTCCCATACCAGTGTCCGACAGTCACATGTCCCATACCAGTGTCTGACAGTCACATGTCCTATAGCAGTGTCTGACAGTCACATGTCCCATACCAGTGTCTGACAGTCACATGTCCCATACCAGTGTCTGACAGTCACATGTCCCATACCAGTGTCTGACAGTCAAATGTCCCATACCAGTGTCCGACAGTCACATGTCCCATACCAGTGTCCGACAGTCACATGTCCCATACCAGTGTCCGACAGTCACATGTCCCATAGCAGTGTCTGACAGTCACATGTCCCATACCAGTGTCTGACAGTCACATGTCCCATACCAGTGTCTGACAGTCACATGTCCCATACCAGTGTCAGACAGTCACATGTCCCATACCAGTGTCTGACAGTCACATGTCCCATACCAGTGTCAGACAGTCACATGTCCCATACCAGTGTCTGACAGTCACATGTCCCATACCAGTGTCTGACAGTCATATGTCCCATACCAGTGTCAGACAGTCACATGTCCCATACCAGTGTCTGACAGTCACATGTCCCATAGCAGTGTCCGACAGCCACATGTTCCATACCAGTGTCCGACAGTCATATGTCCCATAGCAGTGTCTGACAGTCACATGTCCCATACCAGTGTCTGACAGTCATATGTCCCATTCCAGTGTCTGACAGTCACATGTCCCATACCAGTGTCCGACAGTCACATGTCCCATACCAGTGTCCGACAGTCACATGTCCCATACCAGTGTCCGACAGTCACATGTCCCATAGCAGTGTCTGACAGTCACATGTCCCATACCAGTGTCTGACAGTCACATGTCCCATACCAGTGTCTGACAGTCACATGTCCCATAGCAGTGTCCGACAGTCACATGTCCCATACCAGTGTCCGACAGTCACATGTCCCATACCAGTGTCCGACAGTCACATGTCCCATACCAGTGTCTGACAGTCACATGTCCCATACCAGTGTCTGACAGTCATATGTCCCATACCAGTGTCAGACAGTCACATGTCCCATACCAGTGTCTGACAGTCACATGTCCCATAGCAGTGTCCGACAGCCACATGTTCCATACCAGTGTCCGACAGTCATATGTCCCATAGCAGTGTCTGACAGTCACATGTCCCATACCAGTGTCTGACAGTCATATGTCCCATTCCAGTGTCTGACAGTCACATGTCCCATAGCAGTGTCCGACAGCCACATGTTCCATACCAGTGTCTGACAGTCACATGTCCCATACCAGTGTCTGACAGTCACATGTCCCATAGCAGTGTCTGACAGTCACATGTCCCATACCAGTGTCTGACAGTCACATGTCCCATACCAGTGTCTGACAGTCACATGGCAGTGTCATGTAGTCATGGGTTTTGGTAAAACAATCAAATGATAAAGTTGAGCCATCACATCCTGGTTCAACCGTCACATGACTTGACTCACAACACAATCAAGTTACAAAACTTATATCTTATATCAAGATTAATATCGTTTTATTTATACACAGCAATATCCAGAGAGATGATTGTCATGATCATAACATAACAGCTTGTGTTCATTTCAAATTCTGAAAAAAAATGAAAAAATCAGTGGAAAAGAGTTACAACAGATGGATATGTGGACATGTGTTGGATATGCCCCACAAGATTACAGACACACCAGTTTTATCTTGCATGAACAAAAGCAGAAACAGCAAAATATATCGTAAAACAAAACAAGCAAAATATACTGAAGCAAAACTAAACATCTAGGCTATATGTTAGGGAGGCAGTACTAGTTTAATATAGGATATATATCATACACTATGTTAATGATAGGTCATTCATTTTCTCTTGAAACAATGACAATAAACTGTACTGGTAAAATCAAGTTCCCCAAATGCCCTGTCAATCTGTGTTTAATGTTAGGGCCTGGTCATTCTTTATAAGGGCTGGATGGGTGAGGAACATAGATGAGGGCAAAACACACAGGCCCCTTAAAACATGGACAATGGTTCTGATAGAAGACTGTACCCAAATCCTAAACATACCATGCTAAAGTCTCCTTTGAACTGCATGTATGACACTGGACACTGACTCTAGCTTGGAAGCATAACAAACTCTTGCATTTGTATGACACCTTGTGCTTGAACTTGATATAAAATATTCTAAATATAAGAAAAGAAATATGAAAATAGGCCAAGTGTATGGATGACTCCACTGACATGTAACAACCTTTTGCTGGAGGGAAGTGCAGACCTATCAACAAGTCATGATATATACCGTATTCCACATAATAAGCACCCAGGGTGCTCTCCAAATTAGAAATAAGGGGCTCTTATTAGAACATTATTTTGGTGAAAAAAAAACAGAGTTGAAAGATCGTAAATTTTGGGGTTTATGCTGACAGCCTGAAATGTTTATATGAGACAGATATATTTTTCCAGAATTTAATTGCCCATAAATAAGGGTGCATATAACACACAAGTGCATATTATACATGAATAAATAAGTCCTGTGTACATGGATCAATTGGAAGGGTGCTAATTGGGATTGTTTACTGGCTAATATATTAGCAAATATCGCTGTGGGCGCTTATTAGAGCAGGGCGCTTATTACGTTGAATACGGAATGTATTTAAGGGAGTGCAATCTTATGTCAATCAGACCAAACGCTTTGTCTTATTTATCTCTTTTCTTCTGTATTTGTTTCTTTCTATTCTCATGATGATCATTCCTTATTCTCTTGTCTTCCAACGTCATCTTTTGTACATATGTAAATAATATATGGAAATACCAAGGAGAGGGTGTCCTAAGTCCGATAATTTGCTCCTAATCCTTTTCAATTTGTGAATGAAATATATTTTAACTAAACTACAACCTGGTATAACAGACTGACATACAAAAACACTTGACACTACAGACAATATCCACATCAGCCTCTACTGCATGCTAGCCTACAATGTTGACAACACAACATACTGATACTGATATTGAGACAACAAACATGAGGGGAATAACCAGAGGAACTTTCATCAATCACAGCTTGGAAAAGTGTACTTCTTAAAGCACCGTTTCTCATCACTCAAGGACACCACAACATGTTATTGAGAAACGTATTCCTACAAACACTAAAGAGGTGAATATCGATCTCATCTGTTACAAATGTAAATGTGTCGTTGAAGGATTCCAGAACAAAGTAACCATGGTAACTGTATATCCTGTAAATGGTTTAGTCAGTTTACAGATTTACAGTGCACTTGAAATTTATGACAAACAACATGGTATTTTTCTTGAAATGCTGACCCCAAATCACTATTGTGTTTCTGGCGTCCCCCTGGGCCACTGTGCCTTCCTCACACATCAGGAATTTCCCTCCATAATGTTGTGTTGTGTGCACTGATTTTGCTTGAGTCGGCCATCTTGTAGACATTCCAGAATATTCTTTTTTCAATTTATAAAGTTTGAATCGCGAAATTTGTCAGATTATTTTCCAAAGCGTAGTCTGGAATGGCAGACACCAATTTGAAATTAGTGTCGTAGAGCTCCAGAAATCTGCTTTCTGATTGGCTACTATTGACAAAAGGTCATTCTGATGTGATGGGATGACCTCAGATCTTTGTGCAGTGGGAGCAAGAACTAAATAGATCACTCTGGTATACAGGGAAAAGTCAAAAATAAATATTAAAAAAGTGTTTGTTTCTGTTGTTGAAAAAGTTATGAGACCACATTGCCATGAGTGTTGTGTTTGTCAAGACGGTCTTGTAGGACTTGTAATTTACTGTATTGCACGCACAATATTATGGGGTCAAAACGTGAATTGTCATTCAGCAGCACAAAACAACATAGCTTTTCACATATTTCTTTTCACTTTTCATTGTTTAAGTTTGGTGGATCTGTAAACCCACTTAATGTTTATCCTTAAGTCGATGTTGAAGTCATTGAGGCTAGACAGTTTTGTGGAACAGCTATGAAGGACTGAGTCTACCATGGCTGTGTGTGGATATTAATCTACCGGTCTATATACTAGATAGTAGGACACTACCTAATACGCAATCTGGGGTTATATTACAACCACCATAACAGTTCAAGCAGTGACCACAACAAATACTTACTTCCTCTTCCAGTTCATCGACCTCCTCACCATCCTAGATAGAGAGTTAGTTGTAGTAGGTAAGCAGTGTCATACTTCAGGTACCACACACAGACCTCACACAACCTTTCATCATTTCCAAAATCATTCAGGTTCAGAACTGATCTTCTACAATCCAGGCTGGCCATAAGATGCTACTAACAGGATTGGGTGGTCAGACTCGGTTGATGCATGTTATTGCATCCCAATTGCATAGGTCGATGCTGATGATGTCAACCCATTATTTACAGCCCACTGTCATATAGCTGCTATATTGCTGAGTGCGGCGTTAAATAACAAACATATAATCTATTACATACCATGACATCCCTCTGTTCCCATGACATTTTACCCTTATGGCATAGATGGTTGTTCATACTATCAACCACTGGTTTGCCACTAATATATTATCTGCAGACTGCCATTGCTGAACATTCACTCTGTCACCCTGCTCCTGACAAGACTTTACCTGCAGCTTCTGGGTCTTGTACTGGAAGACGAGATCTCTGTCAGTGGTGAGCTCATCCTTGGAGTGGTCAGGGGCAAACAGCTTGTAGTTGAGGAAGTTGATGGCCCGGGCCAGCATGGTGGAACATGTGGACTTTCCGCTTCCAGCCTGTCCAGTGAGAATCACAGGTTGCTTCAGCTCCAGGGCTGTGTGGAGCTGCAGGATCTGAGGAGTAGGACAGATCTCATGAACAGGGGAATGTATTCAACTCCAGGGCTGTGTGGAGGGGCAGGATCTGGGGAGTCGGACAGATCTCATGAACAGGGGAATGTATTCAGCTCCAGGGCTGTGTTGAGCTGCATGATCTGGGGAGTAGGACAGATCTCATGAACAGGATGTATATTCAGCTCCAGGGCTGTGTGGAGCTGCATGATCTGGGGAGTCGGACAGATCTCATGAACAGGGGAATGTATTCAGCTTCAGGGCTGTGTGGAGCTGCAGGATCTGGGGAGTAGGACAGATCTCATGAACAGGGGAATGTATTCAGCTCCAGGGCTGTGTGGAGGGGCAGGATCTGGGGAGTCGGACAGATCTCATGAACAGGGGGATGCATTCAGCTCCAGGGCTGTGTGGAGCTGCAGGATCTGGGGAGTAGGACAGATCTCATGAACAGGGGAATGTATTCAGCTACAGGGCTGTGGGGAGCTGCAGGATCTGGGGAGTAAGACAGATCTCATGAACAGGGGAATGTATTTAGCTCCAGGGCTGTGTGGAGGAGCAGGATCTGGGGAGTAGGACTGATCTCATGAACAGGGTGTATATTCAGCTCCAGGGCAGTGGGGAGCTGCAGGATCTGGGGAGTAGGACAGATCTCATGAACAGGGTGTATATTCAGCTCCAGGGCTGTGTGGAGCTGCAGGATCTGGGGAGTAGGACAGATCTCATGAACAGGGGAATGTATTCAGCTCCAGGGCTGTGTGGAGCTGCAGGATCTGGGGAGTCGGACAGATCTCATGAACAGGGGAATGTATTCAGCTTCAGGGCTGTGTGGAGCTACACCATCTGGGGAGTAGGACAGATCTTATGAACAGGGGGATGCATTCAGCTCCAGGGCTGTGTGGAGGGGCAGGATCTGGGGAGTAGGACAGATCTCATGAACAGGGGAATGTATTCAGCTCCAGGGCTGTGTGGAGCTGCACGATCTGGAGAGTAGGACAGATCTCATGAACAGGGGGATGCATTCAGCTCCAGGGCTGTGTGGAGGGGCAGGATCTGGGGAGTCGGACAGATCTCATGAACAGGGGGATGCATTCAGCTACAGGGCTGTGTGGAGCTGCAGGATCTGGGGAGTAGGACAGATCTCATGAACAGGGGAATGTATTCAGCTACAGGGCTGTGGGGAGCTGCAGGATCTGGGGAGTAAGACAGATCTCATGAACAGGGGAATGTATTTAGCTCCAGGGCTGTGTGGAGGAGCAGGATCTGGGGAGTAGGACTGATCTCATGAACAGGGTGTATATTCAGCTCCAGGGCAGTGGGGAGCTGCAGGATCTGGGGAGTAGGACAGATCTCATGAACAGGGTGTATATTCAGCTCCAGGGCTGTGTGGAGCTGCAGGATCTGGAGTGTAGGACAGATCTCATGAACAGGGGAATGTATTCAGCTCCAGGGCTGTGTGGAGCTGCAGGATCTGGGGAGTCGGACAGATCTCATGAACAGGGGAATGTATTCAGCTTCAGGGCTGTGTGGAGCTGCACTATCTGGGGAGTAGGACAGATCTTATGAACAGGGGGATGCATTCAGCTCCAGGGCTGTGTGGAGGGGCAGGATCTGGGGAGTAGGACAGATCTCATGAACAGGGGAATGTATTCAGCTCCAGGGCTGTGTGGAGCTGCACGATCTGGAGAGTAGAACAGATCTCATGAACAGGGGGATGCATTCAGCTCCAGGGCTGTGTGGAGCTGCAGGATCTGGGGAGTAGGACAGATCTCATGAACAGGGGAATGTATTCAGCTCCAGGGCTGTGTTGAGCTGCATGATCTGGGGAGTAGGACAGATCTCATGAACAGGATGTATATTCAGCTCCAGGGCTGTGTGGAGCTGCATGATCTGGGGAGTCGGACAGATCTCATGAACAGGGGAATGTATTCAGCTTCAGGGCTGTGTGGAGCTGCAGGATCTGGGGAGTAGGACAGATCTCATGAACAGGGGAATGTATTCAGCTTCAGGGCTGTGTGGAGGGGCAGGATCTGGGGAGTAGGACAGATCTCATGAACAGGGGGATGCATTCAGCTCCAGGGCTGTGTGGAGCTGCAGGATCTGGGGAGTAGGACAGATCTCATGAACAGGGGAATGTATTCAGCTACATGGCTGTGGGGAGCTGCAGGATCTGGGGAGTAAGACAGATCTCATGAACAGGGGAATGTATTTAGCTCCAGGGCTGTGTGGAGGAGCAGGATCTGGGGAGTAGGACTGATCTCATGAACAGGGTGTATATTCAGCTCCAGGGCAGTGGTGAGCTGCAGGATCTGGGGAGTAGGACAGATCTCATGAACAGGGTGTATATTCAGCTCCAGGGCTGTGTGGAGCTGCAGGATCTGGGGAGTAGGACAGATCTCATGAACAGGGGAATGTATTCAGCTCCAGGGCTGTGTGGAGCTGCAGGATCTGGGGAGTCGGACAGATCTCATGAACAGGGGAATGTATTCAGCTTCAGGGCTGTGTGGAGCTGCACCATCTGGGGAGTAGGACAGATCTTATGAACAGGGGGATGCATTCAGCTCCAGGGCTGTGTGGAGGGGCAGGATCTGGGGAGTAGGACAGATCTCATGAACAGGGGAATGTATTCAGCTCCAGGGCTGTGTGGAGCTGCACGATCTGGAGAGTAGAACAGATCTCATGAACAGGGGGATGCATTCAGCTCCAGGGCTGTGTGGAGCTGCAGGATCTGGGGAGTAGGACAGATCTCATGAACAGGGGAATGTATTTAGCTCCAGGGCTGTGTGGAGGAGCAGGATCTGGGGAGTAGGACAGATGTCATGAACAGGGTGTATATTCAGCTCCAGGGCTGTGGGGAGCTGCAGGATCTGGGGAGTAAGACAGATCTCATGAACAGGGGAATGCATTCAGCTCCAGGGCTGTGTAGAGGGGCAGGATCTGGGGAGTAGGACAGATCTCATGAATAGGGGAATGTATTCAGCTCCAGGGCTGTGTGGAGCTGCCTGATCTAGGGAGTAGGACAGATCTCATGAACAGGGGAATGTATTCAGCTTCAGGGCTGTGTGGAGGGGCAGGATCTGGGGAGTCGGACAGATCTCATGAACAGGGGAATGTATTCAGCTCCAGGGCTGTGTGGAGCTGCAGGATCTGGAGAGTCGGACAGATCTCAGGAACAGGGGAATGTATTCAGCTCCAGGGCTGTGTGGAGGAGCAGGATCTGGGGAGTAGGACAGATCTCATGAACAGGGGAATGTATTCAGCTCCAGGGCTGTGTGGAGCTGCAGGATCTGGGGAGTAGGACAGATGTCATGAACAGGGGAATGTATTCAGCTTCAGGGCTGTGTGGAGGGGCAGGATCTGGGGTGTAGGACAGATCTCATGAACAGGGGGTGTATTCAGCTCCAGGGCTGTGTGGAGGGGCAGGATCTGGGGAGTAAGACAGATCTCATGAACAGGGTGTATATTCAGCTCCAGGGCTGTGTGGAGGGGCAGGATCTGGGAAATAGGACAGATCTCATGAACAGGGTGTATATTCAGCTCCAGGGCTGTGTGGAGGGGCAGGATCTGGGGAGTCGGACAGATCTCATGAACAGGGGGATGCATTCAGCTACAGGGCTGTGTGGAGCTGCAGGATCTGGGGAGTAGGACAGATCTCATGAACAGGGGGATGCATTCAGCTCCAGGGCTGTGTGGAGCTGCAGGATCTTGGGATCTGTGCTCACCTTGGTGATAAGTTCTTCATTCTCCTTCATGTTGTCTTCCTTCAACTGTTCCCTGATGGCACTGATCAGCTTTGGTTCATGTGGCATGTACGTGTCATCCATCTGGGCACTGGCTGTCACCGGGAACACGTCGCGCAGGAGGCCATAAAACTGTGCTCGGTCATCTCCATCCTGTATTCGAGACTCAACGACTTCTCTAATGGCATATACAATGGAATGTTCCTCTGCCAGCTTCACATCCTGTTCCGCTGCACTGGGCTTCCAGTCATTCTCTAGAAGTATCAAACATTTCCTCACATAATATTGAACAAAGTTCAACCAAATGTTCTCCCTCTTCAAATTGTAATACAATGTTTAACTGACAAAAGACAAACGTCATGAAATACTCTCTTGATTATCATGAATCACTGTACTTCCCAAATCAAGGCATCCCATCGTGCAATTTTCATGGTTTCCACTATACCTGACTCTTGTCCAGGGGCTTCATGGAGGAACTTCTTGTCCCGTATCCTAGCAACAGCAACCATCAGAATCTTCTTCACCTCCCTCAAACACAGGTTGTACTCCAACTGTCTTGGCAACTGCACAGAGAAGCAGGTTCCTCTTGCAATATAATCTCAGCAAACTATTTCTACAGACACACTGGTCTAGCCTGTTAGTTGATGTTCAATGCAATAATTATAATCATCGGCAAATTTATTGAGCAGATGAAGCAATATATTTGTTCATTGTGAAAAAGAAGACATCCCCTTCAGCCTGACTAACTTAGTGTCACACCACAACACAAAAGCAGACTGTCCATCAGATTACCAGCTTTAGTGCTGAATGAAAACATATACAAGTTACTTTTTACATATACATGACAAAGAATTGTAAGACATAATGGTAACACCAAAGAGATGCTGTCCACCCAGTCTTACCTGAATCTTCATTAGCTTCAGGAACAGCATCATCTTCTGAGCACAGGTCTTGAACTCCTCATAACCATGGCAACACAGAGTGACCTCTATGATCTGCTGAGTGTCTGGGATGACGAGAGCACAAGGCCGCATCAGTGCCTGTAACAACAGTGAGACATCATCAATACTACACTCCTGGGATGCACATCTCCCGCCACCCCCAACCCTTTATTCAGCCAACTTAACATTTATACATCTGGAAGTTTAATAGGTGACTGGTATACAAGCGTTAACATCTAAAAACACTACAAATACTCATTTGGTGATATCAGCCAAACTAAGACGTCATAGAATTATTTTTTTTAAATTCCAACCAAAGTGAGACCAAGGGTGGGCAAGGGCGCCAGCCATTACCTGGAAGTTCTCAGGGATGTCTGTAGTGCCCACATTCGGTTGGCTCAGTGTCATGAAGCACCCGTAGTTGGCGCTGGCCGGGATCAGTTTGCCGTTGAACATGACATTACCCACAATCCTGTGCACGTAGGTTGGTTCCTGGATGAGCTGCTTGTAGTCTGGCGCAGACTTCTTCTTCTTCTTCACATGCTCTGAAAAATACAGATAACATGTACATACTGTAACACCAACATCACTTGATAACAATTTAAAGAAAATACTTAAAGGATTCCTGGTAACACCCTGTTTCAAACTGCACTGATCTGGCAGCCAACGTGTATATGTTTGTAGGAGACTGGCCAAGGCAGATTTCATAAAAATTCATTACAATCAACATGCCAGACAACAATGACAGACAGCTACTCTGACGTGTGGGAAGCAACTCAAGGGGACAAGGCCTACTTTCTCAGGGCATTTGATTGTCACAAAAATCATGAGACATTAAGTGTATAGTTCTGTGGGATATCAAGATAGTCAACTCACCATAAAAGAGAGGGGGTGGCTTATTGGACTTATAGAACTGAGATTCCTTGATTTCCACTTCCTTCTCGATGGAATGGCGCCGTCTCCTTTCTCTCTCTGCGATCCAGGTGTCTTCAAAGTAAGTGACCAGGCCCTTCTCCTGCAGGAAGTCAGGGCATGGAAACAAGGCCGAGGTGGAGGACAGTAACAACCAGTCAAAGTAGTCTTTCAATCATCTGTCAGACTTAAGTCATATAATTTAAACATTTTGTTATTCCGTAAGAACAAGAAGAAAGGCATTCTTTGAATGTTCCTCAGCCTCTTCCAGTGTTAGACATTGCATTGTGCTACGCTTTGCTTCTGACATAACTGGAACCTCTCCTGTGAAACACTGGAGTCCAGGATGGAATGGCCCCAGCATGCAATGCTTGTATAAAGTGCAGATATATGAAGATCCCTGGTTTCAATGTGTAACCTGGATGGTTGTGTGTCATCATGTCCTGATGGCACAGATCGTTGTTCATGATGTCCACCACTGGTTTAACTAAACCACACTCAATACTTTACAGGCAGCCATTTTATAGTTACAATATTGTTGGCTGTGGCGTAAAGCATCGTTGGATCACTCAAAGTGCACATCCATGTTTAAATGCATGAAAAATGCATCACTCATCCAGTACTTCAAAGGCAGTATTTCAACTGTTGAGCAGGACTTACGTTTGTTCAATCTATTGCGTCCTGAATACAATTGTTTTCTTCCTTTTAATAGCCAATCAACTTGGTGAAAATGAACTTACATTGAAGCCATGTGGCACTGTCTTCTGTCTCTCTAAGGGTGGTGACGTCTCCGCCCTCGGCAGTGGGTGTAGGGTGGTCAGGGAGTTGCGTCGGATCACCTTGTCCCCAGCTCCAACTTTCTACAAACCAAACATGAATGTCTTAATTACACATTCATGCCATGGTACAGCTTCCGAAGATTTATAACATTCGTTGTTTGTAACTATACCCATCACAGTCAAGACCATTGATTAATCATTCTTACAAAATGGAAGAGCAATATCCTTAACTTTATGTCAGCTTATGTACTCACAACAACAAGTTTCACTGTATAGATTTTAATTTATAAACACTGAATACTTTAATTGTAAAAAGACTTCCAAACTTCTGAGTCTGGACACACAATTATGATAGACACCTAAAACTGATCCAAACAACTGCATAGCTTTAAGAATTAAATTTTTTTTAAATAAGATAATACATAAAATAATTGTTAATTAAACTTTGTATCCTATAGGTGTAAATTTGTATCTAGAGAGTGCTGGAACAGCCTCATACAAACACAAGCATCACAATCTACAAGCCATCTACAGACAGGGATTCCATCTTCTTGGGTAACACAAGACTCATCCAACTGCTTAGACAGACACTGCCACCCAACACATCCGATGTCAGGCAAGACATGTTCACACCAGTGGTTAGCAAGACTCACAACAGTGTTCCTTAGACAGACACTGCCACCCAACACATCAGACGTCAGGCAAGACATGTTCACACCAGTGGTTAGCAAGACTCACAACAGTGTTCCTTAGACAGACACTGCCACCCAACACATCAGACGTCAGGCAAGACATGTTCATACCAGTGGTTAGCAAGACTCACAACAGTGTTCCCTAGACAGACACTGCCACCCAACACATCAGACGTCAGGCAAGACATGTTCATAGCAGTGGTTAGCAAGACTCACAACAGTGTTCCTTAGACAGACACTGCCACCCAACACATCAGATGTCAGGCAAGACATGTTCACACCAGTGGTTAGCAAGACTCACAACAGTGTTCCTTAAACAGACACTGCCACCCAACACATCAGATGTCAGGCAAGACATGTTCACACCAGTGGTTAGCAAGACTCACAACAGTGTTCCTTAGACAGACACTGCCACCAAACACATCAGACGTCAGGCAAGACATGTTCACACCAGTGGTTAGCAAGACTCACAACAGTGTTCCTTAGACAGACACTGCCACCCAACACATCAGATGTCAGGCAAGACATGTTCACACCAGTGGTTAGCAAGACTCACAACAGTGTTCCTTAGACAGACACTGCCACCCAACACATCAGATGTCAGGCAAGACATGTTCACACCAGTGGTTAGCAAGACTCACAACAGTGTTCCTTAGACAGACACTGCCACCCAACACATCAGACGTCAGGCAAGACATGTTCATACCAGTGGTTAGCAAGACTCACAACAGTGTTCCTTAGACAGACACTGCCACCCAACACATCAGACGTCAGGCAAGACATGTTCACACCAGTGGTTAGCAAGACTCACAACAGTGTTCCTTAGACAGACACTGCCACCCAACACATCAGACGTCAGGCAAGACATGTTCATAGCAGTGGTTAGCAAGACTCACAACAGTGTTCCTTAGACAGACACTGCCACCCAACACATCAGACGTCAGGCAAGACATGTTCATACCAGTGGTTAGCAAGACTCACAACAGTGTTCCTTAGACAGACACTGCCACCCAACACATCAGACGTCAGGCAAGACATGTTCATACCAGTGGTTAGCAAGACTCACAACAGTGTTCCTTAGACAGACACTGCCACCCAACACATCAGACGTCAGGCAAGACATGTTCATACCAGTGGTTAGCAAGACTCACAACAGTGTTCCTTAGACAGACACTGCCACCCAACACATCAGACCTCAGGCAAGACATGTTCACACCAGTGGTTAGCAAGACTCACAACAGTGTTCCTTAGACAGACACTGCCACCCAACACATCAGACGTCAGGCAAGACATGTTCACACCAGTGGTTAGCAAGACTCACAACAGTGTTCCTTAGACAGACACTGCCACCCAACACATCAGACGTCAGGCAAGACATGTTCACACCAGTGGTTAGCAAGACTCACAACAGTGTTCCTTAGACAGACACTGCCACCCAACACATCAGACGTCAGGCAAGACATGTTCACACCAGTGGTTAGCAAGACTCACAACAGTGTTCCTTAGACAGACACTGCCACCCAATTAACACATCCGACGTCAGGCAAGACATGTTCATACCAGTGGTTAGCAAGACTCACAACAGTGTTCCTTAGACAGACACTGCCACCCAACACATCAGACGTCAGGCAAGACATGTTCACACCAGTGGTTAGCAAGACTCACAACAGTGTTCCTTAGACAGACACTGCCACCCAACACATCAGACGTCAGGCAAGACATGTTCACACCAGTGGTTAGCAAGACTCACAACAGTGTTCCTTAGACAGACACTGCCACCCAACACATCAGACGTCAGGCAAGACATGTTCATACCAGTGGTTAGCAAGACTCACAACAGTGTTCCCTAGACAGACACTGCCACCCAACACATCAGACGTCAGGCAAGACATGTTCACACCAGTGGTTAGCAAGACTCACAACAGTGTTCCTTAGACAGACACTGCCACCCAACACATCAGATGTCAGGCAAGACATGTTCACACCAGTGGTTAGCAAGACTCACAACAGTGTTCCTTAGACAGACACTGCCACCAAACACATCAGACCTCAGGCAAGACATGTTCACACCAGTGGTTAGCAAGACTCACAACAGTGTTCCTTAGACAGACACTGCCACCCAACACATCCGATGTCAGGCAAGACATGTTCACACCAGTGGTTAGCAAGACTCACAACAGTGTTCCTTAGGCAGACACTGCCACCCAACACATCAGACGTCAGGCAAGACATGTTCACACCAGTGGTTAGCAAGACTCACAACAGTGTTCCTTAGACAGACACTGCCACCCAACACATCAGACCTCAGGCAAGACATGTTCACACCAGTGGTTAGCAAGACTCACAACAGTGTTCCTTAGACAGACACTGCCACCCAACACATCAGACGTCAGGCAAGACATGTTCACACCAGTGGTTAGCAAGACTCACAACAGTGTTCCTTAGACAGACACTGCCACCCAACACATCAGACGTCAGGCAAGACATGTTCACACCAGTGGTTAGCAAGACTCACAACAGTGTTCCTTAGACAGACACTGCCACCCAACACATCAGACGTCAGGCAAGACATGTTCACACCAGTGGTTAGCAAGACTCACAACAGTGTTCCTTAGACAGACACTGCCACCCAACACATCAGACGTCAGGCAAGACATGTTCACACCAGTGGTTAGCAAGACTCACAACAGTGTTCCTTAGACAGACACTGCCACCCAACACATCAGACGTCAGGCAAGACATGTTCATACCAGTGGTTAGCAAGACTCACAACAGTGTTCCTTAGACAGACACTGCCACCCAACACATCAGACGTCAGGCAAGACATGTTCACACCAGTGGTTAGCAAGACTCACAACAGTGTTCCTTAGACAGACACTGCCACCCAACACATCAGACGTCAGGCAAGACATGTTCACACCAGTGGTTAGCAAGACTCACAACAGTGTTCCTTAGACAGACACTGCCACCCAACACATCCGATGTCAGGCAAGACATGTTCACACCAGTGGTTAGCAAGACTCGCAACAGTGTTCCTTGGTCAGAATCACATGAGGGTACCTTAGACAGACACTTCAGTCAGACTCACATGAGTGTACCTCAGACAGACACTTCAGTCAGACTCACATAAGGGTACCTTAGACAGACACTTCAGTCACACTCAAACGAGGGTACCTTAGACAGACACTTCAGTCAAACTCACATGAGGGTACCTTAGACAGACACTTCAGTCAGACTCACACGAGGGTACCTTAGACAGACACTTCAGTCAGACTCACATCCATGTTACTTTTTTCCAAACAGACACAAGGCACTTTGATGTGAATCAGACATTGAAGATTTCTTGAGCACCACAACACTTCAAAAGACAAAAGGTGGGAATACATGTCCTCTAACATTCTATAGAGAAAGCAAGGCAGCAGAAGAGCTAGCACAGAAATCAATTTACATGATTTAAGATTGATGAACACAGAATGATGATGATGATGATGATGATGATGATGATGATGATGATGATGATGATGTCAGATTTCAAAGGCTTGTGTAACAAAGTAGTTAAATAGTTCCTACAGAGATCACTGACACCTGACTCTAACATGTCATTCAATAACCTCAATGTTAACCTCTTCAACATCAGTGAGACTGTAACACTTTTATGCGCTTACTACTCCATGCACATCTTTCAGTGGAAGCTCTGATACAGCGATCATGAGGATACAGACAGATATGACTATAATTACAATCGGACCTCAGGAGGTCTTGTTTCACCTGGTCACTACAACGGTCTGTCCATCACACAGCATACACAACAGCCAATATTGACTGTTTGATGACATTTATAAGATTTGTGAATTGATCTCCATTAAATTAACAAATCTGTACTTATCATATCCAGATGCAAAATATGGCAAAGAGGCTGGAAAGATATGCAATGTATCGTGATACTAAGTCCAAGATACAGTTCACTTGGGAAGTGCAATTTTGAAAGAAAAGATAAAGAAATGCTGATCTTTTTCTTCCATAAGCCATTTTAAAAAATTAAACTTTCATGTCGATGTTCATATATTTAATATAATTTGTGAAACGCAAATTATTGATACACATTGCTTTCTAACAAAACTGCTGTCGTTTTACTGTACAAACACTATTTTATTATCTAATATAGTTATGAATCCATAATAAGAACACTGTCCTAGTTACAACTTCCTCTCTGATAGTGTATGACTAATGAGGTGAGGTGAAATGAGGTTTAACGTAGCGTCCAAGATTATTTCACTTGTATAGCGATGTGCATGCACATGTGTGTGTGGCTGCTTGTACTAGTCCGGACTGATGCCAATTTATAGTGCTAGCTCACTGAGATACCATGTCGCAGTTTAACTTGTATACCCCACTCAGACACAGTATACTGACTCCGAGCCGAACAGTCCTTGTTTTAGCCTCTTAATGCTTTAGCCTTGTTTTAGCCTCTTAAAGGTAACAACAAGTACCATCTTTTAATGTCTTTTGGTATGAAGCGGACGGGGATCAAACCCCGGACCTTCCGTTCTACGGGCGGTCGCTCTACCACTAGACCTTGGAGGCAGTGTATGAGGAATGAAGTATGGTAGACCCACTTCATGTGTTCTACAACATACAGACAGACTGTGACAATAAAGATCCTCAGTTAGGGCTGGTATCAAAGAGTGAGGAGCACAGACTAGGGTTTGTTTAATCATACCATCTATTATGAACAGAAAAAGACTCCAACTGGAAGCAGTAGAAGATCAACATTTCTTTCCACATTACAAAACAAGGTTTATTCAAATATTACTCTACTGAGTGCATAGTTTTTGATAATTTGTCTCCCAAAACAAAGTCTTGTAGCAAACACAGGCAACACTAAGTCTATCTATAAGAGGGAACACAACCTACCAAACTCAACAGCTGCAAGTCAAACAGAGACAAAATACACATCTATATTCAAAGAAACATGGGAAATTCTACACCAAGTGCCACTTCTGTGAATATTCCTTCAAACACTTTCTCCCACAAGGGAACCAGCTGGTATAATTTCAAAATATCTAACGTCCAAAATAAATCATAATATATATGACCAACCATGGGATGAGGGATCTTATGGGTGAAAAATCACAGTTTTACTTCTCATTATATTTTAATACAAAAGTATCTTAGGACCACAAAAATACAGTTCACAAAATTCAATTCATACATATTAAAGAGATACATGGCCTCAAACATTTGGACTCATTTTCTGCAAAGTCCAATTTTCAGACGCATAACTGTTTGTGTAATAATTGCAGCTTTTAGAAACAAGGTCTGATTAATTGAAAGTTGACATATATGTTGAAATGTTTAGAAATAATGTTTGTATTACATTATGAACTGCCAAGAGAAAAGTAACATATTTTGTAGTCAGCATACATGGCGATTTTGTTTTCAGAGCACAATTGTTATCCCAGCACCCATTAGGTCCCTCTTCTCCTGGTGGCTCACAAATGCCAATTATGAAAGGCCAATAAATTCCCAAGCTAGTTTGATATGGTCTCTGCAGTGATGATTTGATGGTTTAACAGACACTGGCACTTGGAAAGTAGGAGACATACCAGGGAGTATACAAGACTATACATTCCCTATCTAGACAATCAATCAAACAACTACCAATCCCTCAGTACGAGCTAGCCAATCAAATTATCAGCAGACAATTTTCAATGGGCTTGTTGTGATTGGCTGCATATATGACCAGAGACATTTAGCAATATATATAAATTTGAGAACACTATTCAAATAATTTATACAGTTTTATGTTTTCCAGTGTCTCCATGCAGTGAAATATTGTGAATGTAAATTGTAAACCGAATTTGGAAAACATTCTGTGAAACTGAGATAATCTCTGATGAATTAAGAATTATCCTGTTTGGCCACAATAAATAAAAAAATAGATTTCCATCCAAATTCTATTAAAATGTAATGTGGGATTTATGGTATCTGTGGACATCAAATTTCAATGGATGTGATTAAAACAAAGCATCAATGCTTCAGTCTATTAACATACAGCAAAACCCTTAAAGACAAATTCCTACTTGTCCTTATTGGGCAATTTGGCATGGTGCAGGACAACATATTTATTTCATCAAATTCAGAAAGAAAGGAGCATATTTTGCAATTTATGTTTTGTCTGTAGGTATTCAGGGACATGAAAATAATGTGAGGAAGGCGGTTGGGATGAAAATCTAATTTCTGATTATCAATTATGGCCTTCTTTTCATATTTAAAAAATTAAACTAGTGACATAAACTTCATTTACAACAATTAAATCAATATTTTTTAATATTTTTTTTCAGTTCCAGAATTGTGTCGGCTTATTTTGCTCCTACAGTTTTAAGAAGGTGCTACATGCAACCCATGCTACAGATGTATGTGACGGGGGCACCGTACACAGGCATTGTCGGGGAACATCCTACAACAGGGAACATGGTGGTTATAGATGCGTGCTAGAGTCTATATATACCACAACATTACATCATACAGGTTACCTCGTCATAAAACAACCTAGATCCATGCTGATGCCCAAAAATAGTCCAAGATCAAAGTTAGAATGTTTCAATTCTATAATGTCTCACACATAGATCTTAAGTGTAGTTAATTGTGATGAACACATGCAACCCTGATCTGGCCATTAAGTGAGTTGCCAAATCTTTGACTTGCCAAGCCTCTTGATCATACACAGCTTGGACAAATCTCTTGACCAGAGACAGAGAAGACAAGTGTCTTGATCATATATAGACTTGCCAAGTCTACTGACCACACTTTGAATCACCAAGTGTCCTGATCATACAGAGACTTGCCAATTTATTACATAATGGTATCTATTTCAATTAAAAAATAATAAGAAACTAGTCAACTGTTATGACTCAAGGTTAAGTAAACTTTACACACACAATACACACCAGGTAAACGTGAGATAAAGTTGTTAAATGATCCACAACCATGCAAAGAGAGACATCAACATAATAAACAACTTTTGAATGATTAGTTCATTGGGATACACCACACACAACCATGTTAGTGGTGCAGCACTGGGGAGCAGAGACAGTTGTCATGGAAGGCCTAGTGGCAGTTCATGTTGATAATAAATCATTATAGATGAAGTGATTTGTTCTCAAGTGGCTGAAATTCTGCATTCCATTCCTACTCTACTTATAAGTCCATGTTTATCCCACCAGGGTTCACTTCCATAAAGGAATGTCAGCACTAGGGATATTGAACTCTCATGCTCAGACAGTCCTGGTGCTAAGATTGCTTATTGGACAAAAAGATATTTTACTAGACTCAGGCTTCGACTGGGTGTGTAACTGACAGATATTCATCACTGCAGAAAAAAGTTGTCCTGCTTTTATTTGAGGCCTCCCAACCTCATCCATGCTCAATCTCACTAGAATCAGCACTTAGTTGCTGGCTACTGCCACACAACACTCGGAGGATATCCAATCATAGGTAATGGCAGAACGAACTTTCTTTCTCTTGGCTGGCCAATGAAATGACTAACAAGACGTCAACATTAGCCATTCAGAAAGCATGCTTTCTCGAGCTTTACGGTGCTTGTTTCAAACTGGCTACTTCCATCTTCAATTCAAAATTTGAAAGTTGAACAAAAGAGAATTCTTGAAAATAGATGGCCGAGTACTTCCCACTAGCTATGGAAAAGTCTCTTCCATTTTAAATGTCTCTTCCATTGAAGCGGTAGATAAGGAATCATTAACCTTTTCAAGGTTGCATGTTGTAGAAACACACTCTGACTGTCACTTTTCCTATCTGGTAAGCGACACTCTGACTGGTCGGATGACATGACCCATAATGGGATGTCCTCAGATCTTTGTTTAGCGATAGTGAGAACTAAGATCTGTTTTTAATGAGATTGCAAATCCCCAGCTTCTTCTCCTAAGATCCATCATAAACTCCATCTTATCATAACTGAACTGGAGAAACAGCAATAAAACCAGTGAAGTGAGACTGACAGTAAGCCTTCCTGTGAAACTGGGGCCTCTGTTACCCACCTTGTCAAAGCGGGGTTGTCCTCGGATCTTGTACTGGTTTTCACTAGAGAGGTCCAACGTCCTCAATGCTGTGCGGAGGTAGTCAAGCTGCTGGGCTGTCACTGACATCAACCCTGAAACAAACAATAGATGGGGCTTGGTATCTTAGGTGAAGAGGGGGCTGCTTAACTCCACTATTCCAGCTGTACCGAGGTGGCCACAACCAAGTCTGGACAAGCAGACCAATGATATTCCAGCAATATCACGGCTGGGGACATCAGAAATGGACTTCATACATTGTACCCATGTCGGGAATCAACCCCAAGACTTTGGCGTGGTGAGCGAACGCTTTAACCACTAGGCTACCCGACCGCCCCGCCAAGTCACGGAGTCTAGACATTTAATCCAGTTAGTCACCTCAAAATGAGTGCTAAACTGAATGCAGCATACTAAATAATACAAAAATACAAAAATAAATAATACAGTGATCGTTCTGGTTTAAGAAATAAAGAGTGGGGGTTGTTTATGGCATGATAAAACACTGCAGGGAGAATAAACCATGAGGGGCACAACTCCAAGAGGTTTATTCTCCCTGCAGGATTTTATTGTATGATTAACAACGACCACGAGTCGTTTACTTCTTATATGAGATATTAACATCAAGTACAGCATATTCAAATCTCCAGAAATGACGTCATGATAGAACAATGTTTCATCGTGAAATAAACCACTCTTCGTTGTTCTTTTCAATTTACTGCGTAGCTATCTTATATATTGCAATATTTAAGGCACTAAATGTGATTTGAGGATTGAAGGACTCAGTAAAGAGTGTGCTACCTCTCGTGACTGATGAGACAAAACACTGTATACCTGTGGTGAGCCTGTCAGTGTTGTCAAAGAGAGCCCAGCATCCCGACTGGACCATCCCCGTCATCAACTGGAGCATCATGGCTAGTGTCAGATTCTCATTACAGTTGATAGTGAAGATCGTCCTTCCAAGCATCTGGGCGCAGAGCAAATAATATCAAGACAATATCAATATCAATTCTTTTACCCTTAAAACATTATACCCAGACTTTGAAATTCCATGGAACATTTTCTGAAACATGACAACTTGGAGATTAATAAATAGTGGCACTGCACTGTAGGTCACCTGGGTATGTCGTCCAAAGTAAAAAATGTCAACAAAGACAGACATGGCTGTCAACATTGATTTTCACGATTTTCTGAAAAAATACTGAGGACTAAATACTTACACTATAATCAAATATTCTGAAAAAGTATGATGTCATCATAAGGAGAAACGTACATGCTAAAGTTCAGCTCCCTCACACTGGCAATTTCATAGGAGAAGTTTACAGTGCCAAATACGTCTTTAAAAAAGGTCAAAACAAGGTCAAACTTTGATATATTGCAAAAAATGTGTGTTGAAGCTCATGAAATACCAAAATGTCATTACAAAATATACCAACGATGAGCCATCATTGTTGGGAACACGCATGTGAAATTTCCGCTTCATTCTGACGTTTACAGTGTAAGGAAAGGCATTTTGAGAGAATTTAAGAGCATGGTGAAAGTGTAGAGGTAAAAATGTGACAAACATCAAGAAAAATGGATAGTAGCCATATTTAAAATCTGATGCCAAAATTTGAACAAGTTGGGGTATATTCAGTGGTAGGAACAAGAATGGGTGTTTATTAGGAGAAGATGTTTCAACGTGAGACAAACGACTACAGATGACGTCAAAACAATCCATGACACAAGCTCACTTGACTTTCGGTCAGGGGAGATAAAAAGGGACATTGTACTTTGTGTCAGTTGTGAGATTGAGACAATGACTCATGTCATCTTTAATTGCTAGATTTGAATACATCTTTCAACTAGAGTGGTTGCAGAGATAGTGGGTCTTACATGACTTGACTCAAACATGCCAGGACTGCCAACTGAGCCTAGTCCAGAGGGGCCTTGGATTTTGTTTATCCAAAGTTCATTCCTCCATCATCTTACCCTCGCTAGCTCCCTGACTGTCTCTGATTTTCCGGAGCCTGCTGGGCCGACCAGTGCTCCACAGTGAAAGTTCTTTGTCGCCTGTGTGAGTGACAGGAAGGCTCGCTCAGTGAGCGGGGTGAGGACCAGGCTGTGCTGGGGTCCCAGGTACTCGTAGTCGTAGTAGAAGTTGTGGCCCAGCTGCTGGATGTAGCAGGGACTGAACTGGTAGTCAGTGGACACCGTGGTGCGCGTGCGAGTCATCTTCGGGGGCTCCTCTGTACACAGGAACAGCAAGTAGGAAATACCATAACATCATTCCTCATCATATGAAACAAGTGTGTCACTGTTTCAGCTGTGTCACAGCAGTCTTTAAATACCAGTAAGTCTTGCCAGATCAGGCAAAACCAGTGATTGGAGAGCACGAACAACGGTTCCCCCACCATGATGAGTCGGCATATACTTTTTCTTATTATATTATACATTTATATTCTGCACTTATCCAGATACATGTATCTGCTCAAATGCAGTTTAGTTACTTCATAATTAATTAATAATCCTACTTAGATAGTTCAGGAACACTTGACACTGTGACACTGTCCCACATTGTGACCACCTGATCCTCATTAGCCTCCACTCAAGTGGTGCCAGGAAGCTGTCATGGAATCTTCATGGGGCAATAAAAAACATTTGAATATTGGACTAAAAAAGCCCAAATAGCTCAACTGGTTTTTTTAACTAGGGGTGAGGAGGGGGCATGACCATGCTGGTAGAGTTGAAGAATGGATGGTTGTATGTTTCACTGGAACTGATGCACAGCCAAGGCTTGCCACATCACTAAAAGCATGGTAGGGGCTTGGTTTGATCTTGGACTGATTTACCCAGAACAATCTGATGGTCAAATCTCAGTACTCTCCCCAGGGAGTTGGGAACACTACAAGTGCCGTAATCTATGATCAGGGTGAAGATGTAAACAAGCCAAACTAAGAAGTAGTCAACTGACTGTTGAACAGTAAGCACCATATAGCCATCATTAAAAGTATGAAAGACTTAGATCTATGTAGGACTCATATTCTCAGTGAAATGCCATAAATGTAATGAAAGGTTTTATCACAGTAAATTATAAACACAGGAGCAACCAAGAATATAAAAACGTCAGCCTCCTCTGACGACATGGCAGTTGTACTGTGTACATGACCCCCTTCCAGACATGGCATCCATTGCAGGATATTGTACACATCTGCCAAGAAATGAGACAAGCAGCCCGAGATCCACGACCTGCCCCAGATCGGAGTCTGACTACTGTATTCACTGACCTGCTGTGACAGAGACAAGAGAGCGTCTGTTGACAGGCTTGCTGGCGCGACCTGACACGCTGTTCTGCATCTCCGTTACCACGGTCTTGGCTCGTAGAACATTACGGATGTCCATACGGTAGCGAAGAGACTTCAGCCAGTCAAAACTAGTTTCTGAGGGAATCTCACACTGGAGCAGACCTGCAACATTGTGAGTTATACGACTTGATAAAACTCTATGTTTGTGAACAGAATGGATAATACTGCACATAGATTGTACTTGATATGACAAAATCAACATTAAATAAGCTTTGTTTCTTTGACAATAATATTGTCTAATATTGCTTAAGTCTGAAAAACACATTACTGATGAAATGATGTACTGTCAGATAAACTGGTAAATCATGAATAATATTTCAGTAACTTTAGATCATGGAAACTACCAAAAAAACTGTTCAATACCTCAGCAATGGGAGACAAGAAATTGCATTACATTTCACAGAATTCACTACAGGTCAATGAAGTGAGTGAGTTTGGTTTAATGCTGCTTTGAACAGTGTTGCAGTAACATCCTAGCATATCAGCTTACTGTTGGAGGACTGATCCAAGTGCTGCAGGTCTTACATGTTTACCACCAGGCACAGATGGCTTACTGGCAAACCAAAACTCAAGTTGAATCAGGGGCCTTTGGATTCTGGCACGCCCATAAGGGACACAACTCTGCACAGCAAATTTATAGCCCAAGACTACTTGGCCCCCTGTTCCCCCTAAGGTCAACATAAGGGGGTGATGTTACAGCACTGTATGATGACTGACCATCCGTGATGTCCCTGTGGTGTAGGGTCTGCTTGATGAGGCTCGTCAGCAGACACTGCAGCCTCTCTCTCATCTCCAGGCTCAGCTTCTCATTGGTGGAGGTTTCCTTCAGAATGTCCACGTACTGGTCCAGCTTAGCGCACATGTTTGACCTGAAGTAGATGAACAGCGTTAAGTATTTCATTTATACCAAGGTTTAGTCAGCTGAAGTAAAGACCAAGGAGACACAGCTCAGTGACAGTTACCATTTATTTATTTATTTATTTATTTATTTATTTATTTATTTATTTATATAAAAGTCATTCTGACGTGGAGGTAAACTGCAGGTGACCTCTTTAAATCACTGACAGTGATGAAGTCAAGAAATTTATATAACATTATAACATTTAATATTGTGAAAGAGGGTCAATATTACCAGCAGGAGACATAATAAAAGTGAATATATTTATGTTTGATTTATTTCTTTGACCTGGTGCTTTTGAGTAGGGGCAGTGGGCCCATGAAACGAGAAATAAATAATGTGTGGCCACAGAGATAAAAACACATTAACACACAGTCTTGGGGCAACCCCATCCCCACCAATCTTAGCATGACAACTGTTACAGCCTATATCAAAGTATGGAACAAACAGCCTCTTAGCACCAGGATCACTTTCTAGATTGGACAAATACTGGACACTGACTCACCTTGTCAGCTTCAGGTCATCAGGGTCAGGCTCTTAGCACCAGGATCACTTTCTAGACTGGACAAATACTGGACACTGACTCACCTTGTCAGCTTCAGGTCATCAGGGTCAGGCTCTTAGCACCAGGATCACTTTCTAGACTGGACAAATACTGGACACTGACTCACCTTGTCAGCTTCAGGTCATCAGGGTCAGGCTCTTAGCACCAGGATCACTTTCTAGACTGGACAAATACTGGACACTGACTCACCTTGTCAGCTTCAGGTCATCAGGGTCAGGCTCTTAGCACCAGGATCACTTTCTAGATTGGACAAATACTGGACACTGACTCACCTTGTCAGCTTCAGGTCATCAGGGTCAGGCTCTTAGCACCAGGATCACTTTCTAGACTGGACAAATACTGGACACTGACTCACCTTGTCAGCTTCAGGTCATCAGGGTCAGGCTCTTAGCACCAGGATCATTTCTAGACTGGACAAATACTGGACACTGACTCACCTTGTCAGCTTCAGGTCATCAGGGTCAGGCTTCTCAAGGATGCGGGCCACACCCCGCTCCCAGATAATGGCCTCGGACACAAGGACACACTGGATTGGAAACTGCAGCAACCAATGACGGAACGTCTGCTTCATTTCTGACTGCAGCGCCCTCTGTGGGGGAGTAGTGTCGCTAAGCTGAGCTAACTCTTCCAGGATCTGTATTGGTTGTCGTGAACCTAGAGCAACCAGAACACATGTTACATATCATAAGAAATTACACAGGCCATTGTGTGAGGAGAATTAGGCATCCAACAATGACAAGTTGGGTATGAAAATCTCATCATAGCATGTTGCCTTGAAACAATGCAGACAAAGAAAGTGACATATAAATAAAAAACTATAAACAAAAACATATTTGTTTGAAAAAGTATTGTTGTATGCCTTGTTGATGACACAAACTGGAAGGGTTGAAAGTGCATGAACAGAGTTGAAGTTTAGGAACAATATTTTTATTCTATGGATTAACTGAAATTTGGTAAAATAAAAATGACTTCATGAGCTGAACATAAATCAACCCTAACAATACCTATTATTTTTCTTGCTTTACTTCTGTGAATATGTTATCTGCACAGTTATGACACACATCTCAAACACTTGGACATTGGCAGCCATTAAGTCACACAGTCAGCAAACAGTATTTCACCTTCAGTGTCTAAATGAGTGAATGTGAATGTTGTTTTAAGCTGTGGTCAGGAATATTCTATTGGCGGCCATTCGGTCATAAAATACAAAGTTGAAATAAAGGACATAAGTACGCAATAATAGTCAAATGTTATGAAGAAAGGATTAAATGTTACTAATAAACTCAGAATGTTTTACAAATTGCAGCACCATCTGGTGTTCTTTATTTTCAACGTCATTTGGCCGTTTAGTGTCCTTTTGTGCGCACTGACGTTCTTCAGTACACATTGTTCTTTCTTTTCATATGACGTCTTTTCGTAACATTTGACTATTGTATTGCATACTTTCGACCTTCATTTCAACTTGTATTTTTTAACTGAATTGCCACCATAGTATACAGCTGCATGGCCTGGGCCTCAGGGCCAGTGCTTCACGAACAAGCAACGGTCAATGAAGCCTTATATAAGGACATACTTTCAGCCACAATGTGAGCACTTGGGTTCCTCATTTGAGTAAAGTCTTAATTACTCTTCAACAATGACTTTGACCTTGGAACATTGACATATATGAAACACAATCCTTCTATCAGTCGTAATTGAACCTTTATTAGATGTAAATATGAATAATATTGAAATTTGAAAACATTACAGTTCTATGCCTGTGAAAAGCTTCATGAACATACTTTGAGTCATTTTAGTAGGGTGTTTAAAACCAAGACATATCTCCTACTTGAAGAATTGAATAATTTGATAATGAAACAAATTAATTACATTTGAAAATAAAACAATATTAAAAGAAGACAAATGTGTTGTAGTGAGTGATGTAAACACTGACCTGGACAGCTTCAGTTCCAGTTGTTTGTACAACTATTTATCATATAAAAATTAAAAAACCCAAAACATATATTTCTTTAACAACATAAAAATTCCTTGTGTACTCAACCTAAACCTTACACTGACTTCAGAGAGGATTGGCATGATCTTTGCATAGTTGAAATATACAAGAAACAATCACTGGCTTTGATATACAATCAAGGGTTAGTCACACACACAGATTAACACGTAATTAAGATATATTTCACAACTGTCATCTTTCATTATAATAAAGAAGTGAGTGACTGACTGTTTGGTTTATGCCGCAGTCAGCAATATTCCAGCCATATCAGGACAGCCTGTAAATAATCAAAACCACGCCAGACAAACCTGTGGTTGTAACCATGAGCCACATCCCATGTCCTGTGAGGACCCTTGATAGTCAAGGATAACCCCATAAGTCAGCAATATACAGCTATATCAAGGATAACCCCATACAGTCAGCAATATACAGCTATATCAAGGATAACCAACATACAGTCAGCAATATACAGCCATATCAAGGATAACCCCATAAGTCAGCAATATACAGCTATATCAAGGATAACCCCATACAGTCAGCAATATACAGCCATATCAAGGATAACCCCATACAGTCAGCAATATACAGCCATATCAAGGATAACCCCATACAGTCAGCAATATACAGCCATATCAAGGATAACCCCATACAGTCAGCAATATACAGCCATATCAAGGATAACCCCATAAGTCAGCAATATACAGCCATATCAAGGATAACCCCATAAGTCAGCAATACACAGCCATATCAAGGATAACCCTATAGAGTGAGCAATATACAGCCATATCAAAGATAACCCCATACAGTCAGCAATATACAGCCATATTAAGGATAACCCCATAAGTCAGCAATACACAGCCATATCAAGGATAACCCCATACAGTCAGCAATAAACAGCCATATCAAGGATAACCCCATACAGTCAGCAATATACAGCCATATCAAGGATAACCCCATAAGTCAGCAATATACAGCTATATCAAAGATAACCCCTACAGTCAGCAATAAACAGCCATATCAAGGACTGCTACATCAAGGATAACCCCATACAGTCAGCAATATACAGCTACATCAAGGATAACCCCATATAGTCAGCAATATTCAGCCAAATCAAAGATAACCCCATACAGTCAGCAATATACAGCCATATCAAGGATAACCCCATACAGTCAGCAATATACAGCCATATCAAGGATAACCCCATACAGTCAGCAATATACAGCTATATCAAGGATAACCCCATACAGTCAGCAATATTCAGCCAAATCAAAGATAACCCCATACAGTCAGCAATATACAGCCATATCAAGGATAACCCCATACAGTCAGCAATATACAGCCATATCAAGGATAACCCCATAAGTCAGCAATATACAGCTATATCAAAGATAACCCTATACAGTCAGCAATATTCAGCCAAATCAAAGATAACCCCATACAGTCAGCAATATTCAGCCAAATCAAAGATAACCCCATACAGTCAGCAATATACAGCCATATCAAGGATAACCCCATACAGTCAGCAATATACAGCCATATCAAGGATAACCCCATAAGTCAGCAATATACAGCTATATCAAAGATAACCCTATACAGTCAGCAATATACAGCTATATCAAGGATAACCCCATACAGTCAGCAATATACAGCCATATCAAGGATAACCCCATAAGTCAGCAATATACAGCTATATCAAAGATAACCCTATACAGTCAGCAATATTCAGCCAAATCAAAGATAACCCCATACAGTCAGCAATATTCAGCCAAATCAAAGATAACCCCATACAGTCAGCAATATACAGCCATATCAAGGATAACCCCATACAGTCAGCAATATACAGCCATATCAAGGATAACCCCATAAGTCAGCAATATACAGCTATATCAAAGATAACCCTATACAGTCAGCAATATACAGCTATATCAAGGATAACCCCATACAGTCAGCAATATACAGCTATATCAAAGATAACCCCATCATTCAGCAATACACAGCCATATCAAGGATAACCCCATACAGTCAGCAATATACAGCTATATCAAGGATAACCCCATACAGTCAGCAATATTCAGCCAAATCAAAGATAACCCCATACAGTCAGCAATATACAGCCATATCAAGGATAACCCCATAAGTCAGCAATATACAGCTATATCAAAGATAACCCTATACAGTCAGCAATATACAGCTATATCAAGGATAACCCCATACAGTCAGCAATATATAGCTATATCAAAGATAACCCTATACAGTCAGCAATAAACAGCTAAATCAAAGATAACCCCATACAGTCAGCACTATACAGCTATATCAAGGATAACCCCATACAGTCAGCAATATACAGCTATATCAAAGATAACCCTATACAGTCAGCAATATACAGCTATATCAAAGTTAATCCTAAACAGTCAGCAATATACAGATATATCATGGCTAACCCCTGGCAGCAATATACAGTTATATCAAGGATAACTCTATACAGTCATGATATACAGATATATCATGGCTAACCCCTGGCAGCAATATACAGTTATATCAAGGATAACTCTATACAGTCATGATATACAGATATATCAATTATAACCCAATACAGTCAGCAATATACAGCTATATCAAAGTTAATCCTAAACAGTCAGCAATATACAGATATATCATGGCTAACCCCTGGCAGCAATATACAGTTATATCAAGGATAACTCTATACAGTCATGATATACAGATATATCATGGCTAACCCCTGGCAGCAATATACAGTTATATCAAGGATAACTCTATACAGTCATGATGTACAGATATATCAATTATAACCCAATACAGTCAGCAATATACAGATATATCAAGGATAACTCTATACAATCACGATATACAGATATATCATGGCTAACCCCTGGCAGCAATATACAGTTATATCAAGGATAACTTTATACAGTCATGATATACAGATATATCAATTATAACCCAATACAGTCAGCAATATACAGATATATCAAGGATAACTCTATACAATCACGATATACAGATATATCATGGCTACCCCCCCCCCCCCCCCCCCCCTTAATCAATATACAGATATATCAACATCAACAGGATCACATCTGTGTCCTCAAAACCCATCGGCCATGGTGGTCACCCGATTCTTATCACCTCGTAATTGAGGTATTGGGAAATCCAACAGTGACAAAAATAGTTTGACTTTTAGGAGAGTAATTTCTTGAATTTTATACTTATTTTGAAAATCTTTTAAAAAATATAATAAGCAAATCTGTGCAAGGACAACAAACCCAAACAACTCTGAACCATAAAACAGAAGGCAAGTGTTAGATGACATACACAAAGTCTAGAACTCACATCATCATGACCATGTCACTCCCAGATTATTTTACAGCTATGATATTTAAGGTTATGCGTGCAGGAACCCCCCAATGCTGTTAGTACCAAGCCTCGCCATGAAGCCATGTTAATACAAACACCAGGTTACAGCCTTGGCCAGACACAAACAGGTATATATCAGCAGGAGAGTTAGCTTGTCACCGGGGCCACAATTACATACCATATTTATCAAAACCAAACACTGAAATTAAGGGAAGAAGGAACATCAGAGTAACAACAACGCAGTGCCTCCAGAGTAATGTCCTACCAATATTGAACCTAATTGTCAGTGAGAAATTGAACTCAATTAAACACCAAGTTCAAACAAGTGTTAACATCAGCATACTAGTTCAAGAATATCAATGTACACATTCATGTTATGACACATATTAAACTCAAATGTATCTCACAGTTGACACAGTCAACTTAATGTCGAAGGAAAGCCCGAAGTGATGCAGGTCTCAGACGTTTACCACTTCGGTGAAACCCACGAGCACGGGTCTGGTGCTGACAAACCTAGAAACATAATCGGGTGAGCCCGGGATTTGAACCCACAATCATAGATTTCTGCCGTGCCCAACGGATGCAACTCTGCATAGCGAATCGCGACACCTTAGACGACTGGGCCACCCTTGCCCCCCATCACCCAAGGAGTGTGTCATAGTTGAATGTTTGCCTGATGTGACAAAGCATACCAAACACACAAGTTCTACACTGTTTACATGGTCAGTGACTGAGAACAAACTGTTTCTATTTCTTTCAATCTGATTTTGTTTACTGATCTATGAACTATATCTATCACTTGGCTTAATATACTACAGTTCTACATGGCCATTATTTAAATAGTCTTGAAAGTGTAGTGTTATGTGACATGTTACATGACACAGTCAGCCTTACCTTCCTCCATGCGGGCTTGTACACATGCCTGCAGCATGACAGTCATGGTGTTTTTACTGAGGTTCTCAAGACTGCGCAGCCACTTGGTTGCCTGGGGGAAGCTGTCCAGCTTAGCATAGAGCGGTACCTCCTCTCCCAGGTTGCCTACCACAGACACCACCTGGAGCTTGTCAGCTGTAACACAGAAACAGTATCAACAATATTACCCTGTAGAGCGAACAGTTTTACAAAATAGGACCAAAAGTTTTACCCTGAAGAATGAACAGTTTCACCCAGTAGAAAGAGCATTGCTTATACATGTAGGTTGAACAGTTTTACTCTATATGATGAACAGTTTTACCCTGAAGGATGAACAGTTTTACCCTGAAGGATGAACAGTTTTACCCTGAAGGATGAACAGTTTTACCCTGAAGGATGAACAGTTTTACCCTGAAGGATGAACAGTTTTACCCTGAAGGATGAACAGTTTTACACTGAAGGATGAACAGTTTTACACTGAAGGATGAACAGTTTTACTCTGTATGATGAATAGTTTTACTTTGTATGATGAACAGTTTTACTTGGTATGATGAACAGTTTTATCCTGAAGGATCAACAGTTTTACCCTGAAGGATCAACAGTTTTACCCTGAAGGATCAACAGTTTTACCCTGTATGATGAACAGTTTTACCCTGAAGGATGAACAGTTTTACCCTGTATCAAAACAGTTTTACCCTGTATGATGAACAGTTTTACCCTGAAGGATCAACAATTTTACTTGGTATGATGAACAGTTTGACCCTGTATGATGAACAGTTTGAACCTGTATGATGAACAGTTTTACACAGCAGGATGAACTTTTTTACCCTGAAGGATGAACTTTTACCCTGCGGCATAAAATGTTTCACCCAGTAGGATGAACAGTTTTACCCCAAAAGCTGAACAAGTTTACTCTGTAGGGTGAACAGTTTTACCCTGAAGGATGAACAGTTTTACCCTGAAGGGTGAACAGTTTTACTCTGTAGGATGAAATGTTTTACCCTTTAGGATTAACAGTTCTACCCTAAAGGGTGAACAGTTTTACCCTGTAGGGTGAATAGTTTTACGATGTAGGATTAACAGTTTTACCCTGAAGGGTGAATAGTTTTACCATGTAGGATTAACAGTTTTTACCCTAAAGGGTGAACAGTTTTACACTGTAGGGTGAAATGTTTTACCCTGTGGGATTAACAGTTTTACCCTGAAGGGTGAATAGTTTTACCATGTAGGATTAACAGTTTTAGCCTGAAGGGTGAACAGTTTTACACTGTAGGGTGAAATGTTTTACCCTGTGGGATTAACAGTTTTACCCTGAAGGGTGAATAGTTTTACCATGTAGGATTAACAGTTTTACCCTGAAGGGTGAATAGTTTTACCATGTAGGATTAACAGTTTTACCCTGAAGGGTGAATAGTTTTACCATGTAGGATTAACAGTTTTAGCCTGAAGGATGAACAGTTTTACACTGTAGGGTGAACAGTTTTACACTGTAGGATTAACAGTTTTACCCTGAAGGGTGAACAGTTTTACCATGTAGGATTAACAGTTTTACCCTGAAGGGTGAATAGTTTTACCATGTAGGATTAACAGTTTTACCCTGAAGGGTGAACAGTTTTATTTGGTAGGGTGAAATGTTTTACCCTGTGGGATTAACAGTTTTACCCGGAAGGGTGAATAGTTTTACCATGTAGGATTAACAGTTTTACCCTGAAGGGTGAATACTTTTACCATGTAGGATTAACAGTTTTACCATGTAGGATTAAGTTTTACCCTGAAGGGTCAATAGTTTTACCATGTAGGATTAACAGTTTTAGCCTGAAGGGTGAACAATTTTAAACTGTAGGGTGAAATGTTTTACCCTGTGGGATTAACAGTTTTAGCCTGAAGGGTGAACAGTTTTACACTGTAGGATTAACAGTTTTACCCTGAAGGGTGAACAGTTTTACCATGTAGGATTAACAGTTTTACCCTGAAGGGTGAACAGTTTTACCATGTAGGATTAACAATTTTACCATGTAGGATTAACAGTTTTACCCTGAAGGGTGAACAGTTTTACCATGTAGGATTAACAGTTTTAGACTGAAGGGTGAATAGTTTTACACTGTAGGATTAACAGTTTTACCATGTAGGATTAACAGTTTTACCCTGAAGGGTGAACAGTTTTACCATGTAGGATTAACAGTTTTAGCCTGAAGGGTGAATAGTTTTACACTGTAGGATTCACAGTTTTACCCTGAAGGGTGAACAGTTTTATTTGGTAGGGTGAAATGTTTTACCCTGTGGGATTAACAGTTTTACCCTGAAGGGTGAACAGTTTTACCATGTAGGATTAACAGTTTTACCCTGAAGGGTGAACAGTTTTACCATGTAGGATTAACAGTTTTACACTGTAGGATTATCAGTTTTACCCTGAAGGGTGAACAGTTTTATTTGGTAGGGTGAAATGTTTTACCCTGTGGGATTAACAGTTTTACCCTGAAGGGTGAACAGTTTTACCATGTAGGAGAAACAGTTTTATAGTTACATAATAAGTCAACAGCAAAAAGGAGAAATACCATTCAGGGCAAAGTCCAGGGTGGAGTTGAGTGATGTAATCTCTGGGGGTAGGGCGAAGATGAGGTTCTGTATCCCAGGGAAGCACCTGCGGACATAGGGGATCAGTGCCTTGGGGTTACGTGAGATGCCAGACATGTCCACCATCTCTTGGTCACTCAGGAAGTACAGCCGCGGGAACTGAGTACGGGACTTTTCAATATAGACATTGATGTCCTTCAAGATCTCCTCCTGAAAGTGTTAAATGTAAGATGCTGGAGAATCACCTGTCACAACCCAGTGGGATAACTGGAACTCTGAGGACTGACTACACAGGGATAAACCAACATAAACATTTGGGGCTTTATGTGAGAGAGGTCTAACAACCAACTAATGTGTATATGAAGTCTGTCTAACAACCTATGCTGTGTGTGTATGAGAGACAGTACTTAACTGTATGTGTATGAGAGACAGCACCTACCTGTGTGTGTGAGAGACAGCACCTTCCTGTGTATGAGAGACAGAACCTACCTGTATGTATGAGAGACAGTACTTAACTATGTGTGTATGAGAGACAGAACCTACCTGTGTGTGTATGAGAGACAGTACCAACCTGTGTGTATGAGAGACAGCACCTACCTGTGTGTATGAGAGACAGCACTTACCTGTGTGTGTGAGAGACAGCACCTACCTGTGTGTATGAGAGACAGCACCTACCTGTGTGTGTGAGAGACAGCACCTACCTGTGTGTATGGGAGACAGAACCTACCTGTGTGTGTGAGAGACAGAACCTACCTGTGTGTGTGAGAGACATCACCTTCCTGTGTATGAGAGACAGAACCCACCTGTATGTATGAGAGACAGTACTTAACTGTGTGTGTATGAGAGACAGAACCTACCTGTGTGTGTGAGAGACAGCACCTTCCTGTGTGTATGGGAGACAGCACCCACCTGTGTGTGTATGAGAGACAGCACCTACCTGTGTGTGTGAGAAACAGCACCTACCTGTGTGTATGGGAGACAGAACCTACCTGTGTGTGTGAGAGACAGCACCTTCCTGTGTATGAGAGACAGAACCTACCTGTGTGTGTATGAGAGACAGACCTGCCTGTGTGTGTGTATGAGAGACAGAACCTACCTGTGTGTGTGAGAGACAGCACCTACCTGTGTGTGTGAGAGACAGCACCTTCTTGTGTATGAGAGACAGAACCTACCTGTGTGTGTATGAGAGACAGACCTACCTGTGTGTGTGTATGAGAGACAGCACCTACCTGTGTGTGTATGAGAGACAGCACCTACCTGTGTGTGTGAGAGACAGCACCTTCCCGTGTATGAGAGACAGAACCTACCTGTGTGTGTATGAGAGACAGACCTACTTGTGTGTGTATGAGAGACAGCACCTACCTGTGTATGTATGAGAGACAGCACCTACCTGTGTGTGTATGAGAGACAGCACCTTCCTGTATGTGTATGAAAGACAGTACCTACCTGTGTGTGTATGAGAGACAGTACTTAACTGTGTGTGTATGAGAGACAGAACCTACCTGTGTGTATGAGAGACAGCACCTTCCTGTGTGTATGGGAGACAGAACCTACCTGTGTGTGTATGAGAGACAGCACCTACCTGTGTGTATGAGAGACAGCACCTTCCTGTGTATGAGAGACAGAACCTACCTGTGTGTGTATGAGAGACAGAACCTACCTATGTGTGTATGAGAGACAGCACCTACCTGTGTGTGTATGAGGGACAGCACCTACCTGTGTGTGTATGAGAGACAGCAGCATGGAGCGGAGATTGTTCCCCTGCAGGAAGCGGTACCCCTTCTCTCCCCACTTCCTGCCCACGACAGACATGACACTGGAGTCATTGGACACCACACGCATCCAGTCCTGGAATAATGCATAGAAGATTGAGACAACCAAGCACACCATTCACTACTCGGATACCACACGCATCCAGTCCTGGAATAATGCATAGAAGACTGAGACAACCAAGCACACCATTCACTACTCGGATACCACACGCATCCAGTCCTGGAATAATGCATAGAAGATTGAGACAACCAAGCACACCATTCACTTCTCGGATACCACACGCATCCAGTCCTGGAATAATGCATAGAAGACTGTGACAACCAAGCACACCATTCACTTCTCGGAAACCACACGCATCCAGTCCTGGAATAATGCATAGAAGACTGAGACAACCAAGCACACCATTCACTTCTTGGATACCACACGCATCCAGTCCTGGAATAATGCATAGAAGACTGTGACAACCAAGCACACCATTCACTTCTCGGAAACCACATGCATCCAGTCCTGGAATAATGCATAGAAGACTGAGACAACCAAGCACACCATTCACTACTCGGATACCACACGCATCCAGTCCTGGAATAATGCATAGAAGACTGAGACAACCAAGCACACCATTCACTACTCGGATACCACACGCATCCAGTCCTGGAATAATGCATAGAAGACTGAGACAACCAAGCACACCATTCACTACTCGGATACCACACGCATCCAGTCCTGGAATAATGCATAGAAGACTGAGACAACCAAGCACACCATTCACTACTTGGATACCACACGCATCCAGTCCTGGAATAATGCATAGAAGACTGAGACAACCAAGCACACCATTCACTACTCGGATACCACATGCATCCAGTCCTGGAATAATGCATAGAAGACTGAGACAACCAAGCACACCATTCACTACTCGGATACCACACGCATCCAGTCCTGTAATAATGCATAGAAGACTGAGACAACCAAGCACACCATTCACTACTCGGATACCACACGCATCCAGTCCTGGAATAATGCATAGAAGACTGAGACAACCAAGCACACCATTCACTTCTCGGATACCACACGCATCCAGTCCTGGAATAATGCATAGAAGACTGAGACAACCAAGCACACCATTCACTACTCGGATACCACACGCATCCAGTCCTGGAATAATGCATAGAAGACTGAGAAAACCAAGCACACCATGCACTACTCGGAAACCACACGCATCCAGTCCTGGAATAATGCATAGAAGACTGAGACAACCAAGCACACCATTCACTACTCGGATACCACACGCATCCAGTCCTGGAATAATGCATAGAAGACTGAGACAACCAAGCACACCATTCACTACTCGGATACCACACGCATCCAGTCCTGGAATAATGCATAGAAGACTGAGACAACCAAGCACACCATTCACTACTCGGATACCACACGCATCCAGTCCTGGAATAATGCATAGAAGATTGAGACAACCAAGCACACCATTCACTACTCGGATACCACACGCATCCAGTCCTGGAATAATGCATAGAAGACTGAGACAACCAAGCACACCATTCACTTCTCGGATACCACACGCATCCAGTCCTGGAATAATGCATAGAAGACTGAGACAACCAAGCACACCATTCACTACTCGGATACCACATGCATCCAGTCCTGGAATAATGCATAGAAGACTGAGACAACCAAGCACACCATTCACTACTCGGATACCACACGCATCCAGTCCTGGAATAATGCATAGAAGACTGAGACAACCAAGCACACCATCCACTACTCGGATACCACACGCATCCAGTCCTGGAATAATGCATAGAAGACTGAGACAACCAAGCACACCATTCACTTCTCGGATACCACACGCATCCAGTCCTGGAATAATGCATAGAAGACTGAGACAACCAAGCACACCATTCACTTCTCGGATACCACACGCATCCAGTCCTGGAATAATGCATAGAAGACTGTGACAACCAAGCACACCATTCACTTCTCGGAAACCACACGCATCCAGTCCTGGAATAATGCATAGAAGACTGAGACAACCAAGCACACCATTCACTACTCGGATACCAAACGCATCCAGTCCTGGAATAATGCATAGAAGACTGAGACAACCAAGCACACCATTCACTACTCGGATACCACACGCATCCAGTCCTGGAATAATGCATAGAAGACTGAGACAACCAAGCACACCATTCACTACTCGGATACCACATGCATCCAGTCCTGGAAGAATGCATAGAAGACTGAGACAACCAAGCACACCATTCACTACTTGGATACCACACGCATCCAGTCCTGGAATAATGCATAGAAGACTGAGACAACCAAGCACACCATTCACTACTCGGATACCACACGCATCCAGTCCTGGAATAATGCATAGAAGACTGAGACAACCAAGCACACCATTCACTACTCGGATACCACATGCATCCAGTCCTGGAATAATGCATAGAAGACTGAGACAACCAAGCACACCATTCACTACTCGGATACCACACGCATCCAGTCCTGGAATAATGCATAGAAGACTGAGACAACCAAGCACACCATTCACTACTCGGAAACCACACGCATCCAGTCCTGGAATAATGCATAGAAGACTGAGACAACCAAGCACACCATTCACTACTCGGATACCACACGCATCCAGTCCTGGAATAATGCATAGAAGACTGAGACAACCAAGCACACCATTCACTACTCGGATACCACACGCATCCAGTCCTGGAATAATGCATAGAAGACTGAGACAACCAAGCACACCATTCACTACTCGGATACCACACGCATCCAGTCCTGGAATAATGCATAGAAGACTGAGACAACCAAGCACACCATTCACTACTCGGATACCACATGCATCCAGTCCTGGAATAATGCATAGAAGACTGAGACAACCAAGCACACCATTCACTTCTCGGATACCACACGCATCCAGTCCTGGAATAATGCATAGAAGACTGAGACAACCAAGCACACCATTCACTACTCGGATACCACATGCATCCAGTCCTGGAATAATGCATAGAAGACTGAGACAACCAAGCACACCATTCACTACTCGGATACCACACGCATCCAGTCCTGGAATAATGCATAGAAGACTGAGACAACCAAGCACACCATCCACTACTCGGATACCACACGCATCCAGTCCTGGAATAATGCATAGAAGACTGAGACAACCAAGCACACCATTCACTTCTCGGATACCACACGCATCCAGTCCTGGAATAATGCATAGAAGACTGAGACAACCAAGCACACCATTCACTACTCGGATACCACACGCATCCAGTCCTGGAATAATGCATAGAAGATTGAGACAACCAAGCACACCATTCACTTCTCGGATACCACACGCATCCAGTCCTGGAATAATGCATAGAAGACTGAGACAACCAAGCACACCATTCACTACTCGGATACCACACGCATCCAGTCCTGGAATAATGCATAGAAGACTGAGACAACCAAGCACACCATTCACTACTCGGATACCACACGCATCCAGTCCTGGAATAATGCATAGAAGACTGAGACAACCAAGCACACCATCCACTACTCGGATACCACACGCATCCAGTCCTGGAATAATGCATAGAAGACTGAGACAACCAAGCACACCATTCACTACTCGGATACCACACGCATCCAGTCCTGGAATAATGCATAGAAGACTGAGACAACCAAGCACACCATTCACTACTCGGATACCACACGCATCCAGTCCTGGAATAATGCATAGAAGACTTAGACAACCAAGCATACCATTCACTACTCGGATACCACTGGGCAGTGAGTCATTATTCTGTTGACATCAAAGATAATCAACCAGTACACATTATAACATCCGATTTGTTTCTTTATCTGCCATTCAGAATGGTCCAATCAAGTTCATGTTATGAGACACATATTCTCTTTAAAGCAACTCTAGTGTCAGCAACTTCTGAAGGGTCTTCACTTGCCTGTTGGGAATACCTGTTTCGTTATACGTCAGTGGCTCATTTGATTTGCCTTGATTCGATATTTCATGTTATGAATAAGCTGTGATATAGTATTTCACAACAGTCCTGTTATCGAGAATTTGCAAATAAATTACATTTTTTATGTGAAATGACTCTTTTTGTCTCTCTTGTGAATTGGTATAATCTGTTATCTTTTCTTATGTCGAAATAGGGAATGCTTTGCAACCAAACCTTGAACTGGTTGTGAACTTGCTCTTCAAACTTGGTTGCCTGTCCGGAGAATTTCCGATACAGTTCGGGCTTCTCAAATATCTTCAGCAGATACAACCACTGTAAAGCAGAGAGCATGACTTCAAGTTGTACAGCAACACTGCTTTAAATTATTATTTGCATATTTTGTTTGCAGGAAGGTATAAGGGTGTCATTTGGGCTGGCTTTAATGTCCCATGAAGTCCTCGATGAATCATCTATAACGTTATTTACATTCTGAAGAATAATTTACCTTTTGGACATGAAAGAAACTCAAATTCAACTGAATTGAATGTTATCACTAATATGAAAAAAACACTTGTTTGCTCAGACGCTGTTGTGTCACTTTGAGTCAACAAGGAATGTTAGATTAGCTTCAGTTGGGAACTGAGGAGATCAATTATATTGATTACATGAATCATGCTTGCACAGATGTGTAACTGTCTCACCTTTCTCTGTGACGTGAGCCAGAGATCTGTGATCTCATCCACCTGTCTGAGGGCACGACACCAGTGCGTCACAGTTTCCTCCATGTCCCCCAGGTAGGGAGAGCAGGCCATGGCATCCAGGCTGATACGACTGTCCTGAAGTAGAAACACCACAATACATGGAGGCTGATACGACTGTCCTGAAGTAGAAACACCACAATACATGGAGGCTGATACGACTGTCCTGAAGTAGGAACACCACAATACATGGAGGCTGATACGACTGTCCTGAAGTAGAAACACCACAATACATGGAGCCTGATACGACTGTCCTGAAGTAGAAACACCACAATACATGGAGCCTGATACGACTGTCCTGAAGTAGAAACACCACAATACATGGAGGCTGATACGACTGTCCTCAAGTAGGAACACCACAATACATTGGAGGCTGATACGACTGTCCTGAAGTAGGAACACCACAATACATGGAGGCTGATACGACTGTCCTGAAGTAGAAACACCACAATACAAGGAGCCTGATACGACTGTCCTGAAGTAGAAACACCACAATACATGGAGGCTGATACGACCGTCCTGAAGTAGGAACACCACAATACATGGAGGCTGATACGACTGTCCTGAAGTAGATACACCACAATACATGGAGGCTGATACGATTGTCCTGAAGTAGAAACACCACAATACATGGAGGCTGATACGACTGTCCTGAAGTAGAAACACCACAATACATGGAGCCTGATACGACTGTCCTGAAGTAGAAACACCACAATAAAAAACACATGGAGGCTGATACGACTGTCCTGAAGTAGAAACACCACAATACATGGAGGCTGATACGACTGTCCTGAAGTAGAAACACCACAATACATGGAGGCTGATACGACTGTCCTGAAGTAGATACACCACAATACATGGAGGCTGATACGACTGTCCTGAAGTAGAAACACCACAATACATGGAGCCTGATACGACTGTCCTGAAGTAGAAACACCACAATAAAAAACACATGGAGGCTGATACGACTGTCCTGAAGTAGAAACACCACAATACATGGAGGCTGATACGACTGTCCTGAAGTAGAAACACCACAATACATGGAGGCTGATACGACTGTCCTGAAGTAGAAACACCACAATACATGGAGCCTGATACGACTGTCCTGAAGTAGAAACACCACAATAAAAAACACATGGAGGCTGATACGACTGTCCTGAAGTAGAAACACCACAATACATGGAGGCTGATACGACTGTCCTGAATTAGAAACACCACAATCCATGGAGGCTGATATGACTGTCCTGAAGTAGGAACACCACAATACATATAGGCTGATACGACTGTCCTGAAGTAGAAACACCACAATACATGGAGGCTGATACGACTGTCCTGAAGTAGGAACACCACAATACATGGAGACTGATACGACTGTCCTGAAGTAGAAACACCACAATACATGGAGCCTTATACGACTGTCCTGAAGTAGAAACACCACAATACATGGAGGCTGATACGACTGTCCTGAAGTAGAAACACCACAATACATGGAGGCTGATACGACTGTCCTGAAGTAGGAACACCACAATACATGGAGACTGATACGACTGTCCTGAAGTAGAAACACCACAATACATGGAGGCTGATACGACCGTCCTGAAGTAGGAACACCACAATACATGGAGGCTGATACGACTGTCCTGAAGTAGAAACACCACAATGCATGGAGGCTGATACGACTGTCCTCAAGTAGAAACACCACAATAAAAAACACATGGAGGCTGATACGACTGTCCTGAAGTAGAAACACCACAATACATGGAGCCTGATACGACTGTCCTGAAGTAGAAACACCACAATACATGGAGGCTGATACGACTGTCCTGAAGTAGAAACACCACAATACATGGAGCCTGATACGACTGTCCTGAAGTAGAAACACCACAATACATGGAGCCCGATACGACTGTCCTGAAGTAGAAACACCACAATACATGGAGCCTGATACGACTGTCCTGAAGTAGAAACACCACAATACATGGAGGCTGATACGACTGTCCTGAAGTAGAAACACCACAATACATGGAGCCTGATACGACTGTCCTGAAGTAGAAACACCACAATACATGGAGGCTGATACGACTGTCCTGAAGTAGAAACACCACAATACATGGAGGCTGATACGACTGTCCTGAAGTAGGAACACCACAATACATATAGGCTGATACGACTGTCCTGAAGTAGAAACACCACAATACATGGAGGCTGATACGACTGTCCTGAAGTAGGAACACCACAATACATGGAGACTGATACGACTGTCCTGAAGTAGAAACACCACAATACATGGAGGCTGATACGACCGTCCTGAAGTAGGAACACCACAATACATGGAGGCTGATACGACTGTCCTGAAGTAGAAACACCACAATGCATGGAGGCTGATACGACTGTCCTCAAGTAGAAACACCACAATAAAAAACACATGGAGGCTGATACGACTGTCCTGAAGTAGAAACACCACAATACATGGAGCCTGATACGACTGTCCTGAAGTAGAAACACCACAATACATGGAGGCTGATACGACTGTCCTGAAGTAGAAACACCACAATACATGGAGGCTGATACGACTGTCCTGAAGTAGAAACACCACAATGCATGGAGGCTGATACGACTGTCCTGAAGTAGAAACACCACAATACATGGAGGCTGATACGACTGTCCTGAAGTAGAAACACCACAATACATGGAGCCTGATACGACTGTCCTGAAGTAGAAACACCACAATACATGGAGCCCGATACGACTGTCCTGAAGTAGAAACACCACAATACATGGAGCCTGATACGACTGTCCTGAAGTAGAAACACCACAATACATGGAGGCTGGTACGACTGTCCTGAAGTAGAAACACCACAATACATGGAGCCTGATACGACTGTCCTGAAGTAGAAACACCACAATAAAAAACACATGGAGGCTGATACGACTGTCCTGAAGTAGAAACACCACAATACATGGAGCCTGATACGACTGTCCTCAAGTAGAAACACAACAATAAAAAACACATGGAGGCTGATACGACTGTCCTGAAGTAGAAACACCACAATAAAAAACACATGGAGGCTGATACGACTGTCCTGAAGTAGAAACACCACAATACATGGAGGCTGATACGACTGTCCTGAAGTAGAAACACCACAATACATGGAGACTGATACGACTGTCCTGAAGTAGAAACACCACAATACATGGAGGCTGATACGACTGTCCTGAAGTAGAAACACCACAATACATGGAGCCTGATACGACTGTCCTCAAGTAGAAACACCACAATACATGGAGCCTGATACGACTGTCCTGAAGTAGAAACACCACAATACATGGAGCCCGATACGACTGTCCTGAAGTAGAAACACCACAATACATGGAGCCTGATACGACTGTCCTGAAGTAGAAACACCACAATACATGAAGGCTGATACGACTGTCCTGAAGTAGAAACACCACAATACATGGAGGCTGATACGACTGTCCTGAAGTAGAAACACCACAATACATGGAGGCTGATACGACTGTCCTGAAGTAGAAACACAACAATACATGGAGCCTGATACGACTGTCCTGAAGTAGAAACACCACAATAAAAAACACATGGAGGCTGATACGACTGTCCTGAAGTAGAAACACCACAATACATGGAGCCTGATACGACTGTCCTGAAGTAGAAACACAACAATAAAAAACACATGGAGGCTGATACGACTGTCCTGAAGTAGAAACACCACAATAAAAAACACATGGAGCCTGATACGACTGTCCTGAAGTAGAAACACCACAATACATGGAGGCTGATACGACTGTCCTGAAGTAGAAACACCACAATACATGGAGCCTGTTACGACTGTCCTGAAGTAGAAACACCACAATACATGGAGGCTGATACGACTGTCCTGAAGTAGAAACACCACAATACATGGAGCCTGATACGACTGTCCTGAAGTAGGAACACCACAATACATGGAGACTGATACGACTGTCCTGAAGTAGAAACACCACAATACATGGAGCCTTATACGACTGTCCTGAAGTAGAAACACCACAATACATGGAGGCTGATACGACTGTCCTGAAGTAGAAACACCACAATACATGGAGGCTGATACGACTGTCCTGAAGTAGGAACACCACAATACATGGAGACTGATACGACTGTCCTGAAGTAGAAACACCACAATACATGGAGGCTGATACGACCGTCCTGAAGTAGAAACACCACAATAAAAAACACATGGAGGCTGATACGACTGTCCTGAAGTAGAAACACCACAATACATGGAGCCTGATACGACTGTCCTGAAGTAGAAACACAACAATAAAAAACACATGGAGGCTGATACGACTGTCCTGAAGTAGAAACACCACAATAAAAAACACATGGAGCCTGATACGACTGTCCTGAAGTAGAAACACCACAATACATGGAGGCTGATACGACTGTCCTGAAGTAGAAACACCACAATACATGGAGGCTGATACGACTGTCCTGAAGTAGAAACACCACAATACATGGAGCCTGATACGACTGTCCTGAAGTAGAAACACCACAATACATGAAGGCTGATACGACTGTCCTGAAGTAGAAACACCACAATACATTGAGGCTGATACGACTGTCCTGAAGTAGAAACACCACAATACATGGAGCCTGATACGACTGTCCTGAAGTAGGAACACCACAATACATGGAGCCTGATACGACTGTCCTGAAGTAGAAACACCACAATACAAGGAGCCTGATACGACTGTCCTGAAGTAGAAACACCACAATACATGGAGGCTGATACGACTGTCCTGAAGTAGAAACACCACAATACATGGAGGCTGATACGACTGTCCTGAAGTAGAAACACCACAATACATGGAGGCTGATACGACTGTCCTGAAGTAGGAACACCACAATACATGGAGCCTGATACGACTGTCCTGAAGTAGAAACACCACAATACATGGAGGCTGATACGACTGTCCTGAAGTAGAAACACCACAATACATGGAGCCTGTTACGACTGTCCTGAAGTAGAAACACCACAATACATGGAGGCTGATACGACTGTCCTGAAGTAGAAACACCACAATACATGGAGCCTGATACGACTGTCCTGAAGTAGAAACACCACAATACATGAAGGCTGATACGACTGTCCTGAAGTAGAAACACCACAATACACTGAGGCTGATACGACTGTCCTGAAGTAGAAACACCACAATACATGGAGCCTGATACGACTGTCCTGAAGTAGGAACACCACAATACATGGAGCCTGATACGACTGTCCTGAAGTAGAAACACCACAATACAAGGAGCCTGATACGACTGTCCTGAAGTAGAAACACCACAATACATGGAGGCTGATACGACTGTCCTGAAGTAGAAACACCACAATACATGGAGGCTGATACGACTGTCCTGAAGTAGAAACACCACAATACATGGAGGCTGATACGACTGTCCTGAAGTAGGAACACCACAATACATGGAGCCTGATACGACTGTCCTGAAGTAGAAACACCACAATACAAGGAGCCTGATACGACTGTCCTGAAGTAGAAACACCACAATACATGGAGGCTGATACGACTGTCCTGAAGTAGAAACACCACAATACATGGAGGTTGATACGACTGTCCTGAAGTAGAAACACCACAATACATGGAGGCTGATACGACCGTCCTGAAGTAGGAACACCACAATACATGGAGCCTGATACGACTGTCCTCAAGTAGAATACCACAATAAAAAACACATGGAGGCTGATACTACAGTCCTGAAGTAGGAACACCACAATACATGGAGGCTGATACGACTGTCCTGAAGTAGAAACACCACAATGCATGGAGGCTGATACGACTGTCCTGAAGTAGGAACACCACAATACATGGAGGCTGATACGACTGTCCTGAAGTAGGAACAGAGTACAAAAACAAGGCTGAAAAAGTAAACAATCCATTCACAGACAATGATGTTTGAATGCTTGAAATGCTTTCACCCTCAAGTGCTGAGAAAGTTTTATTAAACCTCAGTGTCACTGCTTAACTTACCTCCAGCTGGTATTTGAGTTCCTCCACCTCAATAAGGGTGTAGAAGTCATCAGATGCAACGTCCAGACCCCGTAGGGTCCCAGCTGCAAGTGCTGCCCTCTCCTGGCGATACCTCTCCAGCTTAGAGTGACGTCTGCTCAGGGAGGATGTACGCTTTGTTGGCTCTGAAAAAGAGTTAAGATAATTGCAAAGTTATGTTTTGGAAGAAAGTTTCATCTTGGAGCTATTCACCCTCTATATCTACAGGGCTACGTTTTGGCAAACCTACCCTTACCCCTGGACCAATGCCTGTGGTATTTGCAATCTCAAATTACTTGCCCTTGATTTCTTTGAGCAAATCTGATTGGCTACACAATTAGGTCTAACGTACCAATCATAATGCAAACCAGCCTCAATGTTGGGTTGGCGATATCAACAACATAGCAGCCAGTCCCACTGATTACGATAGTGTTTGCGAGAAATTCAACTCTGAAAAACTGATATGCAAAAGAAAGCCCTTACAAATCCTTTTGATGGAAAGTATGTCTTCATGTCCATCAAAACTGGCGGTAGCTTTGGTTTCTAACTCCCTTACCCAATTTCTTTTTCCCTATCTCAACGTTTGATTGGTTGGTAATATAAGGAAAATCAAGGGCAGGTAATTTGAGATTACAAGAATTACAAGAATGGATCCAGGGGTAAGTGCAGGTCTACCAGAATGCTAGCCCTGGAGATATGGAGGATGGGAGCTGTTTGAAAGGATAGGTAAGTGTATTAGTAAAAAAACAAGATCATTACACATATTACATATATTTCAGGGATAAACTAACATAATTTGCTGATCACAACAAACCACAGAAAAGAGAGTGAATGACAATGGTTTTATGTTGCCTTGAGACGTATTTCACATATATCACTTTGCCAGCTTAGTGTTGGAGGAAAGCCCAAAGTGACACAGACATAGACTTTCCCAACCTTTTACAACAAACATTGGTATGAGGCTGACAGACACAGGATAATGAAAACCAACAATCAGTAGATCCTGTTCAGCCGAAGGGATGCAATTATTATGAAAAGATTGGGATACTGGAGACTTATTATAGAAGGACAGATAATCTCTGGATGCGTACCTTTCACAAAGAGACTGTCAGGAATGTGCTTAGCAAGCTTGAACTCTCTAGCTTCCCAGAACTTTCGAATCTTGCCAAACTTAAGTTCAAGGTCATACTCATTGATGGCTGACAAGAAGACCGACTGGATGAGATCTGCATGCTCCACAAGGCTGTAGGAGAGAAGGTCGGACACCAGGAACTGCTGGGTCGGGTCATAAGGCTCATTCATACCCAGGAAGATTGCCTTCCAGTGGCGCTCCTAGAAACAATCACACAACAAATAAGTTGAAAGGACAATCTGGGAATGAGAATTTAATCATTTCACACCCTTAGATACAAATTCAAAAGCATTGAAAACATCTAGGCTGCGCCCTTCACTAGTAAACTTCAGATTCAGACTCACAAAGCAACCAAAGATCTACAACAGTTGAATTTCCCCAACTTTAACATTGGTCCAATCATAGATCATTGGGTAGGGAAGTCACAATCAAACATAACATGCTTTGGACGGTTGGACTGAAAAAAATGGGGAAAATATTATAGAGCAAGGCATGAAAAAACTTATGTTTATTAGAACATACTTTGACATCATATTGAGGGTCATGGAAAAAAACATACAAATATTTAGGGAGGATCCCCAGGTGAATGACAGAACATTACATGGTCTGACGTGTAAGAGATTAATTGACGGCATATGGCAGGCCCTTTTTCCAGTTTGAGAATGAGGAAGTAGGTGCACACCTTGAGAGCTTCATTGGAGAGCCTGTGGAGAAGTGGCAGATCCTTCTTGAACTCCTGCAGTGTGGTGAACCAGGTACTCAGCACGCGGTCGCCGTAAGGCACGTGGGGTTTCAGTTGTGCTGCTGCCGACTGCCACTCCATCACCTTCTCCAGAGACTTCTTGATATGCATCTGTATGAGAGACAAAGAGTTGGGTTAACCCTGCTTAGCACTTGCTTCCATTCCTTGATGACACTCACTAAAAGACACATCAATGCATCTCCACAGCAAAAGCTAACAAATTACTTTCTTGAAGTTTATCTGTTTCCATTGGTTGATGGCACTAGTGGACACTTTAATGTATCTACACAAAACAAGCTAACAAACTCACCTTCTTGAAGAGCATCTGCTTCCATTGTTTGATGGCGCTGATGGACACCTTAATTAATCTACACAGAACAAGCTAACCAACTCACCTTCTTGAAGAGCATCTGCTTCCATTTGTTGATGGCGCTGATGGACACTCCATTGTATGTCCACAATAGAAGCTAACCAACTCACCTTCTTGAAGAGCATCTGCTTCCATTGGTTGATGGCGCTGATGGACACTCCATTGTATGTCCACAATAGAAGCTAACCAACTCACCTTCTTGAAGAGCATCTGCTTCCATTGGTTGATGGCGCTGATGGACACTTTAATGTATCTACACAAAACAAGCTAACAAACTCACCTTCTTGAAGAGCATCTGCTTTCATTGTTTGATGGCGCTGATGGACACCTTAATTAATCTACACAGAACAAGCTAACAAACTCACCTTCATGAAATTCATCTGTTTCCATTCCTTGATGGCGCTAGTGGACACTTTAATGTATCTACACAGAACAAGCTAACCAACGCACCTTCTTGAAGAGCATCTGCTTCCATTGGTTGATGGCGCTGATGGACACTCCATTGTATGTCCACAATATAAGCTAACCAACTCACCTTCTTGAAGAGCATCTGCTTCCATTGGTTGATGGCGCTGATGGACACTTTCATGTATCTGGACAGAACAAGCTAACCAACTCACCTTCTTGAAGAGCATCTGCTTCCATTCCTTGATAGAGCTGGTGGACACTTCCACGTATCTCCAAAGCTGCTGTCGAACATCCATCTCTACTGTCATCTTGTTGAGGAACTTGAGGTCATATGGCTCCCCACAGATTGCCTCTCGCCACTTGCTCGCTTCCTTCAACTGACTCTGAACTGAGAAGAACTTCTCACGGATCTAGAATAACACTCAAAGTCAGTACCTGTGTCCCTACATGATGATCAAAATGAAGCCTGAAGATCATTTTTTAAATTTAGTATGTCTATCATATAGATATGCAAGGTCAGAATTATAATATATTGTCTATTTCTGATATGAAACATTTTCACACAAACCGAATAAAATGAAAAACCAAGCCAAAATTTCAAACTTTTCTTGAAATGATCAGCAAGGCCTTGTTCAAAGTTGCTTTGAATGTAGACTTATTGTTGAATCGTAGGCTAATGCCTGTGCATCCAATGAAACGCACCCCTTTCATAACTCTGAGTATCTTCATAGGGTTGTTGTCTGGATCCAGGAAGATGCCGCTCGTGGCTTCCTCAGAGAGCTCCTTTGCTGCTTTCTCCAGGCGCTGCATGACATACAAATGGTACAGACATGCACATGGTACAGACATGCACATGGTACAGACATGCACATGGTACAGACATGCACATGGTACAGACATGCACATGGTACAGATATACAAGCATACACACATTACTAAATGATTCCAGGTTACATACTGAACACAGCAACAGCTGATTTGATTCTCAGTGTGATGTGACAGCACTGCAACTACCAAATGCCTATACTGTAACCTAGACATCTGAAAGTCTTAGCACAAAGATCACGTGGTAAGTTTGTAGCACACGGTTCTGATACATTTCTACTCCATGACAAAGGCATTGACCTCTGCAAGTTTACTGTGACAGATAAAAAATTAGTGTAAAGATGACCCTTACTGTTTACAGTCCACTACCGATAACAGTTGTCTACCAAACTTCTACATGCCAAAACTTCTACACTTAGTTAAAACAGCAAAGGAATTGTCCCTGCTGCTGTAATTGAGCATCCCATGAAAAGGGATTAGGTGAGGAGGATGCTCACACAGTAACAACTGAGTCTGATCAAACATGTTTATCTGGTTGATGTACCAATAAACTGTAATGACACTGCCAAACTTGTCCACACTGAATAGAAAGCATACATACATTACATGGGAGATAGTGTCAGCTACAGGAGCAGCTTACCCAGGACAGAAGACACTGTACCACTCTCCAACATGGACGCTGTTGGGCAGCTACCTAAACTTGAGTAGGCTCACACACTGTCACATTAAATCATAAACTAAGAATTTATGCTTTTAATTTTTTGTATTATGTCACTAGTTTCAGTCATGGATCAATATGTCAATCAACAAGTAATAATCTTGTCATATTTAGATGTTTTGGGACACAATCAGACTAACCCATTCTCAAGCTAACAGTAACAGGCGGGGCATCTGCTGTGCAGTGGACGTTGTACTTTGTAGTTAAGTCTGTAGAAGTCTTGGACACAATCAGACTAACCCATTCTCAAGCTAACAGTAACAGGTGGGGCATCTGCTGTGCAGTGGACGTTGTACTTTGTAGTTTAGTCTGTAGAAGTCTTGGACACAATCAGACTAACCCATTCTCAAGCTAACAGTAACAGGTGGGGCATCTGCTGTGCAGTGGACGTTGTACTTTGTAGTTTAGTCTTTAGAAGTCTTGGACACAATCAGACTAACCCATTCTCAAGCTAACAGTAACAGGTGGGGCATCTGCTGTGCAGTGGACGTTGTACTTTGTAGTTTAGTCTGTATGTTAAGTTTTGGCATGTAGATGTTTTCGGAGGATATCATCACGTCAATATTCAATTAAACAAGAAATCCACACACATTCCATTAATATCACTCAAATAAAACATTAGTACCGTTTATTGACGCCTATTAAACAACCCTACGTATAAGGCGACCCCCTGTACAAGCCTTCAAAATCGATGCTAATTTATATACCCCATCTATAAAGCGAATTGGAATGAAGAAAGGCACCAGCGCATACACAATCCCTACATTTGTAATAAAAAAATGTGTTTGTCTTCCGCAGAAAAAAATTACATTGTATCCCTTCAGTGAATTCAGGGAAATGTACAGATCATTAAACTTGGTCAATACGAATTGAGAATTTGAGATAAAAAAACAAGACATAACGATTTACCGATTAAATTGAATATCTTGTTCTGAGAGGCATTGGTTTATATGCAGAGATTAAGATTACTGTGAGTATTGTCTTGTCAACTAAGCCAGAAGCAGGCATCAGCTGTACACAGTTATCTAGGAATCTACCGGTGATTCGGTTAAAAATTACCCCATAACATAATTTTAAGAATTTTGATACAATTATTGGAAGAATTGTATCTGAAACTATTATTTTATCAGAAATAATTTATTCCAAAATGAATTACATGTTTAGTTTGCGTACTTCAGTAGAGATATTTTGACATGGTATTTCCAGTGTTACATGCTCACAGTAATGTCTTTGTGTTGGGGAAAAAAAATCAAAACTTGTCAACCCTGTGTATAAGATGACCCCCCTTGAAACCCCCCTAATTCTAGGTACGAAAAACTCGCCTCATACACAGCGATATACGGTAGTTTGTCTTATGACACAAATCACAACAATCATACATCACATGGAAAGATGTGATACATACATGTGTATACGAACAGTTTCGTGAATTCAGTGGCAACTGATTTTCACACTGAGTTTACCCTAAAGACTGAAATCTGTTCAGACATTTATGAGTCTTCTATGAGTCTTCTTTCAGTTGTATGTTTCAATAATTTGACATTTGTCATCAGTAACTTCTTGTCTCACATCTTTCCACGGTTGATTATTTGTTAATGTTTAGCTGAACCTGGAATAAACTGTTCACATCAAATACATGACATCTCAAAAGCTGAAGCTGTAGCATATTTTCTAGTGGTAAGTGTCTTTTCTTTGTAAGAGTTATCTGCCATTGCATCACTGTTATGTCAAACATCACTATATACCATAACAAGGCTGGGGTTCTGCAGTGCCTCCTGCTGTTGTTTCTTGGTCTTTGCATGAGCAAGACGCTGTAGCAGGACAAACTCAGACATGAGATGATAGCACCACACAATTAAAACTTTGGAACCTAACACATCCTATTATGCTGACAACATATGCAAGGTAGTCACAGGGGAGATACAAGTATCCATGGAAAGAGAAGCAAGAAATTAACAGATTTATCAATGATTCACTGCCATAGCTTGGCTTATGGTCATAGGCCATCTCAATGACTTCAATCAACATTTGTCATACCTACAAACCTTCTTACCTTCCATGTCTCCCCAAATGACATGTCTCCCTGCATGACATGTCTCCCTACAGTACATGTCTCCCTACAGTATATGTCTCCCTACATGACACGTCTCCCTACAGTACATGTCTCCCTACATGACATGTCTCCCTACAGTACATGTCTCCCTTCATGACACGTCTCCCTACAGTACATGTCTCCCTACAGTACATGTCTCCCCACAGTACATGTCTCCCCACAGTACATGTCTCCCCACAGTACATGTCTCCCCACAGTACATGTCTCCCTACATGACATGTCTCCCCACAGTACATGTCTCCCCACAGTACATGTCTCCCCACAGTACATGTCTCCCTACATGACATGTCTCCCTACAGTACATGTCTCCCCACAGTACATGTCTCCCCACAGTACATGTCTCCCTACAGTACATGTCTCCCTACATGACATGTCTCCCTACAGTACATGTCTCCCTGTATGACATGTCTCCCTACAGTACATGTCTCCCTACAGTACATGTCTCCCTACAGTACATGTCTCCCCACAGTACATGTCTCCCTACATGACATGTCTCCCTACATGACATGTCTCCCCACAGTACATGTCTCCCTACAGTACATGTCTCCCCACAGTACATGTCTCCCTACAGTACATGTCTCCCTACATGACATGTCTCCCCACAGTACATGTCTCCCTACAGTACATGTCTCCCTGCATGACATGTCTCCCCACAGTACATGTTTCCCTGCATGACATGTCTCCCCACAGTACATGTCTCCCTGCATGACATGTCTCCCTGCATGACATGTCTCCCTACATGACATGTCTCCCCACAGTACATGTCTCCCTACAGTGCATGTCTCCCTGCATGCCATGTCTCCCTATAGTACATGTCTCCCCACAGTACATGTCTCCCCACATGACAATTCTCCCTACAGTACATGTCTCCCTGTATGACATGTCTCCCTACAGTACATGTCTCCCTACAGTACATGTCTCCCTACAGTACATGTCTCCCCACAGTACATGTCTCCCTACATGACATGTCTCCCTACATGACATGTCTCCCCACAGTACATGTCTCCCTACAGTACATGTCTCCCCACAGTACATGTCTCCCTACATGACATGTCTCCCTACATGACATGTCTCCCCACAGTACATGTCTCCCTGCATGACATGTCTCCCTACAGTACATGTCTCCCTACATGACATGTCTCCCCACAGTACATGTCTCCCTACAGTACATGTCTCCCTACATGACATGTCTCCCCACAGTACATGTCTCCCTACAGTACATGTCACCCTGCATGACATGTCTCCCCACAGTACATGTTTCCCTGCATGACATGTCTCCCCACAGTACATGTCTCCCTACAGTACATGTCTCCCCACAGTACATGTCTCCCTGCATGACATGTCTCCCTACATGACATGTCTCCCCACAGTACATGTCTCCCTACAGTGCATGTCTCCCTGCATGCCATGTCTCCCTATAGTACATGTCTCCCCACAGTACATGTCTCCCCACATGACAATTCTCCCTACAGTACATGTCTCCCTACATGACATGTCTCCCTACAGTACATGTCTCCCTACATGACATGTCTCCCTACATGACATGTCTCCCTACATGATATGTCTCCCTACAGTACATGTCTCCCTGCATGCCATGTCTCCCTATAGTACATGTCTCCCCACAGTACATGTCTCCCCACATGACAATTCTCCCTACAGTACATGTCTCCCTACATGACATGTCTCCCTACAGTACATGTCTCCCTACATGACATGTCTCCCTACATGACATGTCTCCCTAAATGATATGTCTCCCTACAGTACATGTCTCCCTACATGACATGTCTCCCTACAGTTCATGTCTCCCCAAATGACATGTCTCCCTACATGACATGTCTCCCCACATGATATGTCTCCCTACAGTACATGTCTCCCTACAGTACATGTCTCCCTACATGACATGTCTCCCTACAGTACATGTCTCCCTGCATGACATGTCTCCCCACAGTACATGTCTCCCTACAGTACATGTCTCCCTACAGTACATGTCCCCCACAGTACATGTCTCCCTACATGACATGTCTCCCTACAGTACATGTCTCCCTGCATGACATGTCTCCCTACATGACATGTCTCCCTACAGTACATGTCTCCCCACAGTACATGTCTCCCTACAGTACATGTCTCCCTACAGTACATGTCTCCCTA